TTTTGTTTTAATATTTCGCATTTTCTGGAAAAATTTTCTGAATCTGTCTGTACTGTTTTGCCCCCCTCTCAACCGAATTTCTGGCTCCGTCCCTGGTTCAACTCATACTCAACTCCAATGATGTTTGAGACGGGGTTCAAACTCCTATCCTGCCGCATCCCACTGTTGCTTAATCAAATCAGCTGATCAACCACTATGCTAGTCTCAGGGGATGGTAATTCATGTGTTACTTGAATAATTACTTTGGATAAACATGAATAATGTGTAATAGCTCGTAAATTTCACATAAAAAGTAAATCGCATTAGGAAGGTCCTGTATAATGGACTTAACCAAGATATTGTTGACAATAATTTTACTTGTGACTTTATAATACAAGAATCATGCTTCACTAATTCAATCATTCATTTTGGAATTTAATTTTTGCTAATATCGTCAATGCTATATTTTTTTCTTCTAAAAGTCCGTTTGGAAAGCAGGAAAATGACTTCTGGAAAATGTTTTCTGGAAAATGAGTCATTTTTCAGAAAACATTTTCTTTTCCGGTGTTTGGATGCACAACAGAAAACTATCTTTATGTGTTTGGTTCCTTTTCTGGAAAATAAGTTAAAATTGTATAATTAAAATTTTTAATTATTTTTAATTAAGAATATAAAAACCAAAATAAAATTGCAATTGAAAGTAACAAACAAAGCAAAATCACAGCAAAATCTGGTATATCTCAAATTGGAATTAATCCCATTTTCTGGAATTATTTGATGTTCAACGTAATTAAGCTGCCAAAATCACATCTTGAATTGATTTGCTTTTCACCAAATTAAATACAATTTTGTTGTTGAATGTAGAAAGAATGTGATGCTGCCAGATCAAAACGCCACCAGGCCCAGGCACCGGCTGTTGCCGGAGAAGCGGATGTTGCGCCCATAAAGTTGCACCGTGAAGAAACTGTTGTATCGACGAAAATTCGTTGCCCGGAAAACTGAAGCTGCTGCAGTGTCGAAAATTCATCGCCCGGAAAACTGAAGTTGCCGCTGGAATTAATGGTTGACATTGATTAGAAAAGAGAGGAGAGAGGAAGAGTGTGAAAGGAGAAGATGAACAATGTCGCCAAAATGAATCTGGAAAATGACTTCCCCCAAAAAAAGGGGAAGTTGTTTTCTTAAAAAATAAGGTCATTTTCCTTTGACCATAAGTTATTTTCCATTAAGGGTCCGTTTGGAAAGCAGGAAAATGACTTCTGGAAAATGGTTTCTGGAAAATGAGTCATTTTCCAGAAAACATTTTCCTTTTCCAGTGTTTGGTTGCATTTGGAAAACTGTTTTGGTGTGTTTGGTTCATTTTCTTAAAAATGAGTAGAATAGTATAATTAAATATTTTATTTTGAATTAAAAATTCATTTTATATTTTTAAAACAAAAAAAAAAAAAAAAAAAAAAAAGGCTTCCGGCGGAACCCAACTGGGTTCGCCGGAAACCATAGCTATGGTTTCCGGCGGAACCCAGTTGGGTTCGCCGGAAACCATAGCCATGGTTTCCGGCTTGGGTTCCGCCGGAAACCATAGCTATGGTTTCTGGCGGAACTGGGTTCCGCCAGATTTAAAAAAAAAAAAAAATAATAATAACGAAAGAGAAAGGCGGAAAACGACTTCCGCCCAAATTTGGCGGAAGTCATTTTCCGCCAAATTGGGCTCATTTTTCCCAGTCAACGGAAAATGTTTTCCGTTGACTGGATTTTCCAGGTGTAGCCAAACACCAAAAACTCGGAAAATGACTTCCAGAAGTCATTTTTCGGGTTTCCAAACATAGCCTAACTTTAGTTTTCTATTGCTTGCCAAACACCAAAAACTCGGAAAATGATTTCCAGAAATCATTTTTCGGATTTCCAAACACACCCTAAACTTATGTAACTCTTGTTCAACAACTTTATTTTTCTCCTCGGTATTTAAAATGGAGGCTATTTTTCCCCACATAAATTAAAAATTGTAAACACATTTTGGGTTAGGTGGAGTTTTGTCCACATGGAGCAATGGTTTGTGACGATGACATCTTTTCATTATAAAATGTCAACATGGTACTAGGTTCATTAATTTATGGTTTGGACTTTGTAGCAAACAAAATGACTTGGTCAACGGCGAACTTCTTTATTATCAACAAGATTTAGTTCATGTTTGGTAACATAATTAACTTATCAACTAATTTTAACTTATTTGACTACTATTAGCTGTTTAATTTAGTTAAACATTAAATATAAGTATTTGATTAATTAGTTTTTTGTGACAGCTTATTCTTCAAAAATGTTAAAATTCAAAAAGCTACTCAAAATAGCATTTTCGATAAGTTTTTTGAGAAAGTGATTTTGGCCCTGTTTGGTAAAAAATTGGCCTATAGGTCAATTTTGGCTTATTTGACAACTATTAATTGTTTGATTTAGTTAAAATATTAATATAAATATTTGGTTAATTAGCTTTTTGCAACTCCAAAAGGCTAAAATTAAAAAAGCTACTCCTAGCAACTTTTTCAATTAGCTTTTTGAGAAAAGAAATTATACCAAACAGCTAATTTACCAAACACTTTTCTACAATCAGCTAATGTTATCAATTATTTATACCCTCTAATTAGAGCTGTCAAAGCGGGCTGGCGGGCCGGGCTAAAAAGCCCGCCAATAATATGGGCCTAGGTAGGGGCAGCCCGCCCCGCCCCGCCTTAGGCCCGCGGGCCCCGCCAAAGCCCGCCTTTTTTTTTTTTTTTTTTAATCATGTGTGATGTGTCTCTAAAATCTAAACTCTAATGTGATTATGTTAATAACTTAATTGCTATCTACTTAAAACACTTATTCATAAGAAAATAACATAAATTCGTTCATCACAACATGACAACAATGACACCAATAGAGGTAACCGGGTAAGTATAATTATTCCTATTATTTATATTATTATATTATACATATTATTTTTAATATATATATATATATATATATATATATATATATATATATATATATATATAAACAGCTATCAGCTAACAGCCATTTTACCAAACAGGGCCTTTACATGTAATCAACTATAAACTAATTTACCAAATATATTTCTTTAATCAATTAGTCAAACTCATTAACCCAATCAGCTAACAGCTATTTACCAAACACTTTTACCTGGTGTGAATTTTGACCAAGAAAAAAGAAAAAAGCAGATGCTCATATTTTTTTGACCACTAAAACAAAAAGCATGAGGGAATTAAGAAATCACAAACACAAAAAAATAGGAGTTTTGGGATTAGTTTTTGGGTTAAAATTAACATCATAGTGATTGGTGAGATATTAATTTTCTTAGTCCATAATAGTATTTTTGGGCCCATTGGCCCAATTTCACGTATCATATTGGGCAATTAACTTTAAACCTTAAGGCCCAGATTAGGTTGACATTTTTGGGCATACGTGAAGAAGAGCCCAATTCTAATCCTCAACGAACTATTTTCCTACTGGGATTTGAGAAGGGCGTACACTGTAATTTCACTCTCGACGCACCTTCTGGAAACCATCTTCTCTTTTGATCCCAGGCGCATCACAGAGTTATCCTTTTCCGCCGCCGGCCGCGCTACGCCTCCGCACATCGGTGTCGGATAAGCTATAGTCAGGCGAATTTGCGATTGGGAATAAGAGCTCCGAGGAGATTGAATTGAAGTTGGGTCGGGGATAGAGTTGCATGATAATCAGAGATGCCTCCGAAGCAGCAGCAATCGAAAGCCGAATTGGCGAAGAAGCAGAAGGTTGTCGAAGACAAGACCTTCGGTCTCAAGAACAAAAACAAGTCCAAAAACGTTCAGAAATACGTGCAATCCCTTAAACAGAACGTCCAGCCTAAACCTGACCCCAAAAAACTCGATGCCAAGGTCTATATGGATACGAAGTTTTGAAGTTCAGATTTGTAACTTGTATTTGTGTCGTCTTGGTTCGTGATTAATGATTGAGCTGCTGACAAGCTTGTTTATTTGTGCAATTTTTAAATTTTGAGCAGAAAAAGAAAGAAGAAGAAAAGGCTAAAGAGAAGGAGCTCAATGACTTGTTTAAGGTTGCTGTTAGTCAGCCGAAGGTTCCAATTGGTAAATGATCTCTTTGTTTCTGCATTATCTGTCCTTGCTTAAATACTGTTCTCACAGTCTTGTGGGTTGATATACTAGTTCTACTTACATTTGTTTCTGCTATTGAAATTCTCCTTCCAAAGTGTAATTGTAGTTGAATTGGCATGATATCACGGAATTTCATTTATGTTGTGGAAAGTTGATAACATGTGTGCTTTGCATTTGTTTAGATTAGAGGTTACAGAATCTGGTATGCAATAATGAACAAATGCTCAAGGCAAGTCACCTATTGGAATTATGAACTATATTATGTTCAATCACATACTGGGATTTGTTAATTTTGATTGATTGCCTGTTGAAGATAAAAACAAGTGTAAATTTTGGCCTTTTGCAAGTCATTTTCCTGAACTCACGATTTCGTTGGGACTATCCTTAATTTTTGAATGGGGTGCTCTGCTTTGTTGCCTATCAAGGGTTAAAAGCTTTATTGCTGTTGTGAGTTGGATATGGTTTTTATTTAGCTTCTTAACTTATGGTATATTGGTATATTTTGAGGAGTTTTGTAATGTTATGGTCAGGTGTGGATCCAAAATCAATATTATGTGAGTTCTTCAAGGTGGGGCAATGTGCAAAGGGTTTTAAGTGTAAATTCTCACACGATTTGAACGTTCAGAGAAAAGGAGAGAAGATTGACATTTATAGTGATAAGCGTGATCAAGGTGATTAACTTACATTCTAATATGAGTATTTGTTTGCATATTTCTTTTGATCTTCACTCTGTTAATTTTCATTGTTCTTTATTTGCCGCTTCCATTTTACAACGAAAATAGAAACAATGGAAGATTGGGACCAAGAGACTTTGGAGAAGGTTGTGCAATCAAAAAGTGAGGAATATAACAAGAACAAACCAACTGATATAGTAAGCATTTTATTTTCGTAGCTTTCTTTTATTCTTTTATGGACTGTTCATTTTCTGTATAAAAAAACGTAGGGAAACGGAATGTGATATACATTTTGTGTGGAAAACTCTTCCCAGTAATTAGTTTACATTGCTCACTTAAAAGGAAAACACATGTAAAATTAATAAAGACTAAATTGTCCACCTATTCTTTCTATCCCTGAGATTCTGAAATCTCAATTGAGGAGGCAAGCTAGAGACACCTCTATAGTAAACTCTTAAATAAAGGTATTTGGTTCTTGAGGAATCTTCTGAAAGGAGCTGCAAAATAACTTGCAGCCATCATTCTTTAACATCTTTGTCTAAGCCAAACTTCTCCAATAGGGGGAAGGGGGTCTGAGACTAGGGGATAGGAGGGAGAATAGGGGTTGTAAAAGAACTTGAAGTCATCATTCCTTCATTCTTCAACATCTTTATCTAACTAAGCCAAACTTCCCTAGTAGGGCAGAGGGGGCCAGAGAGTGAGGGGTGAGAGGGAGAGAGGCATGGCTTGTTGCTGTACTTTTGTGGTGTGGCTTGTGGCTGCCAGCATAGTTAGACAGTCATGGGTTGTCTTGCAGCTGCTGACATGGTTTGGGGCTAAAGCTCACTGGATGACCTGCAAGGTGCTGAGATGGAAAGACCAATTGGATTGTAGAAGGAGGGTATTTGAAGAATACAAGTTAATGAGTGTCTGACTTTAAAACTTTTTAGTAGTATTTTTCACCTCCAAATGGATACAACACATTTGAGGTGTTAAATGATGTTTCCCATCATAAAATGTTTTCCTAACATAATTTGTCTAGCATACAACTGAAATTGAAAAAAAAAAAAAACAATTACCACAAGTGAGAACTGATCATTATTGTATTTGTTATATAGAGAAAATTATTCATTGCTGTGCTATTATGTTGGTTTTGGATTCTATTAGATGGTCATTTGGTCTTTTTTTTTCTCCACCTACATGGATTTTCACTTTGATTTGTTGTCATTTGATTACAGTTTGACAGTGACTTGTATGTAGGATCTTACTGACTATCATCCATAGACTAAAGCTAGCTATAACATGAAAGAAATGAGTGGATTTCATGTAAACTAGTTCAGGAATATTATGGAGAAATCCTCATTTATTGTCCTTGTGTGCAGGTGTGTAAACACTTTTTGGAAGCTGTGGAGAAGAAGCAATATGGTTGGTTTTGGGCCTGTCCAAATGGTGGTAAGGAGTGCCACTATAGGCATGCTCTTCCTCCAGGGTATGTTTTGAAATCACAGATGAAGGCTCTGCTAGAAGAAGAAGCAGATAAAGTATCTGTTGAGGAAGAGATTGAAAATCAGGTGATTGGTTATATTTTGCTGCAACAATATATTATTTCTTTTACCATACCACTATTAAGAGCTTGACTTTAATCCATTTTGTTCCATTCCACCACATTGTGCCTGGTTCAATAATTTGTTTTAATTATTTCTCCTATTATATTTCTGCTGTGTGCAGCGTTCGAAATTGACTAAATCAACTCCCATGACCCCCGATCTATTTATGGAATGGAAGAAAAAGAAAAGGGAAGAGAAAGAAGCTCAATTGGCCTTGCAAATGGCAGAGAGAGCCAAGAATGATCGCATGAGGTATGACTTACTTAATCCCTCCTCCATCCTCCATCGTATTTACTTGTTCTGAATCATGTTTCTCAGTCATTTTGGTCAAGTGCATGTATTAATATAACTGGAACATTTTGATGTTGTCACAGTGGACGTGAGCTGTTCATGGCAGACTCCAGTTGGTTTGTGGATGACATTGGCGCCTATGATAAATATGAAAGGGAGGAAGAGTCGAATGAACAAAAGGTGATTTATATGTTACTAATGTTGCTGTATTTTTGTATTGGTCCATAAACTATGTTGTGTTCCCACCATGCCAAAGACACACCTAAACGATGAATCCAAGCAACTTTCCAAATTCCAAGTATCAGAAGTACACAAAACTTAATCCACCAGGGAGATTATCTATAGTTGAACATTAAAATTCTAAAGGAGTAATAAGTAGGCAAACCGGTTATTTCAAATTCACCCTTTTCACCAATTAGATGTGCAAGTAAAACAATGCTACCAATTGACCATGTAATTCAGATTGTTGGAGTAAAGTTTTGGTATGTGTGCATGCAAGGCTACTGATTGAGAGTGATGATCACTTTTATTTTCCCTTTTTCTTTTTAGTTGGGGCAATCATGAAATCATAATCTGAGTATATTTGATGCACTTGTCAGGTTGACAAAGATTCTTCTAAAGGCGAGCCAAGTACCTCGACCTCAGCCCCAGGAACCAGTGACTCCAAAGATGTTTCTGATGTTGATGATGATGACCTCGACGACGATTTGGATGTTGACGAGTTGAATGAACTGGAGGCGAGCCTTTCGAAAACAACATTACAAATCAAAGAAGCCGGTGACAAAGCATGAGCCAAGAATTTGAATTGATGAGCTTCTCTTGTTGCTTTTTGAAGTAATTTTCTGAATCCTGAACCTAAATATTATCGATTTTGGCACTTCATATTTTCTTTTTTCTACCCCCATCTTTGCACTCTAAAACGAAATAAATGGATTTCGATATGAGTACTTTGCCCTTTTTTCTCCAAGCCCACAGACAGTGAACTAGTGACCTAATTATTCCCTTCTTTGTTGTTTGAAATGGGTGTCTCTTATTATCAAGTGAAGTTTCTACTGGTGCCTGCTCTCATATTGCTCTGATTACTAGCATTACCCTGTCCATCTATAAACAAGGGAAAGAAAAAACAACAGTGAAACAAAGTGATTATGCTCAAAGTGGGCAGATCCCTTGTGCGCATTGACATTTGACAATGTCTGTTAAGCCATTAAGTTATCGTGATTTACATCCTCTCAAATGTTCTGTCGGGCTGGGGTGCGGGGGCCCTTGGTATTGGAGATTCAACCTTTTGGGAGAAGAAGAAAAACAGCAGCAGTGTAACAAAAACCATTAAAAAATCAAAACCGTGTTGATGATGATTCTCATTGCCGTGCATTTAATAACGTTAGGTTGTTTATTACTCCGTATTTGTTTGTGTTTATGTCCTCTCCCGAGGAGGCAAGAACACCAGCTTGCATCACTAGGCCCATTTGACCATTTCCACGTTTGCTTTTCGTCACTTTCTTCCTCTCTTTTATTGTTTGTATTCAGTTTACGCATCTTTCACGGTAGATCAAAAGTGATGAGATTAGCTCGCACGGGTTTAGCTCAATAGTTCAGTAGACAGTATTAGAAAGAAAAGACCAATGTTCGATGTTTAGGGGTCTCACTTCCACTAGATAAGTGCATTAGTTTTTGAATGTTAGGGTTATAAAAACCTATCTAGGAAGAACATCATCCAACCAACAGTCGTTTACTTGTTGTTCCCCTCTTCTTTCTCAGTCCAAGCTTGACGTCAGTCACGGTCTGCCACCTTAACAAGAATCCTTGTAGTAACGACAGTAATTCACCAAAAGTCATGCATCTCTCCTACTCACTCTTTACTTCTTTGTCGGCACTGTTATCATTGTTGGACATCCAACAAATTCGTCATACTTTTTAAATATCTATTTTGAAGGACTCCCAAGTATTAGGTTTTTTAAGATTCCCAAGAATATTTGTTATTTTTGCCCATTTAATTCTAATTATTAGGAAGTATATATTTTATGTTAGCTTATTATATGTATCTCAAGGATGTGCATATAATAAATCCCGTTAAAGGAAGACAATGTGCAACGGGTACAACCGAGTGATGAGTATTGACAAGAATCAAATTCGTGACCATTATGTATGAAAATTATATTTCACTCACTCGACTACCCCTTTCTGGAACTATTGTTATTATTGAGGGAGAGTATTAAATTAAAATATTTATTGGGTATAAAAGATAACCTTTAACCAAACATATTTAATATTACATACTATCAATATTAACCAAACATCATTTGAGTATATTTATATGAATCTAACATTTCCATGTCCCCTTAGTAATTTATGCATCAATAAGAATATGACTTAAACATCACATTCAAAGAATGCTCATAGTGATACTCAACCTAACTTTGTAAAGTTAAGAGAACTTTTTAGGTTAAAAACAAAAACGAAATGACATATATGCTTGAAGCAAAAAATAAAAGGGGAGAGGATATGATGAAAACACATATGAATGATGGATAGTTCGTATTCTTTGATTTTTTTGCCCAATAATATGCTATCAATCTTGACATCGGATAATATAGGGTTGCATAATTATTTTTTGTGCAGCTTTGTTTGAATTATTTTCATGCACCAATAGAAAAAGAAAAAGAAAAAAAAAAAAACTTCATTTCATAACCCATCTTTTTAAAAATGTATGTTCCTTCACTTTACAAAAAAGTCATGTGATGATTCTTAGGCATGAATGATTCTGGTATACGTCATTTCTTGATATAAAATAATTTGTTACATTCTACTTTATGTTTAATGATGGTGTAAATATTATCGGGTGTGCGTATTTATATGTTATTATGCAATGTGTATTAAGATATAGTAGCTTGGGTAGTTGGGATTAGAGATCGGAGGTTTCCGAACATGTAAGTAATATTGTGAGAGAATTAAGAAAAAGTCTCATTTACAAGTATTTGGCGAGGTATTTATAGGAGGTTGGAGGGGACACATGTCAAGAGGCCGGTATGCACGCGGAGTGTCCTCCATGCACTTGGCGGTCTCAGAGGCTAAGGAGAAGTGTTCACACGTGTAGCAAAATATCTGAGTAGTCAATAGCTACAGGGCCCGGTTCAAGTGTTACTATCAATGATTGGCTCGGGGTCATAGCCGAGCAATCGGGTCGGGACCAAGCACGAAAGAGTAAGAGCATAAGCTCATCAAGCGAATAATGGGGCATAATATCCGGGTTGGGTCTGCCAAAAGATCCTTACTACGTGCAGGGTCCGATCCGCTCAAGTGCTCAGTACGTGCGGATCGATATACCGAGGTATATTCCCAATCATTTAATTTATAGAAGAATTTATCATCAATGTGCTTTAGGTAAAACTCGTCTTGTGACTTTAATAGGTAAAAAATCACAAAAAAAGTAAATTTATTGAGATTGCCCGCAATATTCTACCTTTATCATTCAGTCTCGTACTTGTACTCCTGTTTATTTTTCCTAATCATGAACCGTACGGAAAAATCAATAATCATCCGCACCAGTTGTTCTCATGTTTCTTCTTTCAACAATAATGGCGTTATCACAAACCATTTTTTGTTAATATTACCATCCAGATGGAGATCAATCAGACAAGAACTACACATTTAAAGAACTAAACATTCTGCACAGTACAACAACAAAACTAGCCAAGACGATGCCATAACGCTCGTCCTGTCTGCAATTATTTATAGTCTGCACTATCATCGCTCTCTAGTCATGCAAGAATTCGGAAGCCATGAAAATAGTCTCAAAGGGCATATTACCAGCAATGTGTTTCAGCCGAGGCGATTTCTGGAAGCTAATCATTCATTTCCTTTCCCCGTTCTTCTTCTTGTGGGGTTGCATGCTTTTGACAGCTGATGACACTGCTTTGCATACAAACTTCACGAAATGCTGAATAATCCGCGCCTTAATCTGGCCTCGTTTGGGGGGAAACCGTGCTTTCTTTGTCTTCTTGGGCTTGGCAAAGTCTCCACCGGTAGCCATTGAAACCGATGATCGATCAGCTATCTGCACAGTCAGAAGATCACAGAGTGTTTTTCGAAGAATTGAAGAGAAGAGACTAATGGGGGAATGTGCATTCAATCGATCCCGTAAGGGCAAAAACAAGATTCTTTGAGTTTTTAATGAACTAACAAAAACAGACCCAACTCAAGTTGTATATATGTTAGCCTGTTTTTGCTTCAAAATGCAGAAGAGGGGACTTATATAGGAAAAACCGTGACGAAAACTTTTTTGTGTTCCTCATGTAATGATTTGCATTATACACACACATGCACACACGCACGAAGTGCACTACTCTACTGTGCATCAACACCTCCCCGGGGCCCTTCTTTGTAGAATTTATAGCCACCAAAGCGTCGTTGTCATTCGCCCTGTTTGATAAAATAGTTAGCCTATCAGCTAATTTTAGCTTATTTGACCTCTATCAGCTGTTTGACTTGATTAAACAATCAATATCAGTGTTTGATTAATTAGCTTTTTGTAACAACTTATTGCTCCAAAATGCTAAAATTCAAAAAGTTGCTCAAAGTAGCTTTTTCGATCAACTTTTTGAGAAAGTCATTTTTTATGTAATCAGCTATCAACTAACTTTTCTACAATCAGCTAATGCTATCAACTGGTCAAACTCATTAACCCAATAAGCTAACAGTCATTTACCAAACACCCCCGTTATGTTTCTGAACCACAAAGCTATATAACAAAACGCAGTGCAGAATCGATACTCGATGTGTGCAGCACATGGCTGCATCTTATATTCTTACCAGGCAGGTTCGTGCCATATTGACTGCTTCAAGACTTGAGAATTGCTGTCCTTATCGAGCAGGAGAGCAATGTTTCCCACAATATGAACATAGGATTTGCTTGGAGAGAAGCAGGGAGGGTCCATCGTGTTTCCATGTCTCCCTGGTAAGACAAAAGTAGGGGAACAGAAAACTGTTGCTAAAGAAAATAAATATAAAATATGTACTGGAAAGCTTGTAATAACTCTCCACCTTCTGTACTTCCAATTATATGCCTCTTAAAATTCAAAGCCAATTGATATTCAATGCGAAGAATTCTCGCAATTTCTTCTCTTTCTTTCAATGAACTTTGAATTTCTTGATTTCACAAAAATAGTGGAAAAGAAGAGCACAAGTTGAGTACATACCTTTAATCGTCGTTGTCTCCTCCTTTGCAATAACGAGATGGATTGGCTTGCCCCAGAAAGAAATTCGGGGAAGAAATGCTCAACAACCATGAGTTGATACAGAGAGACACTTGTCGAAAAATGAGAAAGTTATTCACTGGGACAAGTAAAGAAACGAGCCTAAAAAGACAGGCAAACCAACAACAAATCTGGGAAATAACTGGATTTGTTCTCTCCTTTAACATCCAGTCACGTTATTGAATATACATATCAAGTGTTTATAAATAACACGTATAAAAAAAGCAGCTTTCCAACCTTTATGAAATGAACTGAGCAAACACTTAGTAAAGTGAAAAGCAATGGCCACTAGTAACAGTTACATCGAAATTGAAGACAAATTAAGGTTATTTTTCAACAAATTCTCTACCATATAACCGTTCTCTCAAACGACAGATCTTTACAACAGGGATTTATTTGTATCTACAGAAATATCGTATCAGACATTTCATTTCAGTGGAAAAATAATGGTATAGACCAGAAGAAATGTAACTATGAGAATCGCCACTACTAGAGTGAATGTTGGGCTAGTCCATAGCATAAGGTTTGACTTCTCTGTTCTCTTAATGGGATCAATTTCCTCAGACAGTGGATAGTTAGATCGCCTAGGATTCCAGGTCACATACTTGTCGGAAAACTGCGAGAAGATGTTCTTTTTCCCTCTCTTCTTGAAGCTTGACCACGCCTTGTCCCAATCTGTTGAGAGCTTATCACCTACACGGGAGATAGCTCGAGTCAATTAACACTTTTAACCTTTATCCATGCTTTAACTAAGTATGTTCAAGTACACAAAAAGTAATGCTTTAAATGCCTTAGGTATCTGGTTCAGAAATGCAGCAATAACTGCATACTCATGATCAATTCTTATTTCAAATCCCCGTAAATGAAACACTCCATCCCAAGTGCCCACGAATTCAAGATTCGGCTTTCCAACTTAAATAATTATGGCATGCCAATATGCCATTCTATTCGACTATTCCAGCTAGCATCATTCTCCCAAGAGGCATATACCAATACATGCACTCAAGTGGTCATTCACTACCAACCTAGACCATTCAAAACTGAAAACTAAAATAAACAATATTATAATGGTAGTTGACTGACTATAAATCTACAAGGTAGCTATTGCAGAACTAATGACACCACAACTACAAGTGTAGCTATTACTGCACTACATCATATGCAGACCATTTCCAGTAGCTGATTAAAGCTTTAGACATCTTCTGCCCCACGCATGGGTAGGGCTCAATTGGTTCTTGGGTGACAAATTGTTGGCAAGAACGCATGATCGAGCCCAGACAGCCACAGTGTAAGAGTTTCACCCTCTTGTGGGGTAGCTCCTTGTGGGAAGGCACTCCTAATGGGCTACTGTTACACCGTGATTTATCTCTTCACAATCCTATCAGATCGAGATGTGGGGCCTTCACAATCCTATCAGATCGAGATGTGGGGCCTTGGGGGTTCTTGGGTGACAAATTGTTGCCAAGGACGCATGATCAAGCCATGATAGCCGTAGTGTGAGAGTTTCACCCTCTTATGGGGTAGCTCCTTATGGGCAAGCACTCCTAATGGGCCACTGTTACACCGTGATTTATCACTTCACAATCCTGTCGGACCAAGATGTGGGGCCTTGGGTGACAAATTGTTGCCAAGGACGCATGATCGACGAGCCCTCATAGCCGCAGTGTGAGAGTTTCACCCTTTTGTGGGATAGCTCCTTATGGGCAGGCACTCTTAATGAGCCACTGTTACACCGTGATTTATCTCTTTCACAATCCTGTCGGACCGAGATATGGGGCCTTGGGGCGAGGAATTTTGTCTTTAGTGGGCAAGCTTTATACAACTTCCAGTTTCCCACTACACTTCAACTAACATCTTTCTGCAGACTTCTGTACTATCTATCTAAGCCACAAAAAGGGCCATGAATCACACCTTCTCTCAGCAGATCACTAAAGATCTAATTTTTCCAGTATAACAACTCAAAATTCACTGAAATTTGTCTTCTACATCCAATGCACAAGTATGAATATCCCACAAATATTCTTCTTTTTATAAGAAAGCAACAATCAGAAAGAACCAAGTAGAATTAATGCGTGAAAGCAACCAGATTGAAATGCCCATATACCAAAACAAAGATTAATTTACCCCTATCGCCGCCATTGTCGCCGTTTTGCTGGGGAGAGTCTCTTCTTGAACAGCTGGGCTTAAGGTCCTTTTGGATTCTCGTTCTGGGGCTATACCAAAGGGACCCTGACGAAACGGCAGCGAATCGAAGCCGAATATCCATTTGGGATCTTCTTCAGTGAAGAAGTTGGCGTCTTTAACGGCGCAGCCACTGATCTTGTAGCTCAGTGTGTGGTCAGGAGAGGAGGATAGGGAGACTACAGTAGTGTCCACGGTTTTCATGTAAGAATCATGCGGTGAATGGGATGAGAACATATGATTTACTATTCAATCTGCACAATATTTTTCATTATTTGTAGAACAATTTACATTTTCAACCTTTAGTACTTAAATTGTGAACATTCAGTATGTAAGGTGAATTCGGGTTCATGATATAATTGATGCACGCAGTCGGATTAGGCGGTCATTTGGTGGAAAATTATACCGTGAATCGCGATCCACACTGCATTGTGGATCCGGACATAAAATATGCACTACAGTTTTATTTCGACACAATTACAATATCATTTTGATATAATTACAGTTTCGTTAGACAACAAATATGTGAAATTGTTATTCAGTTTAATTTCAATTTAATTACAGTTTCATTTAGCTCACATATCCTATGCTCCTAGCTCGACGAGCCGTATATAATAATTAATAATAATAATAATAATAATAATAATAATTATTATTATTATTATTATTATTATTAAAATTTTACTCCCTTCTAAGGCTTACCCTATTCCAGTATTCTCGCAGTCGCACACTCCCGCACTCCCCGCCCCCATTCCTTCTAAGCCCTAACTCTAGAGTCTGGAAGACTGTCGACGACGACGACACGGAGGGACGGGAAGACTGCCAGTCGACGACGATGACCCTTGTCTCTGGTCTTCACCTTTGCCGATGTCGAATTGACAAAGTTGTTGCAGTGCTGCCCGATAGTCAACTAGTCAAGACCGGACGAAGCTGTTGCCGACAAACAGACGAAGCTACACAGATTATATTCCCATCGAGCCCGAACTCGAGCAGAGCCTTTCTTAACGAGTTTGAACTCGGCTCTACTTGTTTACACCCCTAGTTTCATTTGATAATATAATATAATATAATAAAAATAATACATGGTACAATGTCAGTTTAGATACACTATAGCGTCTGCCGTTTTGGACCATGCTCCACAGTATAATTGCTGGTCATTTGGTATTTTGGGCTTGCATTAGTTGGTCTTGATTAAGGCCCATTGATTTGAAACTTTATTTGGGCTAAGAAAATAAAGGACTAGAAGCCCAAAACTCACGGAGCCCACATGTGTTGTAGCCCGGTAAACAAAGCCCTAATTTTTGATACCTATATAACACTCACGTCAATCAAAACCCTAGCTCAACCCCTGCAGTGAAGTGCTGCTAGCTTCCTTCCCCTTCTCCTTCGACGCCGGTTTCCAGAACCGCCGTGGAAATGAGCACCGCCGCCGCGCGCCCGTTGGTTACCATCCAAGCTTTGGAAAATGATATGGCCACGGATGGAGGCTCCGCCGCTGATTGCCTCCCTCTGCCGGGAGTCATGAAGGCTCCGATCCGACCTGACGTGGTGACCTTCGTCCATTCCAATATCTCCAGGAATTCCCGCCAGCCTTATGCTGTATCGAAGCGCGCTGGTCATCAGACCTCCGCCGAGTCATGGGGGACTGGCCGTGCTGTGTCTCGTATCCCCCGTGTGCCGGGAGGTGGTACGCACCGCGCAGGGCAGGGTGCTTTCGGGAATATGTGCCGCGGTGGTCGCATGTTCGCTCCGACCAAAATCTGGCGCCGCTGGCACCGGAAGATACCGGTCAACCAGAAACGCTATGCGGTTGTTTCCGCCATTGCCGCCTCGGCTGTTCCGTCGCTCGTGCTTGCACGAGGACATCGCGTGGAATCCGTGCCGGAGATTCCGCTCGTTGTTTCGGATTCTGCTGAGGGCATTGAGAAGACCTCGAATGCCATCAAGGCTCTAAAGCAGATCGGAGCTTATCCTGACGCTGAGAAGGCGAAGGACAGTCACGCTATTCGGCCAGGTAAGGGTAAGATGCGTAACCGCCGCTATATTTCCCGCAAAGGTCCTCTGATTGTCTATGGAACTGAGGGGGCTAAGCTGGTGAAGGCTTTCCGTAACATTCCGGGCGTTGAAATTTGTCACGTGGACCGTTTAAACCTTCTGAGGCTCGCTCCCGGAGGTCACCTTGGCCGTTTCATCATCTGGACTAAATCTGCATTCGAGAAGCTGGATGAGGTCTATGGTTCATTTGACAAGCCTTCCGAGAAGAAGAAGGGATATGTATTGCCAAGGCCGAAGATGGTGAATGCTGACCTTGCTAGAATCATCAACTCGGATGAGGTTCAATCCGTTGTCAGGCCGATCAAAAAGGAGGTGAAGAGAGCGACTTTGAAGAAGAATCCTCTGAAGAACTTGAATGTGCTTCTCAAGCTCAACCCACATGCTAAGACTGCTAGGAGGATGGCCCTTTTGGCTGAGGAACAACGAGTTAAGGCCAAGTCTGAGAAGCTCGCAAAGAAGAGACATCAAATCTCTAAGGTATGTGCTGTCGCTAATCTACTTCATTGTTTTGAGTATTATTGTTTTAGGTTTTATTTTATCACCATATATTTGCAAGTATTCTTTTTTGTAGGGAGTTGTATCATATATTTTTTATTCGGTGTCTACATCTTTGTGATTTATATATATATATTTTTTTCAGTCTGCTTAGCTCTATTCTCTTACATTTAATATATGATTGTATCATTTACTTCTTGTGTGTGTATATATCATAGTTTATATTATCACAATGATATTTTCTGCCTCTAATATATCTAAAGAATTAAACTTTTTAATGATAGTTGAAGCTTTAACATTACTTCTCTTTGGCTCCATGAAAATGAACACATTGTATTTTTATTTGTGCAAGGCTTTTTATACTTTATTGAGTATTTCTTTTTGGGCTATATGCACATTATGTTTATGTTCTTCTTGATTTGAAGTGTATCCTTGTTTGGGTTTGTCTGGTACAATGGTGTAGTGAGGTTTCTAATAACTAGTGCACGTAGATGCTCTGTTTTGGAATGATGTATGAACTTTCTTCATTTAATTGTTTTTTTTGCTAGATTCTCATAGTTTCTGAAGTTGTTCTTTGTATAATGTTAATAATGTGGGCTTATCTGCCAAAAAATATTGCATTTTGGTTTTTGGGTGAGCAGGCAGTTGTGCTTCTGATGTATTTGTGTTGTCAGAATGCTCTTGTCTCTTTGGTGTCTCCCCCGAACACTGAATCAGGATTTAATGCTTGCTCTCCATGTTATATATGGGTTTGCAAGTTTGGCTTTTCTGTTACATTTTAAAAATAAAACATAATTCATTAAAACACTCTCCATTTACATCCATAAAATGGAAAGTGTGGTGGTCATTGTTGTTGCACATCCAATATTGCATCTGGATTTTGGGTGAGCAGGCAAGGGAGCATATGATGAATTAATGCTTTGTTGTCAGAATGCTCATGTCTTTTTTATGTCTCCCCCAAACACTGAATCAGGATTTAATGCTTGCTCTCCATGTTATATGGGTATGCAAGTTTGGCTTTTCTGTTACATTTTAAAAATAAAACATAATTCATTAAAACACTCTCCATTTACATCCATAAAATGGAAAACTTGGTGGTCATTGTTGTTGCATATCCAATATTGCATCTTGATTTTGGGTGAGCAGGCAACGGAGCATCTGATGTATTCATACTTTGTTGTCAGAATGCTCATGTCTTTTTTATGTCTCCCCCAAACACTGAATCAGGATTTAATGCTTGCTCTTCATGTTATATGGGTTTGCAAGTTTGGCTTTTCTGTTACATTTCAAAAATGGAACTGAATTCACCATTGTTAGAAACACATTCTTATTTTCATCCTAAAACTGGAAAATGCATTGGTCATTGTTGTGTAATCTTTTGGTGCTTCTACTTTAACTATTAACTATCTGGTGTATTGAGTATTGACTCTCTCGTATTACAGGAGGAGGCATCTGCAATTGCGGCTGCTGGTAAGTCATGGTACAAGACCATGATATCTGATTCTGACTACACTGAATTCGAGAACTTCACGAAGTGGTTGGGAGTGTCTCAGTGAATCCATTGTGTTTGAGGATACTTAAGCTCTACCTTCATTTTGTTGTTTTATTTAGTTTTTTTTTTTTTTTTTTTTTCTGCAGCTTTATAATTTTATTGGTGGTTAAGATGTGGGAATGAAAATTACAGTTTTTGAGTTTCTTGACTTAGTACCAGTTTTCCCTTTAATACATATCTTGGTATTGAATTTTGATCTTAGTAACAGTATATGCTATTCAGAGTTTTATACATTGATGGATTCAATAATGGGTTGCCAGCTTTAACCAAAATGTGTTCATTTCCTTCCATATTTCTTTTCCATACCATTTAAACCTAATATTCATCTAACTTCAAATCATCACAAAAGAAACTAGAAAGTGGGCCAACTAACCTGGTTGGCTGCCACATTGAATTCCTAGAATTAGCTTTACTAAATAGATCTATTGCACCATATCATTTGGTTAAGACTTAAAGAGGAATAAATTCTTTTCTGCAGAACAGGATCATCAACCTATCTTGCCTGCTAATCACAAAGGCATTGAATCATGCATGAATTCATGCCATTTAAAAAAAAAAAAAAACTAAGGAATGTGCACATGACATGTCTGCAGATATAAAGAACTATCCTATTTTGCTCACTGAAGACATATTTACAGACAGTTTCATAATTCTGTAGATATTTTGACCTTAGCAAAGACATGTTAGGTTTGCACAGACATTTGTTCATCAATAGACAGTGCTGTTGTTCAGCATTATCTATCTTCACTTTCATTGCCAAGATGCCAAACTCATATACAGTTTGCAGAACCCTTTAGTTCATCCATCCCCACTATTAACTTTTCCTTGAAACTCATTAATGTAGCTCGCTTGCTGTGATTCCTGTCATCTCCATGCTTCAGATAACGATCGTTTTGCAGACAGAGAAGAATCAACTGTAAGAACATATACCTTTCTTGATTTTGCTGGGGTTTTATGTTCCCATATTCTTTCTGAATCAATTCATCTGTTTCTTGTTATGTGATGTAATTCTACTAGATAGCCTGAATGTTCTCTACTTCTATCCCAATCCTGCGTTGGCTCCACAGGAGATTGTTGAACAGTATTTAAGTTAGAGCCGAAACATCTCCCCATTTTGATTGTGTGAATTGAGGGTCTTTGGTGTCTCGGTATCAAGCCAACAGTAGAAGAATATGAATTTGTTGTTAGATACCTTACCAATGTTGTTGGGATCAAATGATCAGGTTGTTGACTTGATAATCACAAGGTTCCAAGTTTGACTTCTAGTGAGAATGATCTATTGGTCTTTTCAGTTTGAATCGGTCAGTAATGAAAAACTTAGTCTAGTTTACTTCATTGTAGTCTTTTGCTAGTTAGAATAACAAAGCGAGTTTTACTCAAAACGCATATTTAGGGAACATCAGCGTAACGAATTTTCTCGTAAATCAAAGGGATGATAGGATACTTGAGAAGAATCTAGAAATTCACATGAATTAGGAATTGAAAGTCTTTGTTAGGTCACAAGAGACAACCTAGAAGTATGCTTTTGGATAGCTTTTTGTTTCTGGATGTATGATCACTTTGGCATTTGCTGACTAAGACAAGACAACAGCCTCATATTCAGTAATGACTTCATTGTCTTTCTGTTTGTTTGGATAATTCCCACATCTAAACCTTCCACATTAGAGCCATCATGTTCCAAAAACAACATTGTCATAAGTGGTTATTAACCTTTTATGAGCTAATTACAAATAGTTGTAACATATATTTGGAAATGTCTAAGATATTGATGCTAGTAGGTACTTTTTGTACCGAGTACAATAATGCATAACATGTCTGGTTATATTAGGTATTATACGGACAAGTATTAACGATAAAATTCAAATACCATATATAGTTTTATATTGTACAATAATTAATAACTCTGAAAAACACTATAATAATTTTTCAATATTTATGACAACATATATAAACATGATGCGTTTGGGATCTACGAATGTCTTATTCTCAAGTTTTTTAAAGTTGTTTGGAATGAATTTTTTTTAGTACAAAGTATATCGTTATATTTTAAATTAAAAAAAATCAAAATTAGTCATTAAGTGAACAAAATATAATTATCATATTTAAAATTTCAAGTTCGATTATTACTAATATCTCATCGATAATCCAAAAAGGTAACTCAAGTGGCAAATGAGTTTTCTTTGTACGAAAGAATTCCTGAATAACCCGAGTTCGATTCTCACACGTGACGACTCCCCTTAGACCAGGTGCTGTAAAGATTCAGACCACCTCATAGTTTACACCAAAAAAAAAAAATCCTTGAGTTAAATTACTAAAGAGGTAATACAACATAAGAATACATAGAGATATACATAACTTTTATCCTTATAGTAATGAGGGTGCATTGGAAGACTTGTGTAGCACGCTGCAGCTTAATATTACCCTAGAGATATTTTTGCCTACCAAGTATCAAGACCACAATATTTTTGTCCTTTGAGCAGCTAACGGGGATGTTTTGGTAATTTCGTTAAAATAATTAACGCCGCCGTCGCCGTCCTTTCACTTCAACAATGGCAGCTGGCAGCTAAAAAGTCTTTCTTACATGTTCACAACTTCACTTCCGTCAAAACGGCGTTTGTCGTATTCTGAAACCAAAAAAAATGGAAATGAAAGTCCTTCCCGAGAAACGCTCAGATGCTGCCACGTACCATTCCTAAATCCCCTCCAATTCGACCCTAGCCCTTAAGCTCCTTCTTTTAGATTTAGCAACACGTCAGCACTCCCGCGCCACCATATCGTTACCCACGTGGAATATCCCGCTCCTACATGGCGCCTCCTGGCCCTGTAAATTGTCCACGTCATCGAAACAGAACTAAACTTGCGGAAAAAAAATCTTTATTTCATCACTGGTCCTCGGATTTTCCAGTTCCTTTCTCTTCCCACCTAAACGACCTCTCTGCAACTCCAAACCAAAATCCCTTTACTCATTTCCGAACTCTACTTTGAGCTCTTATCCAATTGATTGTAATTTATAAACTCAATTTTTTTTATAAAATTTTTTGTTTAATTTCTAGTGTTCTCCGTGTGTTTTGTTGGCTTGGATTTATGATTTTGCAAACGTAAATCCAGGTCTGAATTTGATGATTTTGCCGTTTATCGATAAGCTCTGAAGGTAAAGTTGTTCATCTGTATCCTTATCAGTATTCAATCTAGGCAATTTAAGTATGTTTCTGAAAATCTAAAGTTGTTTTTTAGTATCTTCAAGATATTTTTGTCCATTAAGTTAATTTTGTACGTAGTAATGAGAATATGAGATGGTTGATGATATAGATTTGATTTATCTGCAACTTGAGCAGTAAAACTGTTTTGATTGTTTTGCTGGTTATAGGGATAGACACGGAGAAGGATAGTGTTTTTTTGTATAGGTTAGGGTTTGAGAGTAAGTGAAAATGAACTATTAGCTAATATTCTGTTGTGTTCAAATGCAGGGTGTGTGAAGAGTGATTGATAGGGCTTGATGGAAGTGTCGTAACGGTTTGGTTTGAATTTTTAGGTGAACATCCAGTTATGATTTCGGATACAGTTATTATTGTTATTCTATTGCTCTTTAACCTTCGAAATGTTTTGAAAGATTTGTAGTTGAGGAATTTGGATCTTGAAGAGGAAGCTATGTGCTGTTTGTTTCCATTGACAAGGATTTGTCAAAGGTTTTACCCCGCAGTTCGATATCACCAACTCTTACCATCAGTGTTTTTGAATCTGGTTGGCAGGGAGTGTTTCAATGACCACCATTTCTGAAGGAGAGAAAGAACTGCCAGATGAAAACAGGAGAGTTGAAGATGGAATTGTGTGTGAGGGACAGAATGCTAGTGCGGATGTTGAGTTGAAGGTTGAGAGTGTTATTAAAGATGTAAATGATGAAGGTAGGAGGGCATTACAAGCCCAAGGTGCTCTACAGGTGCAGCAGCAACAGAGTCAAAGTGGAACAATCCGTTGGGAGAGATTTCTTCATGTTACGTCCATTAAGGTGCTGCTGGTAGAGAGTGATGACTCCACAAGACATGTTGTCACTGCTTTGCTCCGGAATTGCAATTATGAAGGTTAGTTCTTTCGTTGAGAAACTGATTGACACAAACATGTTGTATATTTGAACTGGAATACTAGATTCATGGTTAAGCTTCTTGGCTTATTAAATGGTGAAAGCTGAAATGCAACTTGGTTTATTGTTTATACTGTCATGTATATTTCTGTGTTATTTAATGATTAAATCATCAACTGGTACTAATATCTGTGATTATGGGAGTATGCAGTTACTACACATAGGTGGAATGGTGACTAGATGTGTACTGTATATTGATGGCCATTGAGTGCTTAGCCATGAAAGGATCTTTTGACTTGTCACCATTAGACTTGTATTCCAATTTCCAATTGATAGTCTCTGTAGTGTTTATCACAGGATGACTCAGTCATTGTGGTTCTATTCTGTAAGACTATCTTCATATATGAAACTGGGTCCGTATGAAGTGGCAATCAACTATTATCTTTCTTTTCCTTGATTAGTATTCTGATTGATGCTCTGTCCTTCATGTTCCTATCACTCAATAATCCACCAAACTTGTGCAGTGATTGAAGCAGCCAATGGATTGCAAGCATGGAGGGTTTTAGAAGATCTAACCAACCATATTGATCTTGTGTTAACTGAGTTAGAAATGCCTTGTGTTTCTGGCATAGGTCTTCTTTGCAAAATCATGAGCCACAAAACATGCAAGACTATTCCTGTTATTAGTGAGTAATTTCTTTTGGCACTCTTGAACTTCTGACAGTGCAAAGGTTTTATTATTGTGTTTGTCATCGTCAATTTGATTTCATTAACCTCCACAGTTAATACGGGTCATTTGCAGTGATGTCATCTCGAGATTCTATGGGTTTAGTGTTTAAGTGTTTGTCAAAAGGTGCAGTTGACTTTCTGGTAAAACCTATTCGGAAGAATGAGCTTAAAAACATGTGGCAACATGTATGGAGGAGATGCCATAGTGTAAGTGACTTTTCTGCACTTTCACCATCAGTATCATAAACTTTGTTTGCCTGCAAGCTTGTGAAAAAGGCATCTTTGATATTCTGGTCTCATTTTATCATTTGTTAAGATTAAAATAATTGCTTTGTCTACCACAGCCATTTTTTTTATCTGAAAAAAGAAAAAAAGGAAGGGAAAGAAAGAAGAAGTGAATATAAACTTCTTCTTTTTCCCTCGATAAAATTTAACATTGTACCTTTTCTGTATTTTATTTTCTTTGTTCATTAATTAATGTTTGCTTTTCTCAGTCTAGTGGAAGTGGGAGTGAAAGTGGAACACAAACCCCAAACTCTGTAAAATCAAAGAGCATTGAGAAGTGTGACAACAATAGTGGCAGCAGTGATGGAGAGGACAATGGAAGTCATGGTTTGAATATTGGTGATAGTAGCGATGATGGAAGTGGCGTTCAGGTTCCATAATTTCCTTAGTCTTTATCTTTACTATAAGGTGCCAACTCTTTGTTTGAAAATTGATTGGGATGTTTCTTTTAACTTATTAGTGTTCATTTACATACGGAAGAAAAAGAGTGCATTTGGGTTTGCAGCCATTTACTCTTAAACAGTAGAAATTTTCATTAGCTTAAATCTATACGCTCCATCTGAGATGAAAGCTCCTTTGCTGTGTCTGTGTGCTTCATATCTAGTTATTCAACATTGGCCATCAACGTCTCTATATCAAGCCAAACAATCCAAATAGTTTTGGCAAGACAAGGGAGTCAGTTGAATACTTGGGATCAAGAATGATGATCAATAATGGTGTGCTTGGAACCCATATATTGTTTTTGAAGATGGAGCAGAAATTGAAGGCAGAGTTCTCCTTACAATATTAACATCCATGAACTGCCTGCACTTTTCTCCATGAAACTGATTCTTACATAATACATTAGAGGATCTATTACTAAGTGTTTTTTGGGTGTGAACTGTGTGCTGCAGTTATAGCTGATAAATGTGTGACTTATGGCGAAATGAAATCTGAACATAATATTGACTTATAGATTACATACTTCTAGTCTGAAGAAGTGTTACAATTTCCAGTGTCTTGAATACTTTGTTGGCTTGGAAGGATGAACAAAATGCTTCATGCCGAGTTATATAGAAGACTCGAGATTGATAATTGAAATGATGTCATGTTCTAGTGCTGAAAGTCTGTTGCTGAACATTTTTGTATGACATCTTTATTCTTATTTTCTAATTCTTGTCTATCTTTAATATTCTAGTCTCTGCTGTATCTGCGGTGTTTCTTAAATTTGCTGTTGGATTTAAGTAACATTCAGTTCTTTTTATATGCACCAGTAACCAAAACCAAATGTATTGATCTATTGGTATTCATTCCAACCTACCGAAACTGGACTCATACATTTAATCTGTGAAAGAAAGAGTGCAGGACACTTGGTAACATGATTTTAAAATGTAAGCATTCAATTTTGCAGAGTTCATGGACTAAGCAAGCTGCTGAAGTTGATAGCTCTAAAGCAGTGTCTCCATGGGATCAGGTAACTGAATGCCCAGACAGCACTTGTGCGCAAGTTATTCGCTCGGATGCTGAAAACTCCGGTAACAGAAAGGTGCATGTTGCTGCAACTAAAGATTGCCAAGAAGAGAAACAAACTGGTACCAATGTTTTTTTTTTTTTTTTTTTTTTTTTTTTTTTTTTTTCTAATTTGTCTGCTGTATTTGTTCTTCCTTGATTTACTGATGTTTACTAAATTATGTGTGGTTCTTTCAGACAACACAAAATGCAAATACCCTGCCACGAGCATACCTAAAAGGTTGGAGACACATGTAAATCCCATTGGTGCTCCAATCAATTCTGTGGGTGAAAAACATAAGAATGTGGTGGAAATAGATCCCAGTGCAAGCAATAATAGAATAGAAAAGGAACAGGTAATTATTGTACTTGTCTATCAATTATTATTTATTATGTCATCAATACTAACATGCCTCATCCTTAGATTGACAGGAAAGAATTTGAAGCTCAAAAAATGGTTGCAGCTGTATCAGAAATTGAGAATAACACCATACATGAGTCAAGAAAAGCAGTTACTGAGCCAAGTTTAAAGAGGCTGAGAGAAATGAAAGAATCAAGAGAGACCTCTCAAGATGACCGTTATGTTTTCAGGCGTTCAGAGCAATCAGCCTTCACAAGGTTTGGTGAAAATTGATTTAGCTGCTTTCTATACTTTTCTATATGTGATGCAGGAATATCCTTAGACTAGATTTCCCTTTTCTTGGTTGTGTCACTTTGCAGGTACAATACATCATCAAAATCAAATCCTTTGAGAACTCCTAATGGGTTGACTGGAAACAGTTTGGTGATTGACAGTGGCCTAGAAAGTGCAAATAATGTGGTTAGCAATAACATAGATATGGGCTCCACGACTAACAAGCTTGCTACAAAACCACTAACTGTTCAAGATAAATCAGAAGCAACGTGTACAACTAATGGTTTGCATCCCTCCTCAGCATACAAACCTGTGAAAAACGATTTCAGGAACTGCCAATCACTAATTAAGACTAGTGACATGCAAGCTACAACACTGCTGGCTCCAAGCAGTTCTCACACAGACATCCCGGATCAGCACCTTCATCATCACAACAACCACTATCCTCATAATAGTCATCATTTCCACAACCAAGAACAACAGCCTCCATCAAACCATGATAAATTCTCACTGAAGCAATTGACAGCTAATGCTCTTAATTCTGATTCTTCTAACGTGATGGCTGGGCCTTTCGAAGGCAAGCTTGGAAATCATAGCTTGAATAAAAGTGCTTCAGGAAGTAATCATGGAAGCAATGGGCAGAATGGGAGCAGCACAGCTGTGAATGTGGGGGGCAACAATGGGAAGACTGAAACTGGGTTAGATGGCAAAGGTGGAAGTGGAAATGGCAGTGGTTCTGGAAGCAGAATGGATCCAAACAAACTTGCACAAAGAGAAGCTGCTTTGTCCAAGTTTCGTCAAAAGAAGAAAAGTAGATGCTTCAAGAACAAGGTAGGTAACATGATTTAACTTCAAACTTGATTTCAGGTTCAATCTTCCTGTTCTAGTAGAATTGATAACACATATGGGACATATCACACACGCATATATATTAGGTACACTTAGTAAAATACAGCCAAATGGGCAAGCTCTAAACGTAAAGGAAGACATGTAAGAGGGGCAATGGTGACAAATGGTAAAATACTCAAAGTGGTTGGAGAGATTTTAATTATATGGGGTGATAAAGAAGGGTAGTGGAGTGATGGATAGTCTTGGTTAGTGTTGACCGTGGCCAGCAAGTTTGAACTACCACATATAAGATTGAAGTTGGGTGGGGTTACTAGTTTTGAGGAGATTTCTGCAATTTATCAAAATCTAGTTTCATCTTTTGAATTTGTTTGTTTGGTAAGGTTCGATACCAAAACAGAAAGAGACTAGCAGAGCAGCGGCCACGCATTCGAGGACAGTTTGTGCGGCAGACGGGGCAAAACAACCCTAGTAATAATGAAAATGAGTGAACCACATACCATTCTTTCATATGCTGCACCAGGGACCAGGGTAATACATGCACAAAATGCTGCTGTTTATTCATACAGCCTCCCAACAAATTCGCTTTTCTTTCAACATCAGTAGTTTATGTGAATGTTTCGTCAAATTTTGCTAATTTTTTGTCTGCAGAACTTAACAACATTAGTCAATTCTCCAATAAAACATTTTTAATTTTTTCAAGAATTTCTAGGAAATTGGATATGGTTTGACGTGGTTTGTATTAAGAACTGTCAGAAATTGTTATACCCAATTTGTGATTCCATGAAGAAATTTTTGGATTACATCATTCTGAGGTATACATGTTACTTGCCTATATATATATAAATAATATATATATATATTTTTTGATTTTATGCTAAAATCAATTATTCGACTATGAAAAGACTACATAATTTAATTATCCAAATACCAAAAAAAAAAAAAAAAAAAAGACAAATAAGAGATGGTCAGAGGCATACCAGACATCATCATAATTGCGACTGAAAGAAATCGGCCCAATCGTGCAAAATGTAGACTAGTTATCGGCACTCTTCAGGCACATCCCAGAAGTTACAATTTTTTTACAATTTGGCCAAATATGCATGGTTTCAAATAGCTGTATGTCTAAATCTTCATTTTAAGAATCTCTACTGTACAGAGTAGGGGGATACAAAAAAAGAAAAAGAAAAAAAAGAATGAAAAGGCGGACAGGTATTTTGTTGCAATAAATTACAGAGCAACACTGAAGAGGATGTGTTTTGATAGCTACCTGCCAATAATAGGTGTGGATGTTGTTCTGATTCAAGCATTCAATCTTTAGCAGTAGCATTGTCATCGTCTTGAAGCCCATTCTGAAGTTGACTACTGCTTGTGTCCTGTCCTTCAGCAGTAGGTTTACTTTCCATGGATGATGGATCAATTGGCGGCTTTCCCTGCCATATTTAACATATATAATAATCAATTCATCAATAAGCACCCCCCAAAACAAAAATTCTGACACCAAGAAAACTGAACTTCATATAGCCTGAACAGCTCATCAATTTAGCATTAGGCCAGAAGAATCAATTGCACTCAACTCTATCACTTTGCGTAACTGCAGAATTGGTGAAAGTAAACAAATTAAGCAACCTTTTTATAGCAAAATTTTAAATATACCTTGTTCTTATCTCGCCACCCAAGCCCAAATGACAGTAGACTCATCTTTTTCAAAGGTGCATTCCTTGGAGATTCAGGTCTTCCCCTACAAGCATGTGACCACCAAAAGTCATCACCTTACACAACTCACATTAACAAAGTTAAAGCACATTCTAACAAAAATGTCAGCAGGGTCTTTTCAGATCTCTTATTCTTTCAATAGACAGTTGGAAGGAAGAATACAACCCCCCTTTTTTTTTTACAGGATTTGTGCAATTATTTTATTAGATAATCCAGAAAGCAAACAGATCAGAACACCAGAATAACAAGGGGATAGAAGTACAAAATATATTACACTCATAAACCACACAGCACACACCCTGGGGAAGCTAAAGCTTTGACTTGGCCAGATTCGTATTGCATGGTTGCTTCCAGCATTGATTCTGCCATGACAGCTCTCTTCTCCATCTGAGCAAGGGATGCCATGGCCTTTTCATACTTCTCCTGTATAGAATTAGTTGCAAGGTACAAACAAGGCAAGTTAAAGAACATACGTTGCCAAATCATCAAGTGGACAGCACAGCAAACAGCTTTTCATCAGCAGGGCTTTAGGTCATCCTCAAATGTGAGGAAGCTGAAATTACTGCATGATGTATATCCAACCAGCAAAACCAGAGAATAAAAAGGCAGAGTACTTTTTAAGGAACAAACTGAACTAAGAGAGAAGAAAAAAGAACAAGAAGAAGAGTTCATTGGCACATATTTAATTTATTTAATTTAAAGTTAAAAAGAGAAAAACCTGAAGAATGTGTGCTGCATACTTTTGAGCAACTGCATCTTGCTCTGCAGCAATCCGAGCCTCTTCAGTTATCTTCTGCTCTTGTTGAAATTGCACCAGAAGCTACGCAACTATGAGTTATTAAATGCACTTAACTGTTAACATTAACAGGAGATGGAAGATGAATTTAGTTCCCAGCCTATACCTGAGACATTGCATTCTCCTGCTCTTTCTTATCTGCAAGGGTTTGTTGCAGTTCCTCCATCTGTTCCTCCAGCTCCTCAACCTGCAAATTGACTACCAAATCATCAAGAATTATAGCTAATATAGACTGATCTATTTTCGGTGGCATACAGGAAAAGTACGTAGATGTTTCATGTCTAAATAGAAAGGAAAAAAATTTATATATATATATATATATATATATATATATATATATATATATATATATATATATATATATATATATATATATATATATACATTGCCTGATCACCATTCCTTAAGATGGGCTAGATTAAAGGATATTTTAGGAAATTTCATTAGCCTCCATTTTGTTCATTTTTATACTCAACCTCTTCTTCATTTATCTCTTACACTTGTTGTGTGTGTTCGTGTGTGTTTCATAACAAATACAGCTCCATAGTAACAGATATCTAGGATACCCGAGCACTTAATTCTCGTCGATTATCTTCCTTGACCATTTCCATAAGGGCAGTTTCCAATTCTTCAGCTCTGGAAAAAGAAATTCATCATGCATTAAGCCAGTATCTTCCTTTTCTGAGTGTGAGCAATACCTTCAGCAATCACATACTGCTAATAGATATTTTCAGAACAGAAAAACAAAAAGATAATATGAATTCAAGCAAGAATGTGTAGTCACTACAGAAAATGTTCCTGTTTCAAACTGGTGCCAAAGTCAAGTAAAAACAAATCAAAGAAATAGCATGGAATCTCATACATGACAGCACAAAGTGAATCTGGTCCTAATAGAGAATGCAGGAAAACGATGACAGAATAAGTTTTTACCCAGCTCGCACTTGTGACTACCCCCTTAAGCTAAACAGTTAAGAATTCATTTATCCTAGAATACCTTTCACGTTTTTATCCAGTTTAGGAAGCACCTGCAGACAATGTGATATAGAATATCAAACAGCAGAGAACATGAAAATAACCTGAGTACTGCTGCTCTTTTCTCTTCCAGCAAATTACATAGCTCAACCTTCAACCATACCACCTGCACAGGAGCTTTCAATTGTTGAAACTTTAAAACTGCTAAGAGAACTTCAACCATACTAAAAATGAAAAGCTGCCAGTGTTTCAGAAGTATGATTTGTTTAAATAAGACATTTCCTATTTGCCTAGAATATTCCCAAGCCGTACATTTACCTGTTCTTGAAGATCTGGAACAGAATCTACTTCTGAATCTGATGTCATGCTGTTTAGAAAATCTTCCAGATTTGTAGAGCTAGTCCTGGAATGTGATTTTTCAGTGTCTGCATTCTTATCACTAGGCCCTTCCTCCACTTTAGATTGTTTCTTTCTTGATTGAGGATCATGCTTGAAACTATAGAGCCTAGTTGCAAGACTTTTTTGATCATTCAAAACTATACCAACTTTTGATCTTTCCTCTATTGACAACATAACAGATGGCCGATGCTTTTCTCTTAGTTCTTTCAATTTATCTTCTGTTACATTCAAGAAACCCATGCAAGCAGTCAACACAAGTTGGCTGCTATCAAAAGTTGAACCAGCAAGGGACTGTAATAAAGTGATGGCATCTCCTGCATCATTAGCTGTCACTATAGCAGGACCTGCAACGATTTGAAGCTTATAATATTTCCTCACCAACAGCTTCATATATCAACAGGAAGCAAACGTTAATAGCACAACTACTTAGCCAAGATAAGAGCAGTCCCAATACCATACAACTCCATCAAAGCAAGTGCAGTTCGAAATAGCATGACACGATTTCCTTCAAACAGGAGTACATCCCAAACTCGAAGAACTAAAGACAAGAGAAAAGAAGAAGAAATGAATAACATGCCAGGCGATGTATCTTAGATTCTTAGTTGTAATTACAAGAGGAAATACAATACATACATAACTGAAAGACAGAGTTCTAAATTGAACTAAGGTTCCCTTATTGCAAAGCATATCACTCACCACTTTCCCATGGAAGCATATTTACAAATATTGAAAGGAACCAAGGAGCAGATAACCATGTAACCTGCACTCCCAAGTAATCTAGATGATTCACTGCACCAAAATCATCAATTAAGGAACTAACATCTTCTTTATAGCCAACAAAGAGGAAGCAGAAAATCATTTAAACAATGTACAGACCCAGTTTAGGAAACCTTTCACGCATCAACTCCTCAAAAACAAGTTGGTCAACCTGAAAATGGAAGAAATTACTAGAGCCAGCTGTGAAAATTGTGTAGTCAAAAGAGTAAATATGGTAAGCAAACCTGAGACTCTATCATTTCTTGTGAGAAACATCCATCAAAATAGTCATCCATAATACCCAATAAGGCCCTGAAAGATTTAAAAATAAACTAGGCTATAAAGTTAGCTTAGTTCTGATAATTTACTACTCAATCAACTACACAAACAGAACCACACAGCAACACATATACTATGAGGAATTTATTACAAAGTTGCAAACCACAGTCCTGAATCTGATAATGTGTAAATTCCAATGTGAAACAAATTTGCATGCATATTTGCGGGTCTATATTGCCTATTACAACAAAAGAAAGAAATAAAACAAACACATTAACTGAAGTAACAGTCTCTATACATTTTTGTACACATATGAGTGTTAGTGAGAGAGAGTAAGGGTGTGAACCTAAGGTTATACAGCTCCACCAAGTTCTAATTGTTCAAAATTTGTTTAGTTGTTAATTAAACAGAACTTATCTCCTGACAAATTTGTAAATATGGTCCGTTTAGTGACTTCCATACAAAAATTTTGCTCAAAGAGAGATTCTTGAAATTCAAAGAGTGGCACATGACCTTAGTCACACCCAAAATTGACTTCACACTATCTTAAAGTGCACCTATTCAATCTGAAGATGTATTTCCCTTTTTTTCTGTGTCTAATACTCTAATAGTTCACTTGTCTAGTTTTAATTGTATGAAAATGGCATATCTCAAACCAAAGAGTAAAGAGAAAAATTAAAGCCTGTGATAGTGTGACAATGGTTCTAGCAATAAGCCAAATAATTGATCCATAAAAGACTAGAATTATGCTTTGATACAAAAGAAGCTTTACTTCCTATAAAGATAATACTCTGTACATGCTAAATAGGACTTGGCATTTGGAAAGCATCACTAAAAGCTTACCAAAAGGCATTTTCCTCTGGCATCATGAGCAATAATATACCAGCAAAAAAATTCATTGCCTGCAAGAGATTTGCTTCAGTATTATAATAAAATGAAGAAACATGCATTAGAAACAAGAAAAATCCATCAGTAGCTCCAGTTACTGAATGAACCCCAAGAACTGATCATTAAATGAGAGGAATTTGAACAAGGTTTTGATTGAAAGACAACTAATATTAAGCTAAGAATTACCTGGCAATACCCAACTGATGGGTTATGCCGAGCATATGCCATAAGTAAGCGCCTTAAAGAATTTCGACCATTCTCATCCAATGCAGGATGCCCAGGAAAAGTTCGAGCAAGATCCTATATTATCAAAAAAAAAGAAAAGAAAAAAAAAAAAAAGAAGGATCAGGCAATGAACAAATCTGGTTAATTAATAAAGAAAAAGAAGCATCAAGTACCAAAGACTGATATCTGCACAAAAATCCTGAAGAAACAAAAAGCTTGTTTATCTAGACCCAAAAAAAAAAAAAAGAGAGAGACCATGGTAGACTAAGCAAAACACGCCAGAAAGAACAAAGCAGATGCATCCATTGGCCACTTAACAGTCAGTACGCAGGAACCAGCACCACTCTTTTAATGGCAATCTAGTAAAACTACCTCTTTTGTGATAAGTTGATAACTAATTTTTGAGGAAGATGGAGGTATAGAACAAGAGGATGCAAAACAATGAGCAAGAACACATTCTTAAATGACCACCCCGGATGGCCCTAAAAAGAAGTAGCACCTACGAATTAAAAAGATTGAACGATAAATTCCAGGGCCCATGCATCTAATGACCTTCTCAATCTGCTTCCTACATTTTTCTGGCACATCAGCTTTTTCTTTATTGCATCCCTTACTATCATTGTCTAGTAATGGTGTGTCATTCTCACTTTCAGAGACAAGCAAATCCTGGTAATATCTCTCCACCCGACGTGCCCTAACACCAACAAAGGCTTGCCAGACCTGAATCATTTAATACAATCTCAATATTAGAGATAGAATTTAAGAAAAAACTTCAAAACCAGTAGAATTGTCAAAAATGTACCTCTCCCCGGAGATCTCTTGGTACTCCTCCATGAACAAGTATCTCAAGTTCATCCTTCCAAGGTACAGAAGATTCTACAGAAATTCCATCATCTGCAGTACATCCTTCAGCAGCTGTTCTTGTACTGTCATCCAATATCACATTGTCGTTCTCATCCTCGTCCCCAGATTCTCCCCTTGAAGGTTTTGACTCTTCAGTTGGCAGAAGATGATCAGGAGAAGATGTTAACTGGTCACCTTTCAAGTAATTTTTCTTCTTTACACGAGATGCCATCACAGTTTCAATAGCACATAGAGATGATTTAATGTCAGTCCATGTCTTCACCTCACGGCGTTTTGATTGTGTGGAAGGTGGCACCTCTTTCTCAAGATTATTTTCTGTCTGAATGTCAGAAAGAGGCTTCTCTCTATCTGAATCATCAGCTTCTCTCTGCCTGCTTTCAGAATCCTCAGTCCTGTCCTCCTCTTTGCTAGGATGTTGCTGTTGATCAGATACTTCTTCGTTGTTAAGAAAACTCTTCCACCTATCTGATCTTTCTTCTTCCTCTTCCTAAACCATACATATGAAATTAATTTAGGCACTAATGCATGCAACATCAGAAAAGTATGGTATGATTCAGAAGATACTACTTGTTTGCTGCTTCTGCCTTGATTATGGGAGAAAAATGAATACTTTCCATGACTTTTTATTTTTTATTTTTAAGATGCTCATCATACATTATAGTCTTTCATCCCTACCCTAAATTCATGATCATACAGTTGCACAAATCAAAAAGCTAGAAACATCCTTCCAATTTACTGGTAATATTTATTTTCATGAAATAGTTCCATCATAGAATGAACAGAGACATACAATGTTGTAATAAACAATTACCTTATAGATAGAAGCGTACTCTCTGTATCTTTGAGCATGTTGAGGCCTCACAGTAAATCCATAGGCATCCCTGCCAAAATAATACCAATCACCTATATGTCAATCATTGCAGCAAAAGAATCACAAATCAAAAGCTATTATCAATCTAGCTTGATGGTGTTACTGCATGAGAATTCAGACATGAGATTTTAAAAATAAATTGAAGAAATATTGGGCATCCACCACATAATTATACCTGGAATCAACCTCCAAATACCGTTTACTCAATAAGGACAACAACATACTTCATCAAAATTCTAATTCTACTGCCCATGTCGCTGTCCTCTCCTCAAACCAATCCCAGATCAGAGTACCACATTCCCAATTTGACATGAACAATCCTTTTCTCCCTAATTTCTTACTAGAATTCTATAATATAAATCAACGTAAAGAATACCGCATGAGAAAAGAGCTCGATCTTACACGTACAACAATAACTAAATAAATAAATAAATAAATAAAATCACACATTAATTACTGACTAAAAAGCCTGATTAATCAAAAGACAAATGTCGCTCTATTGATCATCATTTCTCATCAGTATTTTTTTTCCAACTGAGTTAACTCGCTCTATTTTAGCTTCATCTCTATCCAACTTCGCTCCGATTTCGGCCTTAACGACACCTGTGCCGCTACTGATATATGATATATACACACACGAATATGCATGCAACACATTAACATTAACATTATGTATAAAGTGCTAAACTATGTAATTTGGTACCTTACGGGCTCGAAACCGATGAAAAAATGAGGATTTTTGAGCGTCATTTGCGGGAGCTTCGGATCGGTGGCTCTGAAAATCGAGGGATTTCCGGAACAATCGAATGGCTACTTCGCGACTTCAACTGCTTCTCCTTCAATGTCTCTCTCCGTCTGTAATCTATGAATTTGGACTGTTAAAACTGACGGTTTGGCGGTCACGTGCCCGGGCTGTGGCCTGTGGCTTCGCGGGCTTGGGTGATGGGATTTGACATGAATTGCGCGCGCGTTGGAGATATTGTCACGCGAGAACGTACAATAAATGTATGCCATCAATGGTCAAAATGACACGTGTACTACATTTTCAGATCCTGGTAGTTATTTCGGGGGTACCAGTTATGCAGTGCACCTGCAATAGACAGGTACGGTGCCAGTTCATTATGATTTTCTTCGGTTTTTAAAGTATTTAATGGATTTAATTAGAAAAATACTACATAGACTCTCATTTCTTATTCATATTATAAAAATATTTAATCTTTGAATAAAAGTAATGGAGTAGAATTTGAGAGTATATGTCATAGAATTCTTTTAATTATGCGCTTGAAAGTAGGGCTTATATGTTGTACAAAGTTCAATCCAGTTTTATACTTGTCATATAAAACTTGTTGGCTTGTTGCTATATATACGTCGTTATTTATAAGTATAATAATTTTTTTAAATAGTTGTGACAAATAGATTAACTAAGATAAGATAACAAAAGATCTGGAGAGGAGTCGTGCCAAACTGAACGACCTAAGGCTACCCCATGAGTTGTAGCAAGAGCATGGGTTCTGCCTGATTAAGCATTCTACGAATATGGCAAACGTAGTACAACTCCAAAAAATTCAAAAGGGATCTACACTCCTAAAAGAAAGAACCTAAATACAAAAGGTGAGATATTGTTTCGTAAGTTGATTGCAGACAGACGTTTGCTAGCCCCCGATCTTTTATCCACGAAAGAGCCTCCCGGCATGCCATTACTTCTGTTATTACCAGAGACGTTGCATGAGTGAGAAGGTCATTTGCTGCTAAACGAAAGAGCCATCTACCGCCACTACTGTGAATCCAAATGACGCTTTTAAATTTTATATAATTAATAAAGTTTGTAGAACTTTTAAACACATTGACATATAACTTTCATGAATTCGAACTCAATAATTATTTATTAATTATAATAGCTTTATTTGACTGTAATAGTGTAATATTGATAATTGCGGTCAACTACGTCATTGAAGAAAGCGACTAACCGGTTGCCTTCTTCAGTGAAGCCTTCTTACAATAAAAAGGCGACATACAGCCAATTGCATTCTTCAATGACATAGGAGACTAGCCAATCGCCTTCTTCAACGACATAGACAACCGTTCATCAATTTTGCGTGAATGAAGAGTTTTGCATGCCACACACTATAATCTTAATAACCAGCCATTACATGTGATTAGCTAATTAATGTGCCTAGATGCACATGCACCAATTACACATTGATGTGTTCAATTACTACTTTAAGAAATTCAGGAGCCTATTTAACCAATCAAACAAGGAAGTGTATTTATTTGATATAAAATGGGAAACATTTGCCACTAACACATTACAACAATCGCATCTACTGTGAAATGCAGAGGCGGCCGCAGATATTTATTTAAACTACAAAGACTATGCAATGCGTTATAACGTTTAAGGTAGGAATTGAAGTTGCAAAAAGCACACTTGTTGAGGAGCATGCAATCTTATATATGACTGGCAGTGATGAGATGAAACTCAAACATTATGCCTGCAATTAGATGAAGAGGAGCAAGAGTAGTTAGCAGCTGTACAGCTTATATTGCACTGTAACAAAAGATCCAAGACTTCCAAAACTATGTTATCTCAGAAAGGGTGATTACCATAAAGCGACTCTTGTAGAATTCGATGATCTTTGGGATATCGCATTTGGTCACCTTGTAAGCGTTGATCTTCTCCAGCTCCTGCAAAGAATTACAATATCGAATATCAGCCAAGAACGAGAAGAATGCAGTCTCGCTTCCTCCCGAGAAGAAGATGGAAGCTTGGGATAATGTTGAAGGACAAAATACCTCAATCCAGGTAGCGAGACGAGGCCTGCCTGATGTAATGTCATACTTAAACACGTCTAGTATGAAGGGACGGAACCTTTCAATGAATGGAGCATAAGCAATGTCCACCTGACGCGACACATTTTACATAGTTAAAAGTGTAACGATATACACAGTAAGCTTCAATGAACAGATACTACATTGTAACAGAGTCAGTATTACTTCAATTCACTCAAAAAATGTGCTTACCTGACTGAATTCTCCAAGGAAGAAAGGACCATCGTATTTGTCAAGTGCATTTTCTAAGTGGTCAAAGACACCGGCTGATAAAGCAATGTTACAAATAACAGTTAGTTACTTAAGCTTCTATGAATGATTGCGAGCTACACAATAAATCTTTATATCAAAAAATAAATATACTCCGTGTGTATATAAAGAACATTACCTGCATCTTTCTCAGGGTTTCCCTTGAATGAACCATACACTCCTTTGAGGAATGTGTCACTGTAGGCAATCAACTCTTCGGCAAACTTCTGCTTCTCAGGATCCTACAGAAATTTACTGATATCTATTACATATCACGTTTTTTTCAGGGAGAAGCCTCTCGAATTCAAGGCACGGTGTGGGGTGTTAGAAAAAGAGAGCAGCCATTGAAGTCGTGAAGAAAAATTTTAAGGTTTACATTGGGTAAAAGACGAGGTCCTTCAAAGTTACTGTCGATATACTTAATCAGGTCCAAACTCTCTCCAATTACTTTGTTGTTGTGCTCCAAAGAAGGCACCTGCATAAAAATAGATTAACAAGTTAGCTGCAATTGAGCCAGTTAATGACCTATTAAATCTTAAAAAACAAAAGAAATATATAGTACCTTGTTTTCTGGGTACACCTTCTCCTTGTACCAAGCAGGCCTATTCTGAAGATCAATTGGAACCAATTTTATCTTATCTTGTAAACCCTGCAATTAATCACAACAAAAAAGCAAGCATGAAAACCCCCCATCAAAATGTCAAGGCAACTCATTACTCAAGGTTAGGAAGCCAACCCCACAGCTGAACTTTGAAATCACACTACCAAACAAGGATGAACCCAATTTTAAAATGGCATGCACTATACTTTGTCATGTTCTAAAAGTTACAAGTTCGACTCCCAGTGAGAGAGGCCTATTGGCTTTCCTGGTCTGAGGCTCTGAGCCGGTCAATTATAGACAACCTAGACTGGTCAGTTCTTTGCCGACTAAAGTTACACGAGACTGATGAACAAACCTTGTAATTTCTAGTAATCCAAGCACGCTGGGCAAAGGGGCACTGGTAATTGATATACAACCTTCATCAAACATAACAAAAATTTGTTTAAAATGTAAGAAAAAGACAAATTTCGGAATTGCATAAAGCACAAAGAACATAGATACTAGATAGTATGCAATAGCTACCTTGTGGTTCCATCGAAGATGTGAGGTGGTTCGGAGGTGGAATCCAAAGAGGGAGAGCGGACCTCTTCAACGCTTCTGGAAACAAATTTACAACAAAAAACCCGTAAAAATCCAAAATCGGCTTTAAATCTGCATATACACCCAAAATTGGCGCCGCAAATTATGTACAATGATCGTGAGAATTGAACTTACGGAGTAGCCATTTTCGTAGGTTGTTTGATTTCCTTAAGATCGTGAAAGCGAAGTGAATTTGTGTGGTTTGGAGCGATGAATGACACTGAGGTGGAGCTTTATAGGGCTTTGATTGATTGGTGACGATAGCAGTGAGGTTTATAGAGACAAAAAAAAAAAGAGGAAATGCGAGTTTGCTAGCTCTTCGCCTCTTTCGTCAGTGGTTACGTACGAATGATCGTTGATAAATAATTACTAAATATGGTAAAAAGGAAAGAAAGTGATACTGTGTTCTGGGAAGTTCGACGACAATCGCCATCATCGTACTTCGTACCTAGACGGTTTAAGGTTGTGTGTTCATTTTGTGCCACGGCAGTCATGACGTCACTTTTTGTCGTCGCCTACTTTGACAAAACAGTAGGGTCAGCAGTCAGCAGCCACAACAGCTTGCGGTCAAATGCACTGAGTACCCAAAGTCAGAGTCTATTGTACACGTGGACGTAAAATATAAAATTTATTTAATATATTCTTTTCTAAATGTTGAATCATCAATTACAATTTACATTGCTGCGGGTGTGACTTGATCAGTCATTGTGATCAACTGAGCTGCTCATATAAATAAAATTTATTTAATACATACTTTATAGTGACTATATATAATTTTTTTTAAAAAAAAAGTTAGAATAAAGAATGCATTCAAAATAACTTGTGATAATTCAACTTATAAAAATGATATGACATGTTAAAAAATTTTGAGACAATTTGAAACAAATCTGAACTAATATATCACGATTTTAGTTCTACTTCGAAAATGGACAATTTATAACTGGTTTTGGACTATAACAAATTTGTTACACAACCTTCAAATTTTTAATTCAAATACAGATAGAGCTCATAACCTAAACAAGTATATAACATGCTTAATAAAAAAATATTACCATTCTAAACGAAAGATCACAAATTCGAATTTTATCTCAGTTCAAGAGTTGACAAATTATGTAAAATAGTTATTATAAATAAGGTTAGACTATTTCATTGGAAAACAAAAAAAAAAAAAAAAGGTTAGAGTATAGTCATAAAAAATGTTATATTTATAATGATTTGACACTTGTGTTGATTGTTACTTTATTTGTCTTAACCATTGTTACAAAAATCGGCATAAGCGCTTCTAAACCCTAACACGTGCAATGCTTAAGTCATCTAAGCACTATTCTACCGTCCGACCAGCACTTATGCAACCATGGTGTTAATTAAATAAGTAAATAACCATTTAATTTGTTAGTTGAAGTTACCGTTACCCATTTGTAACCCGTCCAAACCACAATTGCCCTTACCCAACATCTTGACATATCGAACACAGTACGCACAAGTCACAACCACTTGTTCCAGAACGTAGTATTTTTATTCCACAAAGAAATGGGAAACCTCTGCCACCCCACCAAACATTACAATTGTCGAATCAACAGTGGAAGTATAGATCAACCAGGAATTTAACACAAAGTAAACTATACAAGATTCTATGATGCATTACAATGTTTAGGAATCAATGTTGCAAACAGCATCACATCTTGATGAAAGCCACACAATCTTATCAACGGCAGAGATCAAACACAACTCAAATTTCAGGCCTGCAAATGGATGAAAAGCTAGAGTTAGCACATAATACAAGTTGTTTCTCTGCAACAAAAGATCCCAGAGACAGGTAACTACCATAAAGCGAGTCTTGAAGAATTCAATGGTCTTCGGGAGATCACATTTTGTCACCGTGTAAGCATCAATCTTCTCCACCTCCTACAGAGAATTAGGATTTTTTTAAATCAACAAAGAGTGAGAAGAGTGAAGTCTTGCTTTCCTTCAGAGAAAAACCAAAGCGAGAAATAATAGATATGTCTAATATGGATTGAAATACCTCAATCCATGTTGCTAGTTTAGGCCTGCTCGATGTAACGTCATACTTAAACACTTCTAGTATGAAGGGCCGGAGCCTTTCAATGAACGGAGCATAAGCAATGTCTACCTGAGGAAACACAATTTACATATCATGATATCAATAAGTAGATTCTCGTTTTGTTCAAAAAAAATGTAGATTTTCGTTTGTTTTCATTATTAGATACATAAGAGAAGGGAATCAAAACCAAGCCAAACAAGCAGGTATGGGCTTAGTGTCACTACACTACACAGTAAGTAACTTTCTTCTAGGTGGGCAAGAAATAAGTTTTGTTGTAATCCCATTGAGGTAAAGCAGTGGTCAATGACTCAACATCTCAGTAAGTACAGCAACGAGAAAAAAGTTCATTCAAGCAAAAAAAAGTATATACCTGACTGAATTCTCCAAGGAAGAAAGGACCATCATATTTGCCAAGTGCTTTTTCTATGTGGTCAAAGGCACCAGCTGACAAAGTAACATTATGAATAACAGTTAGTTACTTGAGCATTTTTGAACTATTGTGAGATACATAACATAACTTTATGTCAAAAAGAAAAAGAAAAAAAAAATCAAGAACGTTACCTGCATCTTTCTCTGGGTTTCCCTTGAATGAACCGAACACTTCTTTGTTGAATGTGTCAGTGTAGGCTATCAACTCTTCAGCAAACTTCTGCTTCTCAGGATCCTATAGCAATTTACGAACATCTTATAGGTATTCAAAGTTAAGGGAGCAGCTTCCCAACTTGGGGGCAGGCCGGGAATGGGAGGGATGTAAGAAAGAGAGAAAACTATAAGCAAAATTTTGAGAGTTACATTGGGTAAAAGAGAAGGCCCTTCAAAGTTACTATCGATATACTTAACCAAGTCCAAACTCTCCCCAATTATTTTGTTGTTGTGCTCCAATGCAGGCACCTGTGCAAAAGATAGAATAACGAATTTGGGTTAATTAAGGCCACTAATGGGGAATTGACTCCTCCAAAAGGAGGAATATAAAAGATCTACTAGGCCATGTACAGCAAGGAGTTGTGCTAATGGTTCTACAGCATTTGCAGGACAAGAAGACACTAGATTCATTACAAAAGAAATTTTACCTTGTTTTCAGGGTACACTTTTTCCTTGTACCAAGCAGGCCTGTTCTGAAGATCAATTGCAACAAATTTTATCTTATCTTGTAAACCCTGCAATTATCCCACCCAAAAAAAATCAATATTGAATGTTAAGGCAACAAACACTGTAATCTGGTCAACCTGCAGCTGAATTTCGTGATCACTATGAAACTCTATATAGACCAGACGGACTAACTTTTAATAGACCAGACGGACTAACTCACTTGATCAGTAATATAAATCTATATATTTATTTATTTATTTATTGTAATGTTCTAAAACTGATATTACCCCTACTGTCTCTTATGATCAATTAACCACCAAACAAATACCAGTAACTTAATACAGCAGCAGTTGCAGTTGAGAGTGGATGGTGAACAAACCTTGTAATTTCTAATAATCCAAACACGCTGAGCATAAGGGCACTGGAAATTGGTATACAACCTTCATACAAAATTTTTTTTAAAAAAATCAACAAATAAAAAATAAATAAAAATGCGCATTTCTGAACTGCATAACGCTCAACTAATAGCGCTACCTGGTGGTTCCGTCGAAGAGCTGCGGCGGCTCAGAGGTGGAATCCAAATATGGAGGGAGAACCTCTGCAACGAATCTGAAGAAAAAAAAAACCGTCAAAATCTGAATATACACGCAAGGACCAATTTTCTAAAATTTGAAAATTCTAAAGCTTTTTTATTGGAGCAACTGCAAATATTCACAGAAGATGTTCTCAGCACAGTGATCATAGGAACTTACGGGGCAGCCATTGTAGTAACCTTTGCTCCTCAGATCGTAAAAGCGAATGGATTTCTACTGCTGGGAACGATGACACTATGACAGAAAGCTTTATAGTGGTGACAAATGGAGTTCGATGATCGGAGCTTTAAGGACGGAGAGAAATGCTGGTGTGATATAGGGATCCCGATAAAAACGTAGGAACTGGGAAGTAGCAATGATTGATTAGATTCTAGAACTCCACTCATCGTGAGGTCAGCGGTGACGAATGATTATTGATTAAATATCTCCGGATATATTCGGGTCGGATCTCTCCAGAATTGTTGGTGTAATACATTAATACAAATTAATCTAGACTCAATTACGGCCAAAGTTTGTTTTGTAATACATTAATACTAGTAGATGGCAATATGGCACAAAGAGATAAATCACAATGACTCAACGCCTGCAGCCAATTAGTGATCAGTGCATGGTACGTGCAAGAAGTTCAGCACATTGGGTGTAACATTGATATTGCAGTTGTCAAGGCTCGATCAAATGTTATCGTTTACAATATAATCTACCACCTAATAACCAGCTAAGTTACATGTCGGGCGAAGGCCGGTAAAGATCAAGTCTAACACCTAGTGGTTGGAAGATTATTGGGCAGAGGGCAGTAAAGGACTTACAAGGTCGAATCCAACACCTAACATCTAAAAAATATGATGGTGATCTATAAGGAAAAAAAGTTGTGATGACGGTCCATAAGAAAATAAAATTGCACCATTTGCTTTCTAGCTATAATTTTTGACGTGAATGGTAAGAATTTGATCCTAACAAATGATATCGGTGAAAAATAGGTAATGACCAAGTCTAGCACCAGTGGCGGGGGATTGTTAGGTGGAGGCTAGTAAAGGACATTCGTTATATAGTGCACTAGGGCGCACTGCGTACAATGCATTGTGCGCCCTGCCCTACCCAAACGACGTCGTTTTGGTGCATTGTCCAAAAACAAAAAAAAAATTTATATGTTTCGAATACACATAAACTCATAACTGAATACACAGAAACCCATAACTGAATACACATAATCTACATGATACATAACAGAAACTCTTAACTGAATACTTAGCAACTCTTACTGAATACCCAGAAACTCTTAACTGAATACACATAATAAACTCTTAACTGAATACACAAAAACTCTTAACTCAATACACATAAACTCATAAAACAATACACAAGAACTTTTAACTGAATACACATAATGGGGTTTAGGCTGTTTGGACAGACGGAGTGACGTCATCAATTAAAACGCGCCCGTTTTGTGCCTGGGCGCACATTGCTAAGTGCGTTATGGTGCACGATATAAATTGTCGGTAAAGGGCTTAAAAGGCCAAGTTCAACACCCAACATCTCGAAAATGTGATGACGATCTATAATTCACTACTCACTATAACTTTTAGCGTAAATGGTAAGCGCTTGATCCTAACATTACCCATGCAATTTGATGTAATTAAATATACTAACTTGTTGATTTGATGCAATTAAACTAATTAACTGGTTACTTAGAAAAATGTTGTCGTGCCAATATGTATTCAAATAAATTTATTAAAATGTTTTAATAAATCTATGGAGATCGAAGTTGGAAGCTTCTCCGTCACCTAAATGGGGAAGCGGAGAAGGCTGAGGTCACCGGAAAATCATTAGAGTTCGGGATAAAGTTTATAGTCGGCAACCATCCTATTTTTAAAAATTATTTTTGTTTTAGTATGATTGGTCATAGTCCACAGTTACACTCCATGATATAACGATTGCACCTATTCATAATATGTCTGTGAGACAAAATGCGCTCAACAACTTTGGCATTTCCCTTAACAATATACCTGTGATTTAAACACAAAAAATGTATGGATACTGCTAATATTAAACACAATAAATTGTGCGGTACTCTTGACAACTGAACTCAAAACCTGTTGAAGGTTAAAGTTAGATCCATGCCAGTTGATAAATATAAACACATTATGTTTTGTCTGCTTTATTTCATGCTCCAACCTGAAATATTGGGGGGAATTAAAACTCTGTAATTTAGTTCAAAAACCTAAAGTAAGACCGTTTTATTTAGTTATTTTATAAATTTTTATTACAATAGATTTGATTTTTCTCTTTTGTGGAGTAGTAGATTAGAAGTATTATGTTGTCCAAATTCTAGCCTATTTCGAGTTATCTATCCCACCCTACATAGGGAAAATGTCCTATCTTCCCATTTATAGAGTAGGCGCATAGGTCCATCATAGATTGTGCATTTGTGCATGCTTCCTTGTACTTTTTCTTTCTAAAGGGGAAAGGGTCCGTCAAGTACAAAAGGTTCAGGGCTGTACGGCTTGTACCATTATCAAGAAGCATGAGAAGAGTCTTTGGTAAGACCGTCTCCGAGACAAAACTCTTGAAAAAAGTGTCTTTGTTGTCTGTGTTTGTAAGGGAAGTGACCAACTATTATAAATTTCCTTAATACTAATACATTTATTGATGATCTCAATGAAACACCATCAACCAAATTTATGCACTCGACACAGAATTCTATTATCAAAAGGTAAGTTTAATAACAAAGGATATCTTCTGTGCAATTTTATTAGTGTTAAAGACACTATGAAATGATATTTCGAATTGTATAGATTCAAGAAATTGTTTGATTATGTAATTGATTTTATTGTTCTATTTCGGTGATAATAAGTTTAGGATTGGCAGATCATTTGGATTCAAAATGTTAAAATGCAGTTCTCATCATAAAAGAGGATTCATTTTATGGGATTGCTGAAAGAAATTGAGAATTTTTGAAATAAATAGATCTAGACAAAAGAAGGCTGGAAAAGAACAATAATAGTTAGAATAGTAATTTCTAAACGATTTTCCAAATAACTAAACTATGTAATTGTAATAACATAAGATTCGTGAACCAAAATGCAAGAATGTATCAAAAAGTTGAGCCCAAAATGTATGAAGCTTTTGCAGTGTGTAGAATAGATACAATGAAAGTACTGTTATCAGTTCTTAAGTTCCATTGAACAAACACAAAAGCCATAACTGCTACAAAAAGTAAAATTTTTGGCTGCTAAATGTATGCAAGTTAGAAGCATCCACTTTTTATTTAAAGGAAATGCAGAACATTTCATATATACATGCCGATAATAATAATAATAATTCTCGACTTTGAATCTAGAGAAGATCAGTTTCCACTTACTGTGAAATGGATTCTACTATCTCCTTCTAACCTGAAAAGGATACAAAGAATAGAAAGACTTTTTCTTGTTGTCTATGCAGTAAGATAAACTGCATCATACAGTACAACATTTATGCTGAAGATTACTGCGTTGGATAAGGAGGTATGCCTCCACCCGCTCTAATTGAAAGGGTGGAAATATGCGAGGAGCTTCGACTCGTGGAACCGGGATCTAAAAACAGCACCACAACTGTAATGTCGTCGTGGAAATGCCTCCTCACGCCTCTTTCGATCTTCTTCAGGTCCGAGTACCGCATTTCTCTTTTCTTGGCTGCCACGTGAAGTGCTGCTTTGATAAGTCTTCTAGCAATTCCCTGCTCATTGAGTATTCGAGTGACAATAACGAATGAGTGAAATTTCCAAGATCATAGTCTGATGAACAATTTTGCATTAATGCTTAAACCCACTGTTGCAAAAATCGGTCTAGGCGCCCCTAGGCGATTTCCCCCTAGGCACCCGCCTAGGGCCTAACTCGGCCGAATTTGGCTGAGTTAACTCGTTCATTTCGGTCAAGTTAGCCGAGTTAACCCGGCCGACTCAGTATTGCTAAAAAAAATTTCAATATATATATATATATATATATATATATATATATATATATATATATATATACACACACACACACACCTACACACGTGCACTGTTTTTCTTTTTTTTAGTTAGCCACCTAGGCCGTCTAGGCGCTACTCTACCGCCCGACTAGCGCCTAGCGCCTACTGCAACCATGCTTAAACCCGAGCATCATATCAGTTTCAGTTTCCACCTTGTCTTGAAAATTATGGTTCATTTATTATCAAGTTACTTCAATTGTCTGCTGCATTAATCCTCGAGTTTATTGTTTTGAGAAAAAGGAAGAGTGCAACTACGGGATGTATCGAGAGAATTAGAGCTTACATTACGAGGGGAACTGTGAACGATGTCAGCTGCTTCCTGGTTGCTAAGGTGCTCCCACAGACCATCCGAAGCAAATATGAGGAATTGGTCGTTGGAGCTGAGTTTGTGGATAGAAATGGATGGTTCGGGACTAAGGATCGGGTTGGAGAAGGGTTCAGATAACCTAAATTTTGCCAATAGTGGTGCTCGGTTGAATTCCGCCTTCTTAAGGTAGGCATCACCAATGGACCTCGAGACCTGAGAGAAGCCAGAAAGGATAAGAAAATTTGTAATTAACAACCAATTGACAAATAGTGACTAAAGCAAGCTCTCCATTGAAGCGTTTGCACATAATTGTCGAGAATGGAGTACCTGTATAAGACCCTTCACACGCCAAACATTGTGCTTTCGAACCACAATTTGCGAGTCGTGGGGATGCAATGAGCGAAGCTCATCTCTCACGGCTTCAATATTAGCATTGTGTTCCATCGACAATTGTATCGCCGTGACTCCTCTAACACCCTTATCTGCTCTTCCCAAAACCGCCCGAGAGTCTCCAGCATTGGCAACATAAACGAGTCCATTACACACTACTCCTACCAAACAACACGATCCCACTGCCGCAATTTGTGGCTTATAGTGCCACTGCTGCTTTACAACAGACAAAAACTCCTCCTCGGTTGCCAGGAAAGCCTTTTTAATGATGCCAGCAGAGATCTCTCGTTGCTCCGATGCAAATTCTAAGAAAAGGAAACGAAGGTCAATACAAGCACTATCAAAGAAATCCCACCATAAAGAAACGAACATTCATAAATCTAGGCTTTATGCAGACAATAGGCAACAATTAAGATAACCATAAAGAAACGAACAACCATATGGAAAGAAACACATACTCTTAAGATTGGAGAACAAAGAATCGTTGATAAACCGAGATGTCTCTGGCCCTCCATGTCCATCATAGACGCCGACAAATGTCCCATGAGGACCCGAATCAAGGTTACTCAACGGGCCTGATTCGAGCTGGCTTTGATCCTCCAACAAACCGTTTGCTTGTATAACCGCCATCGAGAATTCCCCATTTACATGAGTTCCCAAATCCTTGTACCACATCAGTCCATCAACCTTGCCATTTGGATCTCTACAATCCCCACTTCTCCTACCTCCATCTCCCACCACAGAACCCCACCAGCAAGGTTTCACCATTTTTCTCTTCTTTCTTTTCTTAATCACAATTCACAACTATTTCCTAGCACCTAATTACATGTATATATACACTCCTAGCTACCATTCATCCAAAAATATGTGAGAAAATTTGATGTCTTCTTAAACACTCAAAACAATACTATTATCCAAAAGAACCAGGAAACAATATAGTCATCAACCCCAATCTGAGCTCCAGTTTTTGCTTATGCTCCAAACCCACAACACCAATTATGAATACTATATACCCACCACCACAACAATAAGAGCTAGACACCATTAATGTGTAAGAGGGCTACAAAAAGACCAAATGGGTATGGGCAAAAATTAAATCTGCAGCAAAAACCCCGGCCTCCCAAGACAAGAAAGCAATAGTTTTTATGCTAGTTCAGAGAATATGGAGGCGTGCTGGGGGGCTGGGATAGCATACCTTGAACCTGGGTTTAATCGCTGTGGACCTTCCATGGATGAGTGTATCAACTTTCAGCAACAACATTAGCTGTAAAAAGCCATAAAAGATTGGATGATGGCAGAGTTTGTTCCTGATCCGAAGGGATCAATCAAGAGAAAAGGGGTAACATTTCGGATAAGAAAATAAATAACAAGACTGGGTTTTGGAAGTTCTCGCTCAGAATATCTTTGTATCAGTGCATTGGTGTCGGATATATCTCAGATTTTGATCGCCAAGAAAAGAGGGGTTGCGCAATAAACTAAAACACTTTAATCCAACTACTAGTTTTCTCCAGACAACTTGTTTGCTTGTGTGTTTGTTTGTTGTATGCATTATTTACACACATATAATAAATAAGGAAATAATTAGTACATTGCTAAAAAGATACCACATCTACGGCTATAAATAATATAAAAATATGGTTCAGTAGATAGTATTTGAGAGAAGATATCAAAGTTTAAACCTCGGTGGTAGCAGTATGGAGATTAGGTCTAAAACGAGCAGATCCCTTGTAAGCACCGGTATTTAGTCATGTATGCTGAGACATTAAGTTACCGCGATTTATATCCTCCCAAATGCTTTGTCCGGCCGGTGTGGGCTTGAGTATTCAATTATATACTCTCAAATGCTATGTTGCTCTGTTGTCAAGTCATGAAGAGGTCGTTTTATAGGTGACAATTATATTTTTTAAGAAAAACGTACAAACAGGCTATTGAACTATTTAGGAGAAAAAGTGTAATTAGTATTTTAACAGGTTAACAACAAGTTTGAAGCATAATCTATATTTTGGTTATAACTCCACAATACCGCCGTTGAGATACGATGATTATATGATTTAACATTTATTTTATTTGTAAAAAAAAAAACATTATATTCAAATTTTGAGATACAATTTGAACATAAGATCTATTTTTTTTAATGGGCATCTTTATCACGTAAATTGTGCCAAGGAAGAAATAATAATAATGAAGTGGCAATGTATATTAATGATAGATTTCTAGCTTCTTCTTCACAATTCTTTAAAGAATTGCCTTATTTTTCATTATCAATTCTGTGGTCTCTATGTTATAGCATGGACAGATGGGCTATAATAAAATGTTTGTTACAGCACTGATTTATTTTGTCTTTCTTATTGTTTGTCATTTATTTCCCTGGACTAGATTTGACAGGATCCACATTGTTGAACAAGTTGTATCAGTGGGATTTACTTTTGTATGGGACTGGTGGGGCTTACAATTTTATTTTTTTTTTTTGAAATTTTTATAAAGTTATTGAATGAATAATTACATGCATACATAGGTTATATTTCTGGAGGAGTTATCCGAATAGGTAAAACATAATTATCATATTAAAATATTATAAATTTAATTCTTATCAACACTCTCTTGGTCAAACTTATTACATAAGTCTTCAGTTTACCTCTCCTTTGTAGTTTAAGCGGGGTCTTCAAAATACTCTTCTTACTCCCATAGAGCAGGTTCTTTTACCCTTCATTTTGCTCATCTTTAATGATGATTAAAGAAAATATAAAAATGCTAAAAAAAATAACAAAACAAAAAGGCTACATAAGCATGGTATTTTTCAATTAAGTAGGGACAAGTTATTTTGGTTTAATGGTATGATTTTAACTTTGTTTGAGTTATGGCTAATTGTCTACATTTATGTAATATTTGTTATTTTTCTTTGATTTAAGAAAAAGGCCACAATTATTGTTCAAAGGTGTGTTTTGAGTGAAGACGCTAATCAGCAAATGATCACAATAAGATAAATTAGCTTAAATCACTTATAGTTGACCAGCTCAAACCGAGAAGGTCGCAATTCTCTTAAGGAGTCAAGCTTGGAACTTGATGGTCACCAATACTAGTGACCCGACCAATAATGAAAAAAAATAAAAAACTACAATAATTTTGCTTTATCTTTTAACTTTTTTCAGAAGATTCATCTTTTCCTAAAGGGAATCAGCTATGGCATAGCTGTTGAAGGTTGAAACAGGAGTTTAGGGTCCACAACTCAAAGAAGAGGGCAGTGATGGTGATACATTTCTGCATTTGGATAAACATTCAATGGATGTGTATAGCAAAACAAGTAACATCAACCCTCTCTGATCTGCAATTCTTGATGAATTCTTGGATCTTATGCTCCAACTGCAATTGATTATGCCCTTCTCCTACCACCAAAACTTTAATGCAGAAATGGCATTCAATCCCCTCCTTACACTGGAGGGATAAAAAGGCAGAGCCTCTCAGATACAGTGCCCAAACTAGCCTTCTTTAACAAACATATCTAACTTTTGGGACATAATTTCTTGATTTTGGTAAGGTGGCTTTTCTTTGTTTGTATTGGATTTTACTGTTTCTGCATGCATGATTTGATTTTTCTCTACCCCCCCCCCCCCCCCCCCCCAAGGAAAGATATGTAGCAACTTTGAGTATATACTTTATTCTACAATACGCCAGTAAACCATTCAGTTACGGTCATACTGCTCAGTAGACACCAATACGCCATCTAGGATTTTGAGTTAGGACAAATATGGCTAACGGTCTACCGTTCAAGAGGCAACGCAACAAGAACATCAACTGTGATTGGAGATCAACACGATTATTGCTTCCGCTTATACGAGGTCAGATTTCTCGTATACTATATTCAGTATCGTTAGATTATTTATATCTAACAGCAACAAACAAGCCATTCCCAAGATGGGGATATGCATGCATACTTTGGTTAGTTTCACACATAAGTGAAAGATTACACCCAAAAATGCATGATCGAATCTTGATAGTCGCAATGCAAGAATTTTATCACTCTCTTGTGTGAGTGGCTACTTGTGAGCACGGGGCACTGGTCATCTTAACTAACAGGGTGTTTGGTTGGAATGAAGGAATTAAGGGGGAAAGGAATTGTAATTCGGTGGGAAAAGAATAAGGTGAGAATAAAGTAGGAATTACAATTACATTGTTTGGTAGGGAGAAATAATGAAAATGGGAGAAGTGATATAAAGACTAAAATACCCTTTGTTTAATAATAATAATAATAACATTCAAGGACAAATATGTCATTTCCTTCTCTTTCCTTTGGATGAATTCATTGAATTGCAATTCATAGGGGGACCTATGAATTGCAATTCAATGAATTGAGAGAATTGCAATTCCATGGAATTGCAATTCCCTCCAACCAAACAATGTAATTTATCATTCCATTGAATTACAATTCAATTCCAATACAATTCATGCCAACCAAACACCCCCTAAGGGACCGTTAAATCATTATAATTTAGGGTCCGTTTGGAAAGCAGGAAAATGACTTCTGGAAAATGTTTTCTGAAAAATGAGTAATTTTCCGGAAAACATTTTCATTTCCAGTGTTTGGTTGCATTCTGGAAAACTGTTTTTGTGTGTTTGGTTCATTTTCTGGAAAATGAGTAGAATTGTATAATTAAACATTTTAATTATTTTATTTCAATATTACAACATTTATAATAATATATAATAATAATTTTAAATATAATAAAAAATAACTAATAATATATCAAAAATATTATGGTGGTGGTGATGTAGTGGTAGTGGTGTTATTTATTATATAATAATAATAGTAATAGTAATAATAATAATAACAATAATAATAATAATAATAATAATAATAATAACTGGTGGTGGTATGACGGCAGTGGCAGTGGTGGTGTGGTGGCGGCGACGGTGGTTGCGGTGGTATGGTGGTGGTGGTGGTGGCGACGACGGTGGTTGCGGTGGTATGGCCGTGGTGGTGGCGGCGGCAGCGGTGTGATGGTGGTGGTGTGGTGGTAGCGGTGGTATGGTAGTGGTGGCGGTGGTATGGTGGTGGTGGTGGTGGCGGTGGCGGCGGTGGTGGTAGTGGTGGTGGTGGCAGCGACAGTGGTTGCGGTGGTATAATGGTGGTGGTGACGGCGACGGTGGTGGTGGTGGTGGTGGCGGCGACGATGGTTGCGGTGGTATGGTGTTGATGGTGTTGGTGGTGGTAGTGGTTGCGGTGGTATGGTGTTGATGATGTTGGTGGTGGTGTGATGTTGGTGTAAAAGTTGGAAAATGACTTCCCCTCAAAAAAATGGGAAGTCATTTTCCTCCAAAATGAGCCTATTTTTCAAATTCAACGGAAAATGATTTCCGTTGACTTGATTTTCCAGGCACATCCAAACAATGGAAACTTGGAAAATGATTTCCAGAACTCATTTTCCTGGTTTCCAAACACACCCTTAACTTCTCAACAACTCCACAATTCCTGTAGGGTCAGGGTGTGAGAGTCGGGAGCGAGAGATTTCGCAATTTGCTCCCAAGTAAGTGAAAGATGACATTTTGCACACACAATATCTCATTATCCTATAATCACCAAAGGTTAACATAAAAGATTCATATTGGAAAGGCACAAGGGGTGTGAGTGGGCTATGTGATTGAATCTGCAATAGCATATTAGCATAGCAATCAATTCAAAGAAAGATATGAACAAGAAACCTGAACTATACTTTGGTGAACCAGCTATAGAGACTTAACTTATTATGATAGAACAACAAAACATCAACAACCACTGTCCTCTAACCTTTTCTAATGCTCATACCATGAAACATGGTTTGTTTTTAGCAGATACATTTAGTTTTTTCCTATCTACCCGACTCTAATCATCCGTCTTCTCTCCATCTGATTCTGAAGTTTCTCTTTGGCGTGCCTCAGAGAATCAAGAACATCTCTTACAGTGGCATCAAGAACGGCTGGATCAATAGTCTGCTTTGGCGGCTTTGGTAAGTCAACAGGTACTAATGCCAACGAGTTATCCACATTCTCTTCTCGATCCAAATCGCTCATCTCTTTCTCTTCTGCTGAAGTCTTCAAGCTAATACAAAAGAAAAACGAAGCAAGAGTTCAATGTCAGTTTCGCAGTTTAAACCCGAGCCAATTTTCTCAACATTATTGTTTAAAATGGCAACATACTTGGTCACATCAGCCTCAGTATTCTCATTATTGTCTGATTTAGCATTCTCCATTGGTTCTGGAGAATCATCACCTTCTGAAGAACATGGAGTTTGGATTCTGGGCATCTTATTTTCCAAGTCATTTGAGGAAGAACAGATTGTGTATGATGCAGAGGAAACTTCACTGCCCTCTGTAAAACATGAATTCTCTGATTCATCTGATACAAATGATACATTGATGGACTGAAGCTTCTTCATTAGGAATTTAAGCCTCTTTTCAGCTCTGTTTCTTGATTTAGTTTCTTCTTTCAACCTATTCTCCAGCTCAATCACCTGTTTATGTTCACAGAATTGCAAGAAGCAACATTTCAATTATAAAAAAGTTTGAAACTTTCATCTACCCATTTGATTTTACTGCAAGACTTAATGCTAAATAAATAAATAATCTGCAGTAAATACTAGCAAACCCTAGAGAGAGAGAGAACCTTGTTTCCCATAAGTTGAGCTTCTTCTTTGGCATTTTTTGAAGCAACTCTTTCTGCTAGCAATCTCCCTCTCAGACAGTCTACAGTTCTCAATGCATCTTCTTCCCCCATTGTCTTCTCCCTGAGAGAAACAAAAGAAAGCAATTCTAACAAATACCCATCAAAAGAAAACTCAAATCAAGGCTACTGGGAATACAAAGAACAAAGAATCCTCAAATTTGAACCAAGAAGATTCACAGAAAAATGCCCACATTTTATCTGTACCCAATCAGTGGAAAAAACACAGGTTAAGTGAAGAAGACACCATTAACTTTCACTATATTAGTCAATGAAGGAGACATCAGACAGGACCCTTTACCTTTTCTGAGGTTTAGAGTCCTTTGTTTATACAAGAAGCAAATATGCTGATGAAAGAAATCATTGTTTAGAAAACCAATGTAAAAGGAAACTGTTTAAACTTGGAGTTCTGGCTTGCCCCACCTTTGCTGTTGCTTCACATTAAAGCTGAATCTGTCTTCAATGCAGGATGTACTCTTAAGCCTGCAAGCATCCATTTATTAAGCTCCTCTTCCCAGCCTTCAAAGTTTCCTTAATTGCTCTTTGAACAGCTCTTCCTCAACTGTGTCTGTGAGTCAATGTGTTGCAGATACAACATTTATATTTGAACTGCGTTTTCAAAAAAAAAAAAAAGTTTTCAAAAAAAATATTTGAACTGCCACATTGTAGTACTCTGGTGATTAAGGGTTTATAGATCAAGTTTGGGGTGTAACTTATGAAAAAGATACCAAATAAAAAGGTTTATTGATGACTTCAAATAAAAGACGTTGACAAGAATCACACTCATAGAATACAAAAGTACGTCATGCTCAATCACCTTTTTGGAAGAGTATGCATTGGACAAATCTTGCATTGTGATTCTCTGGGCAAACCTCACATTGTGATCAAGCCAGTAAATGAGGTATACCAACCTAGTTTGCTTACACTTTGGATAAATTTTCATCTGTGACCTTAAACGGCAAAGGAAGTAAATTAACCTCGTTGCCCATAGCGGTGACGACTCAAACTAATAAAGCCTGCTATGAAAGTTGAAATTGAAACTTTGTAATTACCAAACCAACAATTTGACCAATTAAGTTAGGTTGTCACATAAGTCTGTAAGTTTTTATTTAAGAAAATTGAAAAATTCTACCATCCTGGATGTGTCTTTTTCCAAAATGTTGAATTTTCAATCCCAAGAGCCCGACAAAGCATTTGAGAGTGCTAAATAGCTTAACAAATGTTGATGCGCACAAAAGATCTGCTCACTTTGAACATAATCTCACATTGTAATCGTCGAAGTTCAAATATTAATCTCTTCTTTCAAATACTGTTTACTGACCTATTAAACTAACTCAATGTGGTAATCTTTTTATCTTTGCTCATTCATGTGTAGGAGTTTGAATTTGAATTTTGAAGGAGCCGGGGGGAACAATAATAAGTTCTGAGAGTCATTGTCACGTGATGTACCATGCATTTGTCCCGATTCACCACCGCCAACGTCCGTCACTGGTTGCCCGTGTCTTTTGGCATCGTAATATCTTCCTCGCATTCAACTCCCATGCACTTATACCGACAAATCACAATTGTCACCGTGCCGGAGACCCAAAAATTCTCTGCCAGAGACCATTATTCTAACATTTCTTAAGCTCAAGATTTCTTTTATAAAAAGACCAATATTCGAATTTCGGTGACAACAAAATTATGTTCAAAATAAAAAGATTCTTTGTGTCCATGGTATTTGGTCCCGTCTGGGTCGTTAAGTCACCTTGCAATGCGGATCAGGGTCCACAGAATAATTTGTCTTGCTAAAGTGTGAGAGAAATTTCGCTTTTTGTGAGCACCAATAATAAAGCGAGGCAAATTATCCTGTAGATCTGGGTCCATATTGTAAGATGGACTCGAGTCCAAAATACACAATTTACATATTGTAAAAGATAAATTGTGAATTTTAATATGTAAATGGTGTATTTTGGATTCGAATCCACCTTACAAGGTGGAGCGTGGTCCATGGTATAACAACTCATAAAGCAATGCGTAATTTTGGGCCTGATTAAGCATGGGCAACAATAATAAAGCCATGCGTAGTTGTGGGCCTAAATTAAGCCCATTTGTAATTATTAAGCCCGTTTTCGCTCGAACCGACATAAGTACGCCAGACCCAGTTGAGTGCTGGGCGTTGTGCCATTTCCATTGTTTCTCCGCTGTTCATAGATCGTCGGTTTTAGGTTAAAAAAATCAAATCGCTGTTGTCTTCTAAGCCTGGGTAGGTAAATCATCATTTGTTTTTTGTTATTTTTTTAATTTTTATTCCTTTTTTCCAGTAAGTTATTCGCATGATTTGTCGTTTTGTTTCTGAAAATTAACGAAATTCCCTGTCTTTACACAAATCCTGTGCTTCTGTGCTGGTAGTGGGTTTTAGGATTGTGAGATTGTCTGAAATTGGTACGCTTTCAATGAAATAGCCGATAGCGAATAGAAATGAAGAACAAACAGATTTATTTGGATGTTAATGATTTTTTTTTTTTTTTTGATATGAATTTCAGGTGAATATGCCTCGTTACGATGATCGGTATGGTAGTGCGACCCGTCTCTATGTGGGTCATTTGTCTTCTCGTACCCGTTCTCGTGATTTGGAGCGCTTGTTCTGCAAATACGGGAGGTAATATGTTTTTGGCTTTCACCGGTTTCTGTGTTGCTTTGTTTGCTTATACTGCTGTTGCCTTGTTTATCTTATTGAGCTGTGCATAATACAATGTATTTTTGGTCAGTTGAAGGACATTTCAGTGATATGTCTGTGGTACCTATAAGTCCTAGAGGTTGTTAAATAAAATATTTGTCTTGATGATCTAAATTTGCTGAATAACTACTTTCCTTTTCCCCAGTTAATTGACCACCATTTTTATAATCTTTTGTGTTACAACTGTAATTGGGGATTGATTGATTGAATAATCCATAGTTTCCTTGTTTGAGCTCCCATCATTTGTGGTTATCCTACTAGCTGCCTTGATTCTCCTCTTTTTTCAACCTTAGCTCACAGTTTCAAGTATATATCTTCCAAAAGTCAAAAAACATTTTTTGATGGTTGGTTGGTGGTGATGCATATAGTTAAAAAGATAAACGAGTGTACATGTAGAGCTGCTTTGCAAGTGGGCAAGCATGTGTTTGGCTTGGACTTCTGTTAATTTTATTATCTAGGAACAATGTCACACCAGATGCATGTGTGTTTAACTTGAATGATCTTGTTGAAGGATTCTACGCATTTGCTTGGCCTGAAGGTCAGTGTTGAGAGGGTGGCCTTGGTGGAATTGATGGAAAAACACTCCGAGTTTTAGGAGAGATTGTTGATTCTTTCTGTGTTGTCTTTGCCTGTTTTTATGGAATTGGGAACAATCAAACTGGTGTTTAGTTCGTCTTGATGGGCAAATGCCATCCACTTCTGTGCTTAAGTAATGATGGCCTTATTGTTTCTGGCAACCATTTCCGCAGAGTACGAGATGTGGACATGAAGCGTGACTATGCCTTCATTGTATGTATCATCTTTCTGTTTATTTTTTGCAATTATTATTATTATTTTCCAGAATATGCTATTATCATCTGTAGCAACCATTTTTCCTTGCCAAGTTAAACAATTATGTTCAAATTGTGCAATCCTTTGTCGGCTTTGCAAAACAATTACTTTCTCCAGGATTTTAGTGACCCTCGGGATGCTGATGATGCAAGACGTTATTATGATGGGCGTGAAGTTGATGGACGCCGTATAATTGTGGAATTTGCTAAGGGAGTAAGTGATAGTGTACTCCTTTCTACTTTCTCTGTATCTGTAGTTTCTTTTTCTCCTTTCAGAAGTAGATTCTTTGAGTGGGAATGGATTGTTAACTTGTGAAAAAAGACTGTTCCTAGAATGCTTACTAATTATTACTGAAATGGCACTTCCACAATTGCATCTCTATCTAATTAGTACTCCCTCCGTCCCATTTTGTTTGTCTGGTTTAGTTAACGAAGCTTACTGTAGTTATTTTTAATTCAAACTTTCATAATATTAAGTTTAGTATTAGACTATTAGTATATAAATTTATATATTTAGAAACTAGATTAAGAGTACTATTAAACACAAAAAATCAAATTAAAAAATAATTAAAAATTACTAAAGAAAATAAGCAATGAAGAAAGATTTGGTTTGACCAATGAACAGTAAACAGGACCTGTAAAATGGGACAGAGGGAGTAATTAATACTTACATTGATGCTTAAATGGTTGACTTCTTGTAGGTGCCACGGGGTCCAGGTGGTTCCCGAGATTATCTTGGTCGTGGGCCCCCTCCTGGTTCAGGTCGTTGCTTCAACTGTGGAATTGAAGGTCATTGGGCCCGTGATTGCAAAGCTGGTGATTGGAAAAACAAGTGCTATAGGTGTGGAGAAAGAGGTCATATAGAAAAGAAATGTCCAAATAGTCCACAGAAGCTCAAGTACTTCAATTCTTTAATCTGCAATCTCTTTAATTCATTGTTGAAGAACCTTACTTTTCATTCACTTATCTGTTGATGATCCAACTGCAGACGTGGAAGGAGTTTCTCAAGGACACCTGAGAGATCACGTTCTCCTCCCCGTGGCCGGAGGCATAGTCGAAGTTACAGCCCAAGCCGCAGCTATAGGTACGCTATCACTTTTTATGCCTTTTTCATTGGAGAAGTTTGGTTGTGCTTTTATGCCAGGTCCTGAAAAGGGTGATCAAAATTGCTTGTTTGTGGAATGCTGAAAATCTAGCTGAGTGTAATAATTCTGTATGGCAAGATGTATGCAGTCATTGAGCATCTTGTGGCAGTGTCCTAGATCATTTAGGTTGAGCATGAATGCATGATAGCAATAATAGGCAGGAACCCTTTATTAAAGGAGAAAGATATTTATAGGAACTTAAATTAGTGCACTCAATAGCTTTGTTTTGGATCCTCCTACTTCTCTGAACTTGAAATCTGTCTATATGTGTTGGGTCTAAGTTTGCAGTGTCTGTTAAATTCAATTCCTATTTGGATTTTACAAGTAAATTGATTTTGAATTTCTTCCCTGTTTCCATCAGCCGGTCAAGATCGCCTGCAACGGCTGCAAGGAGAGAACAAGTTGAGCACGAGAGAAGATCCAGGAGCCCTGCAATCAGCAGAAGCCCCGAGCGAAGAAGTGCTACTCCCTCTAAAACACAGAAGCGCAGCCCAAACCCCATTGAGGCCAGCCCCCCAAGCCGGAGGGAAGAGAGTCCTTCTAAGAGGGGAAAGGTGATGACAGACCAAGATGGCTATGACAGAAGCCCTCCTTCTAAGAGGGCAAAGGCAATGACAGAACAAGATGGCTATGACAGAAGTCCTCCTTCTAAGAGGGCAAAGGCAATGACAGAACAAGATGACTATGACAGAAGCCCTCCTTCTAAGAGGGAAAAGGTGATGACAGAAGAAGATGGCTATGGCAGAAGCCCTAAGGGGAAAAGAAGCCATAGTCCTTCTAAGAGGGAAAAGGTGATGACAGAAGAAGATGGCTATGACAGAAGCCCTAAGGGGAAACGAAGCCATATTCCTTCTAAGAGGGAAAAGGTGATGACAGAAGAAGATGGCTATGACAGAAGCCCTAAGGGGAAAAGAAGCCATAGTCCTTCGAGCCCTGAAAGAGGGAGCATAGCTCCTAGGAAGTATGATGAGAGCCCTTTCGAAGCTAATGGTCGCAGTGGCAGCAGCCCAAGTCCAAGGTATGAAAGGAGCCCTGCTGATGACCGGGATGATAATTAGCTATCGCAATAGGCAGCCTGTTCCCATTGTTTGAAGTCAGAATGATCAATATCTTTATGGGAGAGAAACTTTTGTCCTTAACAATGCATTTATTTCTTTTACAATTTCTCTGGTCTTTAGACCTTGTGAACACTATGTTATGAAATGTACTGCAGGCAGTTAAGACTTCATTGACCCATACAATGCTCTATTTTACTCATCTGTTTAAATTGAAAGATGAGTAAGACCATTTGTATTGGCGTATTGGATAGTCTATGACAAAGGGAAAATCTCTGACCACTGCTATGGACAGTTTAGTCTGGTTTACTTTTTTGTGCTCTTTTACCGGCTAGGTCACCGGATGGACAAGATAGATTTATATAGTGCACATTAAAGTAAATAAAAATTACTCTTTAGGTGAGTGGTTTTTTTAGTATTGTTTGTCTTTCAGAATAAGAGTGAAATTTATTGAATGTATATCTTTGAATAGTTATGGTGAATGTTTCTTGTCACAAAAAAAAGAGGTATATAGTTTTTATGAAGTGTAATATTATTAGGATTAAATGGATTGTTATTTTTTTTTTTTAAGGGAAATGAATTGTTCATAATATAATTATACCAAAATATTTAACCTTACAAAATGAATCATAATAGTATATTTATAAGCAACAAATTAGAACAATGGCGCCATTATATTCATGCATGTTATTATTAAAATAAAAAAAATATCTTTCTTAAAAAAAAAAAAAAAAGAGTTATTTAGTCTCTCATTATTAAGATTTCACCACTTTAATTTGATCCTTGACTTCCAAAACTTACTCAATTGAATAAATTTAGAAGTCCATAATCAAAGTGTTGAAATCTTGATAATTGAGGGACCAAATTGGATATTAATTCATAAGAAAATGGCAAAGGCCTGCAGTAAAGAGTTCACTAGTGCATGTGATCCACGACCTCTACGCCGGCGGTGCAAGTCAACACCCTCTGAAAGAGTGTAGAGACAGCGCAACCATATAACTTCTTCACCACAACCGGAAATCTCCTTTTCCGGCGAGACCCCGTCACCGCAGATTTCGAGCTCTTTTTCCCGGCGGCTGCAGCAGCCACCGTTTTTCTGACCATTCCGAAGCACTTTATTGTTTTCTCCGGCACGCTTTCTTTCTTTGAGAACGTGTAAGCGCTCCTAAGGTACAACTGCCTGCACGACACGCTGTCCACCACCATAGGCGGCTGCCACCTTCCGCCGCCGCGCACTTCACCCATCCCCGCCGCCGCCGCCGCCGTCTGCCATCTACCATTCTGATGATCATAGTTTGGTACGCAGACTGATGATGCCATCTTGATGAACTATGATTAGTGCGTTCTTGGGTGGTGTAAATATAATAATTATATTAGTGGATTATATTGAAGGAGAAGCTATGTAGTGTGTATATATGGAGAGAAAAGAGTGGACAATGTGGGGCAATATGTGAAGAAAATTAATTATTTTGATTCTCTTTTATAGTTTCCTTTTGACCTAGGCAATGATTAAATTAGGGGTTAATTACATTTTTGGTTCTTAAAATATGTTGGAATGATTTAAATTTATGTGGATATATAAGTACTGAAATGGGTGATCAAGCGGGTGAAACATGATTTTTGTACTTAAAAGTCATGAGTTTGATTCTTATTAATATCTTTTTGGTTGAATTCGTCGTCATATGGTCTTTTTTAATACGATTTACCTCTCTTTTATAATTTGTGAGTTATTACATAATAGTATAGTTTACTCAGTCTACACTTTTCAAGTGCAATTACTCATTCACAACTCTAGATTACTGTCACGATTTATATAGTTGCATATAACACGATGTAATCACCTATACAATATAATGTTGATTGTCATCTCCACTCATTAATGCTGTTATGTGTGGATGCAACAGTAAGTTAGTACCTGTCAATTTCTTTAAGTTGTTAACATGTCAATTGTAGGATAGTGACATTTTTCTATATATTTGATATTTGATTGAAGAAAAGTATTTCATTTATTAAATGTCATTTAAAATTTAATATTAATGTGACTAAATAATACGCGTGTTTAATTTTAATTTGTTTAGCTCTTTTGGAAAATTTTCATCCTCTACAGCTACAAAATGATTACTTCATCTATTTCATTTTATCAACTTCTTTTAATGGATTCATAGGTGGAGAAAGATGGCGTGACGTGATCTCGGTTGATCCATATGCTAGCCTAATCTTATGTGTACGTTTTGGGTGTTTTCCTTTTCTTGGAAGTAACATGTAAATAATGCTATTTGCATAATTTTTGAGTTATTAATAGTGTAATTGTACACTTTTTTGTTTGATGGTTCAATTACACAATGTATAAAAGTTCAGTGGCCTATTTGACACTTTTTCTAGGTATTGATTAAGTGACAATCTGTTTGTAGTGGAGTGAGGATGAGAAGGCAAATTAAGGAGACGACTCAACATCGACAATGTAGTGGAGTGAGGATGGGAAGCTAGATAAGATGACTCAATATCGACAAGCTAAGCTGGGCAACGATGTATATTGACATCGTAGGTGTCGATTGATCAATTAGACGACTAGGGTCAATGCATGTCGATGGTGATAAACTAGATAACTAGGGTTGATGCAGTTTGCTATTCTTCACTTTTGCTTGCAATTTGCATTATCTTTTTATCAAATTTTCATTTCTTTGAAAATTTGAAAAAAAAAAAAAAAAAAAATCCCAATCAATAAACATAAGCTTTAAGGGCTAGTTTGGTTCGCGGAAAATATTTTAAGAGAAGTAGAATTGGAATTCCATGGAAAAACAATTACTAAGAAGATGAATTTCATTGTTTGGTTGGTGGAAAAAGAATTACTGGGAATACTAATTCTATTGTTTGGTTAGATTTGGAATTGTAAGGAATAATGTGTATAAAGACCTATATGTCCCTACAAATTAATAAAAGTAATATAATTAAAAAAGAAAACAAGGGTAAAATATGCAATCTATTCACTTTTTTTTCCCATCTCCCATGGAAAACAAAATCATTAGTCCAACCAAGGATTTTGTTTTCCTCAAATTTGAGGAATTCATTTTCCAATGAAAAATAAATTCCATGAACCAAACACTAGAAAACAACATTTTCCTTCACTTCAAGGAAACCATGAACCAAACATCCCCTAAATCTACAGATCATAAAACTGTCATTACAAAAAAAAAAAAAAAAAAAAAAAAAGGAAAAGGGTCGAATAGACCCTTAAACTTTAGCTTAAAAGTCAATTAGGCCCCTAAATTTTTTAAAGGTGCAATTACACCCATCAACAATTCATTTAGGTGCAATGAAGCCCAAAATCAGGTTAATGACCTGCTATCACAAGTCATTAGGGTTCAGGTCACCTTCCGACGAATTTTTCGACAAAAAAAAAATGACATTCTCTGTGACCGGCGACCGTTTGTCGGTCGCTGGACACTTCTTTTCTTGCCGAAAATTTCGTCGGTCGGTCGCCAGTCACTTTTTTTCTGCCGAAAAATTCGTCAGAAGGTGGCCTGAACCCTAATGACCTGTGATAGCAGGTCGTTAACCTGATTTTGGGTTTCATTGCACCTAAATGAATTGTTGATGGGTGTAATTGCACCTTCAAAAAATTTAAGAGCCTAGTTGACTTTTAAGCTAAAGTTCGAGGGCCTATTTGACCATTTTTCCAAAAAAAAAAAAACTTTCCACTTTGATAAACCAACTTGGACCGTGATGATGAATATACTATTTGAGGCCCAACGTGAATGGATGCATGGAATACGAGGTGATCCGGTTCGGTCAGGATTAACTGAATCGGGTTTAACGTTGTAGTGTTATACCCAGAATCTCCGATAAATTTCATACATATCTGGGTTTACGCAGGTTGTCTCTTCGCCCTCGACTCTGAAGGTCAGTCTATCTCTCTCTCTCTCTCCTTTGCTTGTTTTTCATTTCCGGTTAAGGAGTAGGGAATTCTAAATTGCTAGGGTTTCTTGTAGTTTCAAATTCAATTCCTTTTCCAAACATTCCAGGGTGCCGTTTGTGAACTAAAAGAATTTATATCTCGAAGTTTTTCTCGGTAAAAATGTGATCTTTCTGGTGGGAATGCTATATGTTTAAGATATCTATTGTTTCTTGTTTCATATGGGAGATTTTATTCTTGTTTCAGCTTGAAATTGAGTGTTATATGTCTTGATTCAATGCTCAGCAATCTTGTCATTTTTTAGGGTTTAGGGTTTGGGCTTTGAACCCATCTCAGTTATCCTTTGGCATGCTTAGTGTATCTATTTGAACCTGAACTGAGTTTCCTAGTAACTGATTGTGTGCATCTATATGTGATTCAATTCAACTACATGTGCTACTCAATCACAATTATATGAGAATGGTGATTGCGGTAATTTCCAGTTGTTTTATGAAGATGCATAGACATTGCCATTTAACCATCTTGTTTGGCGTGGGTGGCCGTGCACTCTTGTTCCTTAAGAGAGGTCGGGAGTTTGAACCCCCCTCCTCGTATGGAAAAACCAACCTGGCCAGCACTTTGCCCCTTAATTGGGCCGACCCGGTGCGAACGGGGATTAGTCTGGCTATGGCACGGGCTTAAAGGTGCCTCCTACAGTTAGGGTACAGTTAGGGCCTGTTCAGGACACCTCGTGGTCTAACAAAAAAAAAAAATAGACATTGCCATTTTTCTTATGAAGATGCATAGGCATTATTCATTAGTATATCATCTTGTGTATTGCATAGTGTATGTGGTGGGGTGTTGGAGATTGGGGGTTAGATATCTAATGCTAGGTGTTTTCTGGATTGTGTCTATGTTTGGTACCGAGAAATTTTCTGGCTATGAAAAATGAAACTGCTAGTTCTGCTTTCTGCAGGAGTGTGCTATTAGTGTTCAATACTTATTTGGCTTTCGGTAATGGAACCTTTGGCAGAAGAGTACTCTGCATTTGAAGAGAGAGTTAAACGGACTGTGTATATTGACAACCTCTCGCCCCTAGTTAATGAATCTATCCTTAGATCTGCTTTTGGTCAGTTTGGGAATGTCCTTAGTGTTCAGTTTATTCCGAATTACTTGGAGCCAAGAATCACCTCTCAAGCTGCTTTGATCGAGGTGGACAATCCTAAGCAGGCCAAAGGGATAATATCTGATATCACTAATTCCCCCTTTATGGTATCTGGAATGCCGAGGCCTGTGAGGGCACTCCCTGCAGAACCGGAGATGTTTGATGATCGTCCAAGAAAACCGGGAAGGAAAATAGAATGTCGTTGGGTGGACCCCGGTGATCCTGACTTTGAGGTGGCTCAGGAGCTTGTACATTTGACGAGGAAACATGCTGCAGAGGTCGCTTTTCTGCTCGAGGTAAATTTCTATTTCCATTCAACATCAACATCTTCTTCATCCTTCAATTTTTAAAGCTCTCGTTGATAGTTACTACTAGCGTGTATATTTATTTGAATGCTAGCGTGAAGCAGAAGAGGAGAAAAAGCTTGCAAATCAGCAGGCCGAGGCCTTAAAGTCAAATTATAAGAAGTTTGAGCTGATTGACAATGCTGTTGCTGATAAAACTGCTCTGCGTCTGGGAGCCCGATATAACATTCGTGTTTCTGATGCTTGAAGGCTTGAATTGTCTCAATGAGTGGCGATTCGCAACACCTAAACTAGCAGTCATGTAAATGTTGGCCTTCCGATTGAAAATCTTGTTTTCTTTTGTGTATTTATCTGTTTTCTTGATCATTTTATTTTAGAAATAATGTGCATGACAGGCCTTTCTGTAATAGACATACTCAACAGTAGCAGAAATATAAAATTTTCATTCATAAACTCTTTTACTAAGCCTATCAAAACATGCCCACAAGTTGAAAAATAAGAGGTAACAGCCAACATTAACAAGTTCACCAATAGGGGAAGACAAATATGTTTTCTTATAGTTGGAGGGTTGCCAATAGGCCAAGTTAGATAGTTTTTTCGGTAACTCCTAGGTTTCAAATTTAATTCTCTATGGGAGTTGTTTATCGACCCTCTTTCAGATTGATTTCCTCACTTTCTTGGTTTGCTGATCAGCTATGTGTAATTTAGGTAGGTTGAGTTTCACTCTTACCTTTATCGACAACAACAATGTTACTTGTGTTCTAAAGTTTGATTCATTAAACTAGAAAAGAGCATAATTTAATACAGTTACACACTTTACTAACATATAATCATATAATGAGAATTGAATTTCATTATCTGAAAACTGAGCTCAAGATTTCAGAGCTACAATGGCTTCCAAAAAAGGGAGAAAATGGTAGAGAAAGTAAATAAAGCAAATCAATCTTGCAGGTTGCTATACATAATACATGCATGCATGACTAAAAACATGGCTGCAAAAATGGGATCAACTGTAAGGCCAGGCTGTCTGAGATCAATTTCAAAGCTCAAATTCCTCACTTCGAAGAGCAAGCTCTGCAGCCTCTTCGTCTTCATCGTCGAGGGCAAAGTATTCGTTCTTCTCTGCAGGCCTGAACATGTAGAACATGGTTATGTAGAACGCGAGACTAGCCATCTCCTTGGCGGCATTCGCCACCCACTGGTACTTGTAAGCAGAAATCGTCCTGAGGGCGAAAACTACGATCCTTGTGAAGTAGAGGTATCCGATGACGACGATGTAAAATTGCCGGAAAAGTGTGAGTTTCGCTAAGTTCCTCGCGGCTTTCCCGTCGGTTTTCGATGTTTCTCTCAGCGATCTGATGGACCATACAATGGGGAAAATGATGGCGCAGCAGCAGACGATGTCGATGATTAAGAAGACTTGGTTCCAGGTTACCCAGTCTTTGATGAAGGGACCGGTTTCGCCGATCACGACGGAGGCTATGTTGGCGAGAACCTGGAGGGGAATGACGATCATCAACACCTTCTTTTCCCTCTCCTGTAAGAACGGCTTCAGGAAGGACCAGCCGGTGCCGATCAGGATGATGACTGTGAAGAGCAAAACCACGCGGATGAACTGGAAAATGTAGAACAGGACGTCCCAGCCGTGTGCGGTTCCGGTGACCTTCACGAAATGCTTGTCCTCGGCGGCGCAGAGGAGATTTAGGGCTTTCATGATCAGGAGAACCGCCATTAATAGATGGATCCGGTGCACCGATTGCCGATTGGCGCAGCAGATGTGCGTCCAGAAGGCGGTGAATCCGAAATAGATGAGGGAGAAGAGGAAGTAGAGCGCGGGAAGTTGCGTGAGGCCGGCGGAGAGGTAGTCCTTGTTGCGGCCTTTCCGATCCAGATTGTAGAGCTCGGTGCGGACGTCCATGGAGACCTTCGATTGCGGCGCGCAATTCGCGAAGAACAGAGAGTATTCGTCGGGGAATGTGATCGGATAGGAGCGGTTGAAGGAGGAAGCCGGCGGCGGCGAGAGATCGCGGAAGGTGAAGAGGAGATTTATGTACTTGGAATCCAGAACGCAAAACGCGCCGTTCTGCTGGAGCTCCAACAGGACTTGGATCAGCGATTCCTCGGAAAGGAGGAAGAAACCTAGCTGCGACGGCTCCGGCGGTGCCACAGAGGACGACACCGACACCGACGACACGCTGATGGTGGCGCGTCCCATGTGCGTGAAACCGAACCGCTCGAACAAAATCATCGGCCGAGAATCGGAACTGATCTTCAGCTTCTTGATCTCAGCCGTAGAGAGCGACGGCAGAGAGATCAGGAGGAATATAATCAAATGCAATCTCGTCATTTTCACTCCACGGCGGAGATGGGCGGCGAATGGTGGCGGTGGGATTCGTAGTGGAGAAGGAGAATTATCGCTCTGAGAAAATGAAGGCGGGAGAAATAACTGCATTAAAGTCTGATAGAGTAACGCCTCATCTTGTAAATAAACAATATTATGGGGGTGAAAATATAATTTTTATTTCATGCATAAACTGATAAAAGTCAGTAAAGAGCCAAAGAATAAAATATTGTGGGTGAAATTATAAATTTCTTAAAAGTTAACAATCCACAGTTTCAAGTCTCCCGACTATATTGTGAATTCCCCACTAGAATAGATAATCGAGTTGATAAAAATCAATATAAAATCGAACATAATGGAAATACATTCTTAAAATTAAGATTTCTTTCTAAAAAAATTATTATGGGAAATAAAAAATAATAAAATTTACATAAATCCAAACGGCATTCTTTCTAAATAGTTCTTAACGTCATCCAATTTGCATATCTTTGTCCCATTTTTTTTAATTGTTTGGTTAAAAGAAAAAAATTGTAAAAGTAATATATGCCATAATAAAGAGTTTATTTCGATGAGTGAATTATTAATACAATTGTCCAAATTAATTTTACAATTGTAAGAATACTAGATGATACAATAGTTATGTCAAGGTGGACCCGAATTTAAGATACATAATTTACATATTGATTGTTCACAATTTATATATTTAATGTTCACAATTTACATACTAAATATTTATAATTTACCTTTTACAAAATTGTGAACATTCAATATGTAAATTGTGTATTTTAGAGTTGGGTCCACCTTGCAAGGTGAACCTGGGTCCATAGAATAATTTGCCTTGGATGTCATGTGGAAAAAATAGTGTAAATTAAGAGGTAATTCCAACTAAGTTACTATGACGGTTGACTTTATAACTATGAAGTTATAAGTTTGACCCGCAACCATAACAACTTATTTAGCCTTCTTTATTTGCGTTAATTAACTATAAGCAACCAAACTAGTTTACCTCTTTGTGATTCTTTGTTACCTAAGACTACAAGACGAAATTTAACTAGCACACACTCTCATTGCAACTTCATTACCAAAAAAAATGTAAATGAAAAACTTGCATACACTAAACCATGCTCTATGCCTTTATGTAATAGTCAACTATACAAAAATAATAATAAATCGCACTAAAATCAATTTACTAACATTCTAGTATAAGAATTATACACCACCCACTAATCCACCCTCTCAAAACTTTTTCTCATTTTTTGAAGGAACGCTCAAGTCTCAACTATCCTCTGCGTGTTCAAACGTTGAAGTGAAACAGTGAAACCTATTTTTCTTTTCCCATTGTACCCAACAACCCCTTCCTGCGAGCCAACTACCAAAACTGTTTCTTGCAAGATTTGCCAAGAGCGGAGCATTTCTAGAACACGAAACAGTCATCCATCCAAATTGTCCAGGACTAATCTTTACTTTAATTTCAAGAACACCCAGGAATTTAGTTTTGGTAAGTAGGAAGTTATGATTCTTGTTGGTTTGTACTACAAACATCTCATAAATTCATAGCACAACTCTAGCAATCTTCCAAGACTCCAAGTCAATGAAATGAAAAATCAAAACTTTAAATTTTTTATTCGCATCTTTATCCGGAAAATTCCTTAATAATTAAGAAGCGTAGTCTACTACGCAATAGAACGATCCCAATAATATTCCCAGATTCCCATCAGGTATAAATGCAAGAGAAGACAATTTCAGTTGCAGAAAGTCAGAAAGACTTCAATTTTGGTGGCTATTTTCAGCTGATGCTGCTGTTGGAGCTATGTTCTATCTGTTTCTTTATGAATCTGTAAGTCTTTGTTTGTTTTGTTCTGCTAGTTCTTATCTGGTTTAACTGATTTACTGAAATGATGTCTGGTTAAGAACTGAGGGTTGCGAATTTAGTGTTTAGGGATTGATTCAATTTGGATTCTTTTAGGTTCTTTGAAGTGGTTTGAACTTAATTTAGACTGGGTAGGGCGTTTGTTTTGGTGGGAATTGTTGAATTTAATCAATTTATGTGTTCTTGAGAGGGGGTGGGGGGTGGGGGTGTGAATTTCTTAGTAATTGAGCAGATGAATGTGGTGGGTAGAGTTAGCAGCATTATAACCGCGGGTGTGTACTCGGTTGCCACCCCGTTTCATCCTTTTGGTGGAGCTGTCGACATTATTGCTGTAAAGCAGCAGGATGGGAGCTTCAGGTGCACCCCTTGGTATGTTCGGTTCGGTAAATTTCAGGGCGTTCTTAAAGGGTCCGAGAAGGTTGTTAGGATACAGGTTAATGGAGTTGAAGCCGATTTTCACATGTATCTTGACAACTCTGGTGAAGCCTATTTCGTGAGGGAGGTTGATGCTGATAAGGAGAGTGAATCGAACGGAGGCTTGATAGTTTCTGATGAAGGGTCTCATAGGCACGAGACTAATGAGTCCATTGATTCTGAGTTAGAGAGGCAAGAGGAACGTGTTGGTTCGGGTGTAGCTCTTCTAGATAGGACAGAGTCTGGGTTATATGAGTTTTACGACGTTCAATCTTCTCTTGAGGATTCGATTAACTTATCAGAATATGGTTCCAGCCACTATGAAAATTTAGATGCTGTGGAACACATTTTAGAATCCCAAAGTTCTAGTCCAGAAGTTGTTTTGGTGAGCGTGGATGGCCACATATTGACTGCACCGATCTCTTCATCTGATAATACAGAAAATGTAGAGCTGAGCATGCCTCGGTTTCATCTTGGCCCGGGTGAAAGTGCTGATTTTCGCAAGGGGAATGCAAAGTTTAGCACAGGCAAAGCTAAACGGGCCACTGATTGCTCGGGTGTTACTGAAACATCTGTACCGAGTGTTGGTTTTGAGAATCGGGATACAAAGTTTCATAGGAATGACAGTCTCGAGAGTACATCGTCTGACATCAAGAACGAGGATGTTTTCAAAAGTTGTTTGGAGTTATCAGAATTGGCCTTGGAGATTGGAAACAAGCCCAACCAAAAAGACACCCTTTCCTCATTTGGAGGTTCAGAAGAGATGTCTCATTTGAGCCCCCTAACAATCAAGGAAACCGAAGATCGTTCTAACAAATTTGGTCACGATAACATGTTACCTCCTGGATCTGATCCGTCTAGCTGTTATCCTCTCCCAAGTGTACTGGTTGAAGTTGAAAACCTCGTGGAAAGTACATCAAAAATTGATCTTACCGATTCTGATACTCCACAGATTGAGGGTTCAGACAAATGTGTTCAAAGTGAAAATTTGGAACCACACGCGAGAGATTCTGTTGCTGATGCACACGGTGGTAATAACAGGAGTACGGCCTGTTCCCTGATTTCAGTATAATTTTCAGTCACATTTTAACTATTTGAGTTCACACAATTCAAGCTCGACTCAATGTACACATTGTTGTATGTATATATGCAGGATTGGAGATCTCTCGTTGTGGGAACTTGCTTCACCCTGGAATGGGCTCGAGTGAAGCTGCAGAAGTCTTTAAGGCAAACCGTATATCTGAGGAGGAATATAAAAGCGATGCAGAATCCATAATTAAGAATAAAGATTTGGTTGTTAGAATTCGAGGGAAGTACTTGCCGTGGGAGAGGGCTGCTTCTATTGTTCTTGGAATGGCTGCATATAACTTGGAATTACCTATTGAATCTACTGACGTAATTCGAGTTGAGCGGGATGAAGGGCCAAGAACGAGGGAAGATGATTCTGGGTTCAGTGGAACTCCTTCTGGACGGCGATGGAGGCTCTGGCCAAATCCATTTAGAAGAGTTAAGAGTCTCGAGCATAGAAGCAGTAATTCAACAACCGAGGATGCATCTGTTGATTCTGAATGTACCTTACAGAACCAAGGTGTAGAAGTAGAACCAAACGCAACACCACAGGGAGGCAAAGAATCTTCGCACAAGCAATTTGTGAGGACAAATATTCCGACTTCTGATGAAATTGCATCTTTGAACCTCAAGGAGGGGCAAAACACGGTTTCTTTCATTTTCTCTACAAGGGTCCTAGGGGAGCAGAAGGTACGTGATCTTTCTTGTCTTGTCTTGATATGTAGCCCTGTTTAGTAAAATAGTTAGCCTATCAGCCAATTTTGGCTTATTTGACCACTATTAGCTGTTTAACTTGGTTAAACAATCAATATGAGTGTTTGATTAATTAGCTTTTTATAAAAAGTTATTGCTCCAAAATGCTAAAATTCAAAAAGCTGCTCAAAGTAGCTTTTTTGATCAGTTTTTTGAGAAAGTCATTTTGTATGTAATCCGCTAACAGCTAATTTACCAAACATTTTTCTACAATCAACTAATGCTATCAACTAGCCAAACCCACTAACCCAATCAACTAATAGTCATTTACCAAACACTCCCATATTGTATATCTACTCGGCTGGATGTTTTACTTTCATAATTGGATTGCTGAACCTTTTTTTTTTTTTTTTTACTGAAACAGGTTGAAGCTCATATGTACCTATGGAAGTGGAATGCACGAATTGTAATTTCTGATGTTGATGGTACTATTACCAAGTAAGCTTGCTTGATTTCATATGGTTTCTGTCGATTTAGAATAATTTTAAAACTTCCGAGGTTGCATACTAGCAATTTCTTGTTATACTTAATTAGATGACGGGTCTTATCCCAACTCGCACCCTCCATTGATGCCTTTATAGGACAGTCAACATATTTTTCGATTGTCAAAAAGGACAATAATGTGCAATGATATGTCTCGCCAACAAATATGTTTCATGTGTAGGTCTGATGTTCTTGGTCAGTTCATGCCTTTGGTTGGGAAGGACTGGACACATTCTGGAATTGCAAGACTATACTCGGCAATTAAGGTGTGTTTCCTTTATTCGAGATCTCACAAACCCTTTCCTTGAAAAAATTTCATCTTTTTTTTGCTTATGCTTATTGTCTTTAAGTTGTCGATGCTTTTGATATTCACTATCATGGCGATCTGACGTGATTGATTTTCACGAATTTTCGATCCGTTTCACTAATGAGCCTGAATATCCTTGCGAACTGCAGGAGAATGGGTACCAGTTACTTTTTCTGAGTGCTCGTGCAATTGTTCAAGCATATTTGACCAGAAGTTTTCTATTCAATCTTAAACAGGTACGCAAAATGCAAAAAAGACATTGTAGTAAAAATGAAATCTTGGTTTTGGACATGATTAAAGTTGTGATTGTAACTATATAGAAACTCGTATGATTCTAGGATGGGCAAACTCTTCCAAATGGACCGGTTGTTATTTCCCCTGATGGTCTATTTCCATCGCTGTACCGAGAAGGTAAACCTTCCATTCATGGCTGAATTAGAATGGATTTAGCTATTCTCCTGTCTAGACTACGAACCCTTACGTCTCTTATTGGTTTGGCAGTAATAAAACGAGCTCCTCATGAATTTAAGATTGCCTGTCTACAGGTATTCCCCGATAGTTTAAAGTCCTTCAATTCTCGTGACTTCAGTTTTCCCGGCCTCTTCTGATGCATAATAAAACTGTTTCCAGGATATCAAGGCTCTGTTCCCTCCGGATTATAACCCATTTTACGCGGGATTTGGCAACAGAGACACTGATGAACTCAGTTACAGAAGAATTGGAATTCCAAAGGGAAAGATCTTCATAATCAACCCCAAGGTAATTAATCGAGTTCTTGATCATGCTCCGTTTTTTTATTTGATTTTTTCCGTTTTCTACTTAATAAAGTGAAGAATTGTTGCAGGGCGAGGTAGCCATTAGTCACCGTTTAGATGTGAAGTCATACACTTCCTTGCACACTCTAGTAAACGACATGTTCCCGCCAACATCAATGATTGGACAGGTAAGAAATGCCTGTGAGCCTTGATGATGAAATCAAACTCGTAACTTTCAGATACTTTATATATCGGGATTATGTGTGGTTGTAAGATTAGAGGGTTGTACATTATTTTGCTTCAACTTCAGAACATTTTGTATCGCGAGTTCTTCATTCATTCTTGCGTTTGTGGTTTTCGGTGTTTAATTGCATTCTGTTCTTTGGTGTAACATGAATCTTGATGGTTATTCTGCAGGAAGATTTTAATGATTGGAACCACTGGAAAATGCCATTGCCAGAGATTAATGGTAGCTTGTAGGGGTTTGGTTCGTACAAGGATGAACTCAGACCAACATTCTTCTAAACATCTTATTACACTTTTCTTGGTGGCACACATGCTATAAATTATTATTATTATTATTATTATTATTTTAAGGAATAAGGGTAAAAAATTATTATTATTATTATTATCTAAGTCATCAAAACATATTGACGTGACATTTTAACTACCTTTAACTTGGAGGTTACTTAGAATAACATGTTAAAGGGTAATTGCACTTTTTTTTCTAAGTTCAGAGGTCTAATTATAATTTTTTCTAGTTCAAAGGCTTAATTGCACTTTCATGAACCTTGCCCACTCTATCGGCGGGAGATTATCATGGGTGCGGATGAACATCAACTCTCAGGTAGGAAAGCGTGCCGCCAGCAACTACGAATGGACAAATCTGCGCGCATAACAACAATTATTTTCTTTTTTAAAAAAATATTTAAATGAAATGCCATGTAGATGCCAAGTAAGCAAAATTAACTGGTTACTTTTTAGTCACTTGTTAAAAATGATAATTGCACACTTTTAACAAGTTTAAGAGTTTAATTGAATGTTTTTTTAGTTCAAGTGAATAATTCACTTTGTTATATAGTTGAAGGGTCTATTTGACTCTTATCCTTAATTCTTACAACTCAATTTTGAGACGACAATAATTCTTAACCCTTCAAATAAAATCTCATCCTCTATCGATCCAGGGATTCAGAATCTAAAAGATACAAGGTTTTGATGTCAGTTCAGAGTGGGGTCAACTGCTACGAGTATAAGCATTGGGTTTTTACTGTGGGAGTGGATAGATCATGGAGGGAGATCAACAACTACTGTTCCCACCCCTTCTTCTCATTTGAAGGCCGCCTTAGCTACGCTAACTTTAACTTTTCCCATACTAATTTTCACATTGACGGTGTTATCTATTCCTATAATTTCCTGCTGACTAACCATAGCATGGTTTCTATATTCCATATAGTAGCTTTTGATGTTGGGCATGAGAGTTTTTCTGTGATAACTCTTCCGGATGAAGTTTCACCACTGTCAAATTATTTTCTCAACAAATCTGCATTGCTAGAAGTTGGAGGTCAACTGGCTATGGTTCTTGTTCATGTTCCTGTACTAGGACGAGGAGAAGGCCTATGCTACATGAATGTTTGGACTTGGGAGAAATCTAAGAAATATTGGGAGAAGATTACTATCACTATTCCATTGGAATGGAGTAGAATGATTAACCACTCTAGAATATTGCTGCGCTATGCTACAAATCATGATGGGGAGATTGTGTTCTTAGGTATATATAGCCATCGAATTTTTATTTTGGTTTTTAACTTGAGAAGTAAGGTTTGGAGAAAATTTGATGTTACCCAAGAGTGTCTACTCTCCAAAAAAGCTGAAGCTTTAATTTAATTTGCCTATCAAGGAGGCTCTCAGTAAATGAAACTCAATAATTACTCCACTAATAATTTAGAGGTGATATTGATAATTAACATATTTGTTAAGGGGATAAATTACAATTTTTCCTTTCTTTTTTAATTGATCGGATATGCAAACCTGCAAACTGTCCATTTATTAGTTTGGGAATCGGTTTCTATGTCAAGTTGCTAGGAGTGGTTTACCCTCCTTCCATCATCTGTAACGTTTTGAGGTTGGATATAGTTTAATGGATTCTAATTTTCTTTTAAAAACAAACACAATCAATAACTCTCTTTGTTAAAAAAAAAAAATAAAAGTTGCATAGCAGGCAGGTAACTCTCCCAAAGACTGCACATGCACTCTTCAGTCTTCACGTGCTCACTAGTCGATTGAAGGCTTGTCATGTCCCTATCGTTTAATTTTTAAATTAAACTTACCTATTGACATAAAAGCATAAAAATATCTGCACATAAAAAAAATTGAAGAATTGTTGCAGGGCGAGGTAGCCATTAGTCACCGTTTAGATGTGAAGTCATACACTTCCTTGCATTGCACACTCTAGTAAACGACATGTTCCCGCCAACATCAATGCTTGGACAGGTAAGAAATGCCTGCGGGCCTTGATGATGAAATCAAACCCGTAACTTTCAGATACTTGGGATTATATGTGGTTGTAAGATTAGAGGGTTGAACATTCTTTTGCTTGAACTTCAGAAAGTAGAGTGTGACAGCAGAACATATTGTATCGCGAGTTCTTCATTCATTCTTGCGTTCGTGGTTTTCGGTGTTTAATTGCATTCTGTTGTTTGGTGTAACATGAATCTTGATGGTCATTCTGCAGGAAGATTTTAATGATTGGAACCACTGGAAAATGCCATTGCCAGAGATTAATGGTAGTTTGTAGTGGTTTGGTTCGTACAAGGATGAACATGAACTGAGACCAACATTCTTCTAAACATCTTAATATCTTATTTTTTATTGGAAAAAGGGTCAAATAAGCCCCTGAACATTATACAAGGAGGCAATTAGGCCCCTAAACTTTTAAAAGAAGCAATTAAGCACATCAACTTTTGACTTTGATGCAATTAGACCCAAAAACTGAATATTTACCTGTAATTGCAAGTAACCTCTTATGTGGCATCCTACTTGTCATTTTTATTAATAAAATAATATTTAATTTAAAAATAAAATAAAAAAACTTACCCGTTGTCCCGTCAAAGGCAGCCATGGCCGGCTGCCATGGCTGCCTTCCTCCTCCTTTTTCGTCTCCAAATCTGGAGACGAAGAAGGGCCCTCTTTCCCTTCTTCGCCTCCCGATCCCGAGACAAAGAAGGAAATGATTGTTATTTATTAAAAAAAAAAAAAAAAAAAAAAAAAAGAAGCTTGAAGGCAGCCATGGCCGTCGGCCATGACTACCTTATTCTGTGTTCCTTCTTCGTCTCCAAATCTGGAGATGAAGAAGGGTCCTCTTTCCTTTCTTCGTCTCCGGATCTGGAGACGAAGAAGAGAAAGATTTTTTTTTTTTTTTTTTTTTTTTTTTAAACGAGAGGTTCAAGGCAGCCATGGCTGTCTTGTTCTTCTCTCGTTCTTCGTCTCCACATTTGGAGAGAGAGAGAGAAGAGGTTGAAGGCAGCCATGGTCGTGGCCGGCCGACCGGCAGCGGCGAACAGCACATGACGAGAAATCATTACGTAATGTTTATTATTATTATTATTATTATTATTATTATTATTATTATTATAGATTATTTATTTTGATTTTTGATTTTTTTAATTTTTTTTTAAAGTTTGCATACGTGGCAAGCTCAAATGATGTCACATAAGAAGTTACCTGCAATTACAGGTAAATATTCAGTTTTTGGGTCTAATTGCACCAAAGTCAAAAGTTGATGTGTTTAATTGTTACTTTTAAAAGTTTAGGGGCCTAATTGCCTCCTTGTATAATGTTGATGGGCTTATTTGACGCTTTTCCCTTTTTTATTTTATCAACTCCCAAAATCTTTCAAGATTTGTTTAAGATCATTGAAATTTTTTCTAATTTTATCAACTCCCAAAATCTTTCCAAATTTGTCTAAGATACATGGTGCACACTGTTCTATGTTCATAATTACTGAATTATATGTTCATAATTATAAAGTTATATATTCATAATTTGTGAACTTCATATTTATAATTATTGAATTGTTGAACTTTGTATTTACAAATCACAGAACTATATGTTCATAATTTGAATATACTATATTTAAATTATGAATCTACGGTGTGCACTCGGTTGCACGACATAACGTTCCCACATGACTCGATCCCAATCTTTTTTTCAAACATCACCAAGTAACCAACTAAGCTGCTCCGACCCAACAGAGCATTTGAAAATATATAAATCACTGTGACTAATTCTTCTTATTATCAGGAGAGGAGAGGGAGAGGGAGAATTTTACCTTAAATGCAACTAAATTTTGAGAACACTATAATTCTTAACCCTCCAAATTAACCAAACCTAACTAAAACTCCTGCAAACAAATTACGATACGATCGAAGAAGACGGCCGGTGTTTCAACGTTTCTACCTCAAGAAATTCTGGTGGAGATCCTGTCCAAGCTTCCTGCTAAACCTCTAGTACGATTCAAGTGCGTTTCTAAATTCTTCTACGCTCTCATAGCTGATCATGGCTTTGGCGTTCTGCATCGCAGCTTGTCCTTGACCCTTCCCAGTAGGGCGGGAGTTCTTATCTCTATCGAGTCTCGAACACCGCACCCAGCCGACCTTTCCCGTGCATATTACACCCTAAATTTCAGCGAAGAAGAAAACCCTCGCCGCCGGGGAATGGTCCAAGCCAACCGTGTCGGCTACCCGGACGCTCAACTCTTTCTATGCTCCTCCTCCGACGGCCTGATTATTTGTGTGTCCAGACCCATTAATGGAGACGTCACTGTTTGCAACGTTAATACGAGACAACGTATTTTCCTTCCAAGAATCCAATCCCAATCTTCGAACTGTTCACTACTGTTGGGATACGATTCAGAATCTAAAAGATACAAGGTTTTGATGTCTGCCCGGATCACGATTGGTCGAAAGAGCAGCAAGAGGGACGGGCTCATCCACTACGAGTATAAGCATTGGGTTTTTACCGTGGGAGTGGATAAATCATGGAGGGAGATCAATAATTACTGTTCCCACCCCTTCTACCCCTTGATGGCTTTCTGCTACCCTTATTATTCCAATTCTGGTGTTTACATTGACGGTGTTATCTATTCCTATAATTGGCGGACTATCCATTGCGTGATTCCTAAATTCCATATAATAGCATTTGATCGAAGTTGGTTGTGAGAGCTTTTCTGTGATAAATCTTCCAGATGAAATCTCATCACTGTTATATACACTTCTCCGAATGTCTGCATTGCTAGAAGTTGGAGGTCGACTGGCTTTGGTTCATATTCTTGTTCATGAACTAGGAGGACGACAAATCCTATACTACATGAATGTTTGGACTTGGGAGAAATCTAAGAAATACTGGGAGAAGATTACTATCACCATTCCATTAGAATGGAGAAGAATGATTAACAACTCTAGATTGCTGCGCTTTACTACAAATCATGATGGGGAGATTGTGTTGTTATGTATATATCTTGAGAAATTTTTTATTTTGGTTTGTAACTTGAAAAGTGAGGTTTGGAGAAAATTTGATGTAAGTGGAATTGAAGACTTTCCAACTTTTAGCTCTTCGGATGTTACGGTGCACAATGTTGTGGACCATGTTTTCCCCTTGGAGTAATTTTAAGATTCAGATTGTTTAGCTTGCTTGAGTGTTTTTCTTGTTGTAAGATTTGGTCTGATTGACTATTTTTCTTGTGGTGGTAATAAGATTTAATTTGTTTTAGATTGTTGAGTGTTTTAATTTCCTTAACGTTTGAATGTTTTTGTTGCAGTATTTAGACGGTTTTAGTGTTTTCATTTTAAGTGTTTTTGTTGGTGTAAAATTTAGATGGTTTGTGCAAAGATTTAGATTGGTTGAGTGTGCAAATATATAAATCAAGGAATGGGAGAAGATTATATATATTACTGTGACCATTCTATTGGAGCTTGAAACTTCCCCAAAGGTCAAAATACCTCTTGTCTGCTTACCACTACAGGGGATCGATTCTCACATGGGTCGGAATACCCTTGAAAAAATAGTAGTCTTAAAAGGTCTCAAGATCGATTCACATATGTCGGAATACCCTTGAAAAAAGGGCTGTCTTGGAAGGTCTCAGGATCGATTCTCATCCCAAACATGGGTCGGAATACCCTTGAAAAAATGACGGAACCAAAATCTAAGGTGCAGCAAGAGTCGGAATACCCTTGAAAAAATGGCAGAACCAAAATCTAAGGTGCAGCAAGATGGAACAGGGAACCAAAAAACAAAAAAACAAACAAAAAAAACAGAAGAACCAAAAAACAAAAAAACAAACAAAAAAAACAGAAGAACCAAAAAACAAAAAAACAAACAAAAAAAACAGAAGATCGAGATTGGATCTGCAAACTAGACTGTCCGTTTGTTAGCTCGAGAGTCGATTTTTATGTCAAATTGCAAGGAGTGGTATATCTACCCTCCTTCCATCATCATGAATGTTTTGAGCTTGGATATATATAGTTTAATGGATTTTAATTTTCTTAAAAAAAAAAAAAAACACAATCAATAACTCTAAAAAAACAGTTGCATGCAGGTAAGTTGCTCAAAGACGCACGCTCTTCACGTACCCACTAGCCGACATAAAAATATATGTAAAAGTAGAATTAATTTCCTTTTACTCCAATCCCTCATTAATTAGGCCGAAAATCTCAAATTTAGATTCCAACTAACATTGGTTGTATTTTCAGGAGAGTTTTAGCTTAAATACAACTCCATCAGCGACGCCAGTCTTTATGTAAGTTGCTCGCTCTTCACTTGCCCACTAGTCAATTGAAGGCTTGTCATGTCCTTATCATTTAATTTTTAAATTAACCTACCTATTGACATAAAATATGTATGTAGAAGTAGAATTAATTTCCTTTTACTCCAATTCCTCATTAATTAGGAAATCTTAACCAAGTGGCTTGTAGTCCACTGGTATTGGGTTGCTCCCCTATGTGGGAGGTGTAAGGTTTGAACCTTAGTTGAGGTAATAGTGTGTATATGTAAGGTATCTCTCAACATTATATTGGTTGTATTTCAAATTTTCAATCCGGGAGGGAGAGTTTTAACTTAAATACAATTTGATCAATTATGAGAGTGTAATACTACATGTACCCTCTCTATTGAAGTGTCATTATTTGATTGGTTTAAATAACAAAGTTGGGCACGGTGTATCCTCACTTTTTACTCCATTTTGTACTCTCTATTGAAGTGTCATTATTTGATTCGTTTAAATAACAAAGTTGGGCACGGTTACGGCAATTTTTCCATATATCATTTTCCATTTTGAGACGGCACGTACCTTAAAAACTCCATGCATCCTTACTCCCACTACCTTGAAAACTCCATGCATCCTTACTCCCACTACTCGAATGTTAATTAGTTACCGCATGGGCAGCTCAATTGGTCAGAGGTGAAACTTTGGAAGAATGACCAGGGATAGCTACCTCTCAAAGTGAGGAGGGTTCCTTGTGCGCAGTGAGCACCGGCTCTGTGGTTCATGTTCAGTTGAGTTACCATGATTTACATCCTCTCAAATGCTCTGTCGGGTCGGAGTGTGGCAGCCTTTTGGAAGAATGTAATTGAAGCATGTGCTCCATCTCAACTAAAAGCCTAAGGTAATAGTTGGATTGCACATTAATGGCTATATGCTCACACGCCCCCTCACGTGTGCGGTGGGTTCCAAGCAACACATGGACCGGTCCAAATTGAAGCATGTGCTCCATCTCAACTAAAAGTCTAAGCTAATAGTTGGATTGCACATTAATGGCTATATGCTCACAAATGTTAATTAGTTACGTTGTATCGCATGCAATCACATCCTTATCAAATACAACTAACTGAATTTTGAGACCAGAATAATTTTTAACCCTAAAACACATTCTTATCAAAAACAACTAACTGAATTTTTTAACCCTAAAACACATTCTTATCAAATACAACTGACTGAATTTTGAGACCACAATAATTTTTAACCCTAAAACACATTCTTATCAAATACAACTAACTGAATTTTGAGACGACAATAATTTTTAACCCTAAAACACATTCTTATCAAATACAACTAACTGAATTTTGAGACCACAATAATTTTTAACCCTAAAACTAAAATCTCATCCTCGATCCTATACGATAGCATAAGTGCATCGAAGAAAACGGCGGGTGTTTTACCTGTTTCAATGTTGTCGTTACCTTCAATGTTGTCGTTACCTGAAGACATTCTCGTCGAGATCCTCTCCAAGCTTCCTGCTAAATCCTTAGTACGATTCAGGTGCGTTTCTAAATTCTTTTGTGCTCTCATAGCTAATCATGGCTTTGGCGTTCTGCATCGCAGCTTGTCCTTGACACTTCCCAGTAGGGCGGGCGTTCTCATCTCTATCGAGTCTCGAACACAGCACTCCACCGCCGGTCCCTGTGCATATTACACCCTAAATTTCAGCGAAGAAGAAAACCCCCGCCGGGGAACGCTCCAAGCCAACCGTGTCGGCTACCTGGACGCTAAACCCTATCTACTCTCCTCTTCCTCTGACGGCCTGATTTGTGTGTCGTCCATAGCCAATGGAGACGTCGCTGTTTGCAATGTTAGTACGGGACAACGTATTTTCCTTCCAACAATCCAATACAAGAATGACTCTGCACTGCTGTTGGGGTACGATTCAGAATCTAAAAGATACAAGGTTTTGATGTCAGTCTGCAGAAATATTGGCAAGAAGATCATGGGGCCCTTATGCTACGAGCATAAGCATTGGGTTTTTACCGTGGGAGTGGATAAATCATGGAGGGAGATCAAAAAGAGTTAATTCCAGCAAAGGTCCTCTAACTATAGTGATTTTCCACATTTAGTCCTCGTCTTTTAATTTGGACGAATTAAACCCTTGATTATCATAATCTTTCCACCATTGGTCCTTCCGTCACCTCACTTGTTATTTTAACGTTAAGTTGAGGGGTATATTTGTCTTATCACAGCCTATGTGTCTTTCTCTTTGCTCTATTACACCGCCAAACAACACACCTCTCTCTCTCTTCATTTACCCACTATTCTATACTCAGCCCTCAGGAATCCACATTTTGCAAAGAGAGAGAAGCAAGAGCGAAAAACATTTTCTAGAGAGAGAGAGGCAGAGAGCCCAGATCAATTATATTCTAACTCATTATTAGTGGCCCTTTTGGATTCTCACTACAGGGAGCTATTTGAGCTTATGGAGAAGCCATTGTTGCTGCATGCAGATGCAGATGGTTGAAGAGGTTGTTTCTCGCCATAATATCACCATTTTTGCGCCGAGTAATGAGGCTTTGTAGCGAGATTTGAACTTGGAGTTTAAGTGATTCTTGCTTGAGCCTGGGAATCTGCGGTCTTTGTAGAATCGAATGTTCTTTCACATGATACCTACTCGCATTGAGGCAAAACATTGGCTTTAGGAGTCACAGGGAGTGCATAATCATTTCAGTTTATGCCGCGACTCTGGCGATAAGAATTTCGTAAAGAAGAAGCTGTTAAGATATTTTGTATCAATTAGTTGGTTGTATCAGTTAGGATATTTTCATTCATATGTCTTCCTAGTTTTCAGTATGTAAAAGGGCAGTAGACAGTGTACGCATAATCAATAGACAGAGCAGTTTTCTTCCTCATTCTTCATTCCAGACTTCATCTTTATGATATGGTAGAGAGGTGACCGCCGCATAATCATTTGAGTTCTTGATAGACAGCCTCAAAATTATCCGTAATTTTTCAACACCGTCACCGATTGTTTCTCCGTCGTCAATCTCCGGCTTTCTTTCTCTCACTCAAAATTTTCAAAAATGGCGATGAGACTGAATACTATCAGGCCACTAACAGTAGCCATGCTTGCAGTATGGGCGATCGCAGTGGTCTCAGCCCACCATCCAGCACCGGCGCAGCGGTGGATTGTAACAACATCATCCTCAACCTGGCAGATTGCATAACCTTCGTCACCAATGACAGCACCGAGGCAAAGCCGCAGGGGAGCTGCTGTTCCGGCCTAAAAATGGTGCTGAAAACCAAAACGGAGTGCCTGTGCAATGGGTTTAAAAACAGCCCTCTCTCTCCCCTCCGCTTACCATGTCTCCGCTCCCTCAGAGTTAGCAACAGCGGCTTGAACATCGGCATCATTTCCTCCTCGCCATTATAGCCACCTCCAAGCTCAATTGCAGTCACACCTATAGGATCTAATCAGGTAGCGCCAAGGCTAACTCAGGGAGACCCACCGTCTTCTGCAATGACACCGGCGGGATCCATTGTCGCCACCCTGACCGCGGCAGCCGCAGCAGCATTGCTGGTGGTGTTTTGAGACAGGGTTGGAGAATTGCGTTTGTGATGTTTGATCATAGTAGTGGTATATTTAGTAGGTGGTGTTTGTCGTGAGGGAGAAAAGGAGCATATTGGTCAGGTTTTGAATTGAATTTGAATGATTATAGATGGGGAGTATTATTATTGAAGAGGAGAGGATTTGAGGAAGAAGACGCTGAGTAAATGAAACGACCATTTTACCCCTTAATTTAACGCCAAAATAACAGTGAGGTGACGGAAGGACCGATGGTGGAAAGATTATGATAGTCAAGGGTTTAATTTGTTCAAATTAAAAGACGAGGACTAAATCTGGAAAATTACGATAATCAGAAGACCTTTGCTGGAATTAATTCAGATCAAAAACTACTGTTCCCACCCCTTTTACCCCTTTAATGGCTGTCACGTTTCCAATACTAGAGTTTACATTAACGGCTTTATCTATTCCTATAATTGGTGGACTAAACCTGGCACGATTTCTAAATTCCATATAATAGCATTTGAAGTTGGGTGTGAGAGTTTTTCCGTGATAAATTTACCAGATGAAGTTTCATCGCTGGAGTTTTCTAATGCACATAGTTTACTTCTCATAGAGTCTGCATTGCTAGAAGTTGATGGAGGTCGACTGGCTATGGTTGTTGTTGATAGACGAGGAAGAAGAGATGTATGCTACATGAATGTTTGGACTTGGGAGAAATCTAAAGACTGCTGGGAGAAGATTACCATCACCATTCCATTGGAAGGGAGTAGAAAGATTAACAATGCTAGAAAGTTGCGCTTTGTCACAAATCATGCTAGGGAGATTGTGTTGTTATGTATATATAATGAGCAAATTTCTATTTTGGTTTTTAACTTGAAAAATAAAGTTTGCAGAGAATTTGATGTAAATGGAGGTGAAAAGTTTTCAACTTTTGACTTTTGGGAAGTTAATGGTGTTGTGGACCATGTGTTTCCTTTGGAGTAAGATTCAGAAAAAAAAAAGGTTTTTTTTTTTTTTTTTTTTTTTTGTTTTGGTGATTTCTATTTTGGTTTGTAACTTGAAAAATAAGGTTTGCAGAGAATTTGATGTAAATGGAGTTGAAAAGTTTTCAACTTTTGACTTTTGGGAAGTTACTGGTGTTGTGGACCATGTGTTCCCTTTGGAGTAAGATTCAGAAAAAAAATAGTTTTTTTTTTTTTTTGGGTGATATAGTAAGTTTTAGTCTGTTTGAGTGTTTTCATTTAGATTATAATGTTTGAGTGTTTTAATTTCCTAGATTGTTGTAAGTTTTAGACTATAGTGTTTTTGTTGGAGTAAGATTAATTATATTTAGCCTCTTTAACTAAATTAAATGTTTTTCTCCGTCCAGTGTATTCAATCAAAACTTTGATAATATTTTAAAGAAGAGTTTTTTGCACTTTTGGTCCCACGACTATAGTGACACTATCAGAATTGATCCACGACTTTCAAACCTTGCAATTTTAATTTACGACTATTGTTTTTTTTGGCAAAAATGATCCAGTACAAATCTCAGGCACATTAAGCACGACTCCGCACATTAATCTACTCGCACATGTGCCCTTCCCTATATATATAGTTAGGTTTAAAAACGATATGATAGGGGAATGCATGACTAGCGTTGACTGTGTATATGGTGTAGCTAGTATAGGTGTAACATAATATGACCGCTATTTATTATGTAAGTTGAGTATTATGGAAGTCCATTAGTATTGAAATATGTAATGAAAAAAAAAATCCTTCAATGTTGTGAATTTGGCCTTCTTATACAAATAATAAATATTTCATCGTTTGTATTTAAATTTTGTCTATTTTAAAATTTGTTATGAAATATTTTAAAGATGAAATGTTTTAATATATTGTTTCATATTATCTATTTGTTTTAATCTTATCCATTCATGAGATAATTTTAAATAAAAAATATTTTTCTTTTATATATTATATAACAATGAATTCTTAGTGGGCTATAAACAAATTTGTGTAAACTTATTGAGACATTGGTCATATACCCATATTTGACGTGCTCTCCACTTGCTTGTCTCAACTTTGAGACATATATTATACTGCTCTCCACTTGCTTGTCTCAACTTTGAGACATATATTATACAGATGAAAGAAATGATTATCAAACTTATGCACCTGTTAATTCCGTATCTTTCAATAAATTGAATAAGCTAGGTCCTAGCTTTTCAATAGCCTGCAAAAAATAGTGTAATTTGCAACAAATTCTCATAACATATAAAGTTTTAAGAAACACAACAATCGGACTTTGCCTATACAAATTCAATTTATAAAGTGACTGTATGCTCGACGAGGAAGTCTGGAGGCAACGACAATGTTGAAACACCCGCCGTTTTCTTCGATGCACTCATCGTATGGTACGAAGTTCGGTCGTACTTGCCTGGATTGGGAATGAGATTTTACTTTTAGGGTTAAGGATGTATGGAGTTTTTAAGGTACGTAAAGACTGCCGTCTCAAAATTGATCGAGTTGTATTTAAGTTAAAACTCTCCTCCCCAGATTGAAAATTTTGAAATTCAACAAATGTTAGTTGAATCTAAATTGGAGATTTTCTAATTCAATAGTTAGGTTTAGAAATTAAATGATAGGGACATAATAAGCCTTCAATCGACTAGTGGGCACGTGAAGAGCATATAGTTAGGTTTAGAAATTAAATGATAGGGACATAACAAGCCTTCAATCCACTAGTGGGCACGTGAAGAGCATGCAGTACGTCTTTGAGTAACTTACCTGCATATATGCAACTATTTTTTTTACAAGAGAGTTACTGATTGTGTTTTTTTTTAAAAGAAAATTAGAATCTATTAAACTATATATATCCAAGTTCAAAACATTGCAGATGATAGAAGGAGGGTAGATATACCCCTCCTTGCAATTTGACATAGAAATAGACTCCCGAGCTAATAAATAGACAGTCTGATTCACAGGTTCGATCCATTAAAAAAATCACATCTTCCCTATTAAGTGCCCTATTTACTTCTCAGAAAGTCTACATTGTTAGACGTTGGAGGTCGATTGGCTATGGTTTTTGTTCTTGTTACTGAAGTAGGAGGAGGTGTCCAGGGATTCATGATTGTTTGGACTTTGGAGAAATCTAAGAAATGCTGGGAGAAGACTACTATCACCATTCCATGGGAATGGAGAAGAATGATTAACAACACTAAATGGTTGCGCTTTACTACAAATCATGATGGAGAGATTGTGTTGTTATGTATATATATTGAGCAAATTTCAATTTTGGTTCGTGACTTGAAAAGTGAAATTTAGAGAAAATTTGATGTTAGTGGAGTTGAAGACTTTACTCTCTGGGAAGTTACTATGCACAATGTTGTGGACCATGTGTTTCCCTTGAGTAATTAAGATTCAGATTGCTTAGCTTACGTGTTTTTTTTTTTTATTCAGATTGTGTAGCTTGCTTGAGTGCAAGGTTCAATCTGATTGAGTGTTTTTCATTTAAATTGTTTGAGTGTTTTAATTTCCTTGTTGCAAGGTTTAGACTCTTTGAGTGTTTTTGTTAGAGTAAGATTATATTTAGCCTCTTTGAGTGTTTTCCTTGTTTAATTTTAAAACGGTTTTAATGTTTTCATTGTAAGTGTTTTTGTTGGAGTACTTAAAATTTAGATTGTTTGTGTTTTGAGCCTTTTCATTGGACTAAGGTTTAATTTAGAATGTTTGAGTATTTTGTTTGGGGGTGGGATTAAAAATTTTGAATTATGAAAGAACTATTTTTTGTTCATCATTAATTTGTTTCAAATTAATTTGGAAGGGGTTTTTTTTTTTCTTAATTATTTTCTCTCTAAATCTATTTCAATACTATTGTCTTGCATAATAATAATAATAATAATAATAATAATAATAATAATAATAATAATAATAATATTATTATTATTATTATTATTATTATTATTATTATTATTATTATTATTATTATTATTATTATTATTATTATTATTATTATTATTATTATTATTATTATTATTACTACTATTATTATTATTATTACTATTACTACTATTACTACTATTATTATTACTATTATTACTATTATTATTATTATTATTATTATTATTATTATATTACCACCCCCCTCACTTGGAATTAAGGATTAGGGAATTAAATCAAGGCATAGGGTAAGTGAGATGCACAAAAGTATCCAAGTATCATTCTCGTAGCTATTTGAACTTGCAATCTCACATTGAACTCCACTCTCGTGACAATTCAACCCAAGGATGCCCAATTAAGAACACAAGGTAAAGATTCCACTTAACACCCAAAATACTCTCGTATTGGGTATGTATTAAGTGTGTGAATGTGTGGCTAGTGTGCAAGCTCTACTCTCGTAGCAACAAACACTCCAAATCAAGCATATAATTATGATCCAACAATCATACACAAATTTTTCAACAAACCCATTTCATACAACAACCCTAGATCACCCAAATAATCCCCTTTATGCAATACAACTCAAATAGGCATCCATAGCAAGAAATCAAACCAAATCCTAGTCTCAAAACACTTAGCTACTCATAATATAACAATAGATACACAATATTAAACGAGTAATTGAAAGCATAGATGAAAAGTAAATAGAAGAGATAAATAGAAAATTTCTCTATTGAAGCCTTGAAATACAATTGCAATGTGTTCTTGAGCTTGGAAATGGAAAGGAACAAGAAATCTACACTAATCTAAGCTATACTAGAGCTAAACCTAACTAAGAAATGAAAAGGAAATGAAAGATCTGTTTTGGGGTGGAAAAATCTTCTTAAAAGGGGTCAAAACGCGCTGAAAAAAGTTGCAGAGGGCTAGCTGGCCACGGGCGTGGCTTCACCCGTGGCCAAAAATGCAGTGTGTACTGCCCAGTGGCCACGGACGAAATCTGTGCACCTGCTTCGACTTCTAGGCTATTTTTTACCCCCAAAAACTTTGAATTAGCATTTGTTGTCTTCATCAAAGTTGTAGCCCTTGAAGTTAGGTTTCCAATTATATAAAAATCACTTTATTTGGACACTCCTAGACCGCGATATGATCAAAATATGGAGACAGCGCCAATCTGGGCGAGAAATGCCACCTTACTATCTTTTGCTTTGCCTTTCCATTGAATTGCCTATATCATCAAGACCACTAAGGCACAAATATTTGGCACATGAAAGAGTGTTGTTCAATCTTCTTTCCTTCATTTTGCCTCACAAAAATATCCTCATGCTATGATGACTTGAAATCTTGATCAAATAGCTCAATGTTTGGCTCAAAACATCATTTTCTAATTGTCAAGTCACCTAAGCACAAACAATTAATCATTCCATAAGTTACCAAATTGACTCCATAATATAATGATTAACCAGTAAAAATACCCAAATGTGCAAGGAAAAAGTATTAGTTTTAAATATTCATCAGTTGTAACCTAATCAAGTTTGTCTGCAGTTAATTGTTGACCTGATAACCACAAGGTTCAAAATTTGACTTCCGATTTAAATCATAAGACATGATTTTCACAGTGCACACCTTCACCCTTCGGTAGTTGTACCCAGGGTTGCAACCATGATAAAAGTACTGTTACCCCAATTGCCAGCCACTTCGGTTCTTCTCCTACAACAATATAGGACAGTTTGCAGGTGGCATACTATTAATGTTTTTTGGGTTCCTCAAACACCAAAGAGCACAAAAGTTAGGTTCCTTATGCACTGCACTAATTCCTCTAAAACAACTCTCATAAGTCTTAATTATTGCACGTTGATTATAATGTATAAAACAATAACGGATAACCCCAACCAAATTTGTTAGACGGTTGGTTTGGTAACCTACAAGATTCTAAAGATCAAATTCAAGCATTAAAATAACATTACTCAAGCTTTAGTACAGTGAAAAATCAGGAAAAAACAACAAACACATTTCTTTATTTATGTTGATCGTGTACACTTATATATATAAACAATTATCAATGAATATGGATTCTTGCATTTTTTGTTCTCCCACTTTATTTTCTCAAATCTGTTTTCTCTTGCTTATCTATGTTAAGATTAAGAAGGCCAAATTCACAACATGAAGGCTTTTTTTTCTTTTCTCTTATCTATTTTATTCAATACTATTGGTCTTCCATAATACTCAATTTACAGAATAAATGGTGACCGATCATGTTACACCTATCTATACCAAATTATTTTATTCATATAAAAATATTTAGAATTAATTTTCTTTTACTCCGTTCAATCCCGGCCCTCATTAATTAGAGCATCCTCCTACCCCAAGGCTGAATCCCCAACCCTAAAGGCCCCCACACTCTGACCGACAGAGCATCCTCACTAATACATTTTAGTGTAGTTTTTTGAGAAAACAATACATGTGGAGGAGAGATAATGTATTGGGTCAGCTATGTGGACCCCACCAAGAATGCAACAATTAAAAAACATCTCACGCAAGGCACCAATCTCGCGTCCAGCCGTAGCCCGTAGCGCTCGGGCGCGTAAATCTTTATTTTTCTTTAAATTTTGTTTTTAACTAGTTACGTGGACTTAAAAAACTACAACTATTGAAAATGCTCTTTAAATTTAGATTCCACGTACTGAATCCCAATGAATCAGGGGAGGAGCTCAGAGTTTTATCTTAAATACAACTCAATTCTGAGACGCAGTCTTTAGCTAGGTACCTTAAAATGAAAACTCCATGTATCCTCCTTGAGACAAAAAGAATAGTACGAGGATACTCCAAATTAACCCACCCTAAACTCCGGCCTGCAAATTAACCTCAGCTCGTAGGATACAATGAGCGCATCGGAGAAGACGACTACTACGGGTGTTTCAACGCTATCTTTTCATCTTCTCCCCAAAGACATTATCGTCGAAATCCTCTCCAAGCTTCCTGCTAAATCCCTAGTACGATTCAAGTGCGTTTCTAAATTCTTTTGCGCTCTCATAGCCGCTGATCATGGCTTTGGCGTTCTTCATCGCAGCGTGTCCTTGACCCTTCCAAGTAGGGCGGGGATCCTCATCGTTATCATACCTCGAACGCGGGACCACACCCGTTGCCCCCCTGTGTTTTACACCATAAACACTTTCAGCGAAGAAAACCGGCGGCCTGGAAAGCCGCAGCTCCAAGCCAACCGTGTCGGCTACTTCCATGTCGGCTACTTGGACGGTGAACGCTATGGAATAGACCATCTACGCTCCTCCTCGGACGGCCTGGTTTGTCTGCACAGAAACAACAGACACGTTGTCGTTTGCAACGTTAGTACGAGACAGCGTATTTCCCTCCCAAGAATCCCATCTAAAATAACCTATGCAACGTTGGGGTTCGATCCAGAATCTAAAAGATACAAGGTTTTGGTGTCAGCTCCCATAGTTGATCGAGGCCTCCCCCTCCTTGGTAGGAGGGGGAAGTATAAGCATTGGGTTTTGACTGTGGGAGTGGATATATCGTGGAGGGAGATTAACAACAACAACAACTGTTCCCACTTCTTTTACAACTATATTGATGGCTATAACTGCCCTAACTATTCTGATACTAGTGTCTACATTGACGGCGTTATCTATTCTACATTGACGGCGTTATCTATTCCTATAATTGCAATTGGCTGACTAAAGTTCACTCTCTCGGCTTTGGTATAGCGGCATTTGATGTTGGGTCTGAGAGTTTTTCTGTGATACCTTTTTCAGATGAAATTTCATCGTGCAATTATTCTAGACATGCATTTGGGTTGCTACAAGTTGAGGGAGGTCGAGTGGCTATTGTTTGCAAAATAATGAACTTACCATCTATGGTTGTTTGGACTTGGGAGAAATTTAAGAAATCTTGGGAGATGAGTATTACTAGCATTCCATTGAAAGAGAGTAGCACAATCAACCAAATACGCTTTACTACCAATCATGTTGGGGAGATTGTATTGTTATCTATAAATAGAAAACAACTTTCCGTTTTAGTTTATAACTTGAAAAGTAAGGTTTGGAGAAAATTTGATGTAGGTGGAGTTGAAGAATTTCCAATTGTTCACTATTGTGATGTTAGAATGTACAGGACTATGGACAATGTGTTTTTCTTAGAGTAGTAAGATTTGATAGAATGTTATGTTTACTTTGAACTATATATGTATGAGAAAACTTTGGGGGTTAGGGGTTGACGAGCATAGGAGGTCTGATTTCGGATCATCTCCATCTTAGGAGATAGTTGCTATTCTTTGTAAAGATTGTCAATGAGAGGGCTTAACTTCGTGAAAGACAAAATTAAAGATTGATCTGGTTATTGACTTTTGTTTGGTAGAGTTTATTTTAAGTTACAAATAGAAATTAAATTTCATTAATAGAAATGTTTCCTTTTTATATATTAGCTAGTAAGGTTGTTGGCTTCATGATATTTTCTATTTCAAAACAAAAAAATTAATTTCAGTATTACTTCGTAGAAATTATATAAATGTTAATGGAGAAATATTATCTTTAATTTTAAATATGAATGTGATTAGTACAAGTACACTATGAATATCTAATTTTTGAAGGGGTTGGGGCAAACCCCTTCCTAAATTAGAACCTAAGTCTTAGTTTATTCAAATCTAAAGGTTTAAGAAAACAATACCTAGTTAAAATTCTATTGATTTTTTATTTTTGCCGAAGAACTAGTTTTTTGGATTATTAAAAAAATGTAATTGAGCAATCAGATTGTTTAGGTTAGTGAATTTGACTAGTTGGTCAAAAGATGTTTGGTAAATTAATTAGTTGTTAGCCGATAGTTGATTACATACATAATGACTTTTTCAAAAAGTTGTTACAACAAATTAATTAATCATTTAACAAAGTCAAAGAGTTAATAGTGGTGATTTAAGATTTTTATACTTTTAAAGAATTTATATTGATTAATTTTTAATGAGTTTTATAAAATCAGCCAACTTAACCCCGTTGCATGCCCAGCTAACTTAACACTGTTGCATGCCCAATCATGAATGTTTGATTTTCACAGGCTAAGCCGCCAATTTTCACAGGCTAAGCCGCCAATATAATATAATCCCACTTTCTTTAAAGGAAAGAAAGGATTGTTAGTTGATCTTTTTCTCCTCTACATAGTTCGTTATATATCTCTACTATTTTTTCTCAAAGAACATTCAAGATCTCATCATAAGTTCATAACTATCGCTTCCCATCCAATTTAATCATTTCTTGCTAAGTTTTGAATATTTCTCGACATTATATTGTTTTTTCGAGTTTAATTTTTTGTAACTTACTGAGAAGCAGGGACGGAGCGAGAAATTTGGGTGAGGAGGGGCAAAGAAGTAGGAACGAAGTCAGAAAATTTTTCCAATAATAAAAGCGAAACATTAAAACAAAAGAGATCATTTTAAAAAATAAAATTAATTAATTAATTTGATAAAATAATTTGAATAGAAAACACATTATAAATTACACATCTAATTATTAATATAAAAGAATATTATATATAATATGTGTATGTATTAAATAATATTAAAAAGCTATGAAAAAGTAATATGTGAATGCTAAGATTTGAAACATTAACCTTTACAATTACCAAACATGTGCTCTACCAACTAATCAAATTCAATCTTGTTGACATTTAATAGTTTTTTATATATTAATACTAAAACTTGTACTATATATACATATATACATACAAAAATTATATAGGGGGTGGGGTGAGGGGGGCGGCCGCCCCCCACTACCCCTTTGGCTCAATCCCTGCTGAGAAGGGCACTAACAATAGAACTGAAACCCAGATTTGGAATTTTTTTTTCTGAGCAATTAAATTGAAAAAAAGTACTCCGTACTATTTTAGAGATTGGAGTTGCCAACTATATATATATGAGCATCTCATCCCTCTTCTCAAATCAATCAAACAGTAAATGAGACTAGCAAAGGTTATAATGTGCCAATATAAATCAAGAAAAGAAACAGTAAATGAGACTAGCAAAGGTCGTTATAATGTGCCAATATAAATCAAGAAAAGAAATTTTGATTTGCTGGCCATTGACGGGATGAGTCACTGAAACTGTTTGACTAAGCTAGCTAAAAAAATAAAATATATTGAAGTTGATTCAAATTTTAATCTTGTTTTATTCGATTAAAATATAAAACTTTTTTTTATAATAAAAGACAAAAATACTTATTGTATGTTGTTATTATTGTCTTTACTGTAAAATGAACTTGTAGGTAGAAATTGACTCACTATATGCTATAAGGTTATAAAAAATTGGGTTCAAGTGGGCAAGGTCAAAATTTTTATAGTTGCAAATTACCCTATGTAAGGCCCTAGTAGTTGTTGTTCTTGATATCTTCATATTAGTATTGTATGTACAGGGGATATAAAGCCAAAAAACCTCTTGCTTGTCAGCTAATACACATGAGATTTATGGAAACGAGTTGGTCGTTCTTTATTGACTATGGATTAAGTAACATGCATATTAACGGTTATATATTAATTTCTTTGTTTGTTAATTGATAATCATATCGTTTCTTTTATCTTTTATCATATATGCCTCAAAATTGAGTAGAGAGATGATCGAGTGTGGAGCATGTCAAATATGACCAATGTCTCAATAGATTTACACAAACTTGTTTATAACCCAAATCTATATCCATTGTTATATCATATAAAAGAAAGATATTTTTTTATTTAATGTTGGTACCGCTGGTAGAAAACACAAATAATAATCAAATTAAAATTGACTATTATTTTTTAGAAAGAAGGGAAGAAAAGATGAAGAAATTTGGCTAGTGTTTGGTGTTGGGTTTTTGCAAGAGTCGAGTGAGCACTCTTTCCTTAAAACCTTATTTGCCACCTCCCAAAGATGCTAGGAGCGTTGTGGCCTAGGCTTCCCAGGATAAAACTTGCTAATGATTCAATGTTTGAGCACTCAAACAAGGAATCCGGCGAGCAAGACAATGGCTATGAACACAGTAGGCCAAGAAAGAGTAGAAGCAGAGAGGTTTTGAAGCTGGAAAACCGAACTTTCGTGTTCTATTGCTAAGTGTAAAACTCTACTGCCTCTACCCTCTCTTATATAGGGTTGAAGGAGCCAATAGCCTTTATTATGGCAATTAAAAATGACATTAAGCTTGCCTTCCCGGACGACATTCGTGCCCCGAGGCGCCGGCTTTCAATCTCTGCTAGTTGGAATTTGATTTGCACCCCCACCCCCCCCCCCAGCGCGCGAGAGAGCCTCTATGCTATACAATTCTACAAGTTTCAAAAGAGCTCTTGTATATAAGGGGGGGAAAATCTTCATTCCAAAGCAATGTGGGACAAAAGCTCACTTTTTCCCTTCATTTTCCAACTCAAATGGGTCTACTTTGAGAATCAATATCTCATTCACCCATTATCCGTTTTGAGCGTACAATATATCGATCTCTTCGTCTCACTACGAAGAATCCGAATTCACTTTAACCCGACCCAAATCGGAAGTGGACCCCACTGATAATTGTACCACAAAATAGCCACTTAACATGCCATTTTAAGCTATTTTTCCAACATTTAAAACATCTATTGAATGGATAAGATTAAAACAAATGGATAAAATAAACAATATATTAAAACATTCCATCTTTAAAATATTTCATAACATATTTTAGAATATATATGCAAAAATTAAATACAAACTATGATAAAATATTTATATATATTTTTTGAAAACCATATAAAATATTTGTTATTTGTGTAAGCTAGTTAATATGCACAATTTATATACTAATAAAATAAAATTACTTAATAGAAAATTAATTTATAATTTATTACATTATGTGTCTGTCGATAATAAATTACGTGTCTACAATTTATTTATAGCCACATAATATGTTAATTGAATGTTATGAATTGAATTATTATTTTTTTGTTTGATGGATTGAATGATAGGTTTTATTTCTTACAGAATGAACCTATAGGTGCATTATTTGTAGTAAATTAAAGCCTAACAATCCAGCATTGTTAATCATTCTACTCCATTCCAATGGAATGGTCAATCTCCTCAACTATGAAACAATATATTAAAATTAAACAATTCCATCTTTAATATATTTCATAACATATTTTAAAATACACCAAAATTAAATACAAGCTATGATAAAATATTTGTTATTTGTATAAATTAAATCTATACGTTGAACGCTAGTCATTTCACTATCTTATCGTTTTTCAACATACCCATTAATTAAAAAGTCTTAAATTTATAGATTACAACTAACATTGGTTGGATCGCAATAAATCAGGAGTAGGGATTTGATAGTTTTAGCTTAAATACAACTCAATTGTCTTTAGGTACCTTAAAAACTCTTCAAAGCTAGCTAGTACGAGGATACTCCAAATTATAGGATAGGATGAGCGCATCGGAGAAGACGACGGCGGCGGCCAGTATTTCAACGCTACCCTTTCATCTTCTCCCCAAAGACATTATCGTCGACATCCTCTCCAAACTTCCTGCTAAATCCCTAGTACGATTCAAGTGCGTTTCTAAATTCTTTTGCGTTCTCATAACCGCTGATCATGGCTTTAGCGTTCTTCATCGCAGCGTGTCCTTGACCCTTCCAAGTAGGGCGGGGATCCTCATCGTTATCATACCTCGAACGCCGCACTACACCCGTTCCCTCCCTGTGTTTTACACTATAAATTTCAGCGAAGAAAACCGGCGGCCGGGAAAGCAGCTCCAAGCCAACCGTGTTGGCTACTTGGACGGTGAACCCTATGCAATAGACCATCTACGCTCCTCCTCTGACGGCCTGGTTTGTCTGCATAGAAACAACAGACACGTTGTTGTTTGCAACGTTAGTACGAGACAGCGTATTTCCCTCCCAAGAATCCCATCCGACTCCCCATCTAACATAACCTATGCAATGTTAGGGTTCGATTCAAAATCTAAAAGATACAAGGTTTTGGTGTCAGCCCCCAATCGATACAAGTATAAGCATTGGGTTTTGACTGTGGGAGTGGATAAATCCTGGAGGGAGATCAACAACGACAGTTGTTCTCACCTCTTTCACATCACCCTTGATAGCCTTGGCTACCCAAACTTTTCTGATACTAGTGTCTACATTGACGGCGTTATCTATTCTTATAATTACAATTGGCGGATTAAAGTTCACCCAGCTCGCTTTGGTATAGTGGCATTTGAAGTTGGGTCGGAGAGTTTTTCTGTGATACCTCTTCCACGTGAAATTTCATCTGGAAATTATTCTAGACATAATTATTCTAGACATGCATTTGGGTTGCTACAAGTTGATGGAGGTCGGCTGGCTATTGTTCGCAAAATAGACGAGTGCATGAATCTTTGGACTTGGGAGAAATTTAAGAAATGTTGGGAGAGGAGTATTACTATCATTCCATTGAAAGAGAGTAGCACAAGCAACCTGCAAATGCGCTTTACTACCAATCATGTTGGTGAGATTGTGTTGTTATTTATAAATATAAAACAACTTTCCATTTTGATTTATAACTTGAAAAGTAAGGTTTGGAGAAAATTTGATGTTGGTGGAGTTGAAGAATTTCCAACTGTTTTTGATGTTAGAATGTACAGGACTATGGACAATGTGTTTTCTTTGGAGGAGAAAGATTTAATAAAATGCTATGTTTAATTTGAATTATATATATGCATGACTTTGGAGAGGTTTAATTTAATTTGGGGTTAACCATATGATTTGGGATCACCTGGAGATGATAGGAGTTCGTTTTCCTTGTAAAGATTGGGTACCTCAACTCAATTTAAGGCAAAACTCTCTAATTAGAGAGGGCCTAACTCGGTGAAAGACAAAATTAAAGATTGAACTAGTTATTGACTCTTGTTTGGTAGAGCTTATTTTAAAGTTTATAGCTTATTTGATATTTAATTTGTATGCTGACTAAATTAATTTACTTGGTAGAAATTATATACATAGTAAGATTTAGAAGCCGGGTTTGAGTGTTCTTGTTGGATTAAGGTTTATTGTTGGAGTAAGATTTGGAGGGTTTGAGTGTTTTTGTTGGATTAAGGTTTAGAATGTTAGAGTGTTTTTTTAGAGTTTGGTGTTTTGGTTGGATTAAGGTTTAGAATGTTTTTTAGTGTTTTTTTTAGTTTGATTCAAGATGTATGAATTATGAATTGAAAGAACTCCAGATTTTTTTTATTCATCATTAGTCATTTATTTTCGTATCATATCGTTTGCGAGCATTCTCATCTCTATCGACCTTAGAACACAGCACGTTGCTTGTCCCCGTGCATATTACACCCTAAATTTCAGCCAAGAAGAAAACCCCGATGTCGGGGAATGCTCCAAGCTAATCGTGTCGGCTACCTGGACGCTCAATTCTTTGTATGCTACCCCTCCTCCGACGGCTTGATTATTTGTGTGTCCAGACCCATTAATGGAGATTTCGTTGTTTGCAACGTTAGTACGTGACAACATATTTTCCTTCCAAGAATCCAAACCCTAGGGGAATCTTCAAATTGTGCACTACTGTTAGGGTACGATTCAGAATCTAAAAGATACGATTAATGTTTTGATGTTAGCCTGTCTCAAGACGAAGACTAGGAGCGGGCACATCTGCCTCGAGTATAAGCATTGAGTTTTCCTCGAGTATAAGCATTGAGTTTTCCTCGAGTATAAGCATTGAGCTTTTACTGTGGGAATGGATAAATCATGGAGGGAGATCAACAACTATTGTTCCCATCCCTATAATTCGTTCACTAAACATAACATGATTCCTAGATACCATATAGTATCATTTGAAGTTGTGTGTGAGAGTTTTTCTGTGATAACTTTGCCAGATGAAGTTTCATCATTGTCATATTGTTTTCTCAAGAACTCTGCATTGCTAAAAGTCGGAGGTCGCTACATGAATGTTTGGACTTGGGAGAAATCTAAGGAATGATGTTGACCATTCACCATTCCATTGGAATGGAGTAGAATGATTAACAATGCTGGATTGTTGCACTTTACTACAAATAATCATGACGGGAAGATTGTGTTATTATGTATATATTTTGAACAAATTTCTATTTTGATTTGTAACTTGAAAAAAAGTGAGGTTTGGAGAAAATTTGATGTAAGTGAAGTTGAAGACTTTCTAATTTTTATGAGTTGAGATGTTATCGTGCACAACATTGTGGACCATGTGTTTCAATTCCCTTGGAGTAATTAAAATTCAGATTGATTAGCTTGCTTGAGTAGTACGTGTTTTAATTGATTCAGATTTAGACGGTTCTAGGAGTAAAATTTAGATGGGAGGTTCATGTGCGTAAGAATTTTCAAAAAAAAAAAAAAAAAAAAAAAAAAAAAAAAAAAAAAGGTGTAATTTGAACCGTTAATCTAATATAGATTAATTGTCCTAAATGAAAGAAAAATTAAAATAATAATAATAATAATAATTCTTCAAATCGTAAAGTTTAAATTAGTTATGCTTAATAAAATAATTCTAATGATCAAATTTAACCATTAGTAATACTTATAATTCTTCAAATTGCAATCTAAAGATCGATCAAATTCAAGCATTAAAATAACATTACTCAGGCTTTAGTACAGTGAAAAATCAGGAAAAAATAACAAACACATTTCTTTATTTATGTTGATCGTGTACAGTTATATATATAAACAATTATCAATGAATATGGATTCTTGCATTTTTTTTCTCCCACTTTATTTTCTCAAATCTGTTTTCTCTTGCTTATCTATGTTAAGATTAAGAAGGCCAAATTCACAACATGAAGTATTCTTTTTTTCTTATCTATTTTATTCAATACTATTGGTCTTCCATAATACTCAATTTACATAACAAATAGTGACAGATCGTGTTAAAAATATTTAGAATTAATTTTTTTTACTCCATTCAATCCCAACTCTCATTAATCAGAGCATCCTCGCTAATACATCTTAGTGTAGTTTTTAGAAAACAATGCATATGTGGAGGAGAGATAATGTTTTGAGTCCACTATATGGACCCTACCAAGAATACAACAATTAAAGAACGTCTCACATGAGGCACCAATGTCGCGCCCAGCCGAAGTGCACGAGCACGGGTTTGAATGCTACTTACTATATTATAGAGCACTGGGGGCTTCTGACACTTACTATATTATAGAAGCATAACTATAGTGCACGAGCACGGGTTTGAATGCTACTTACTATACTATATTATAGAAGCTAAGCATAACTATAGTGCATGAGCACTGGGGGTTTGAATGCTACTTACTATATTATAGAAATACAGACACAAATGGAAGAGGTCACTCTCCTAGCTTTGGTATAGTGGCATTCGAAGTTGGGTCGGAGAGTTTTTCTATAATACCTCTTCCAAATGGAATTTTATCAAAGGATTATTCTAAACATGCATTTGGGTTGCTACAAGTTGGAATTTTATCAAAGGATTATTCTAAACATGCATTTGGGTTGCTACAAGTTGGAGGTCGACTGGGTATTGTTCTTGTTAGCAAAATAGGCCTATTCGACATGGATGTTTGGACTAAGGAGAAATTTAAGGAAGGTTGGAAGATGATTACTATTATCAATCCATTGAAATTTAAAGAGAGTAGAACAATCAAGGAAATGCGCTTTACTACCAATCATGTTGGGGAGATTGTGTTGTTATGTATAAGTACAAAATAACTTTTTATTTTGGTTTATAACTTGAAAAGTAAGGTTTGGAGAAAATTTAATGTAGGTGGAGTTCAAGAATTTCCAATTTTTTGCCCCAGTAACCTTAGAATGTACAAGACAATGGACAATATGTTTTCCTTGGAGAACTGATTTTAATTGAATGCTATGTTTGAATTATATATATGCATGAGAGAACTTTAGAAAAGTAGGTTAATTGAGACTACTCCTTTAATTCAAACAAGAAAAGCGTGTTCTATATTCCCTTTCATGTATCTTATACCTATATATAAAGGCTAAATATTCTGCAATTACTTCTATGGGGCCTGTGCCCTTCTTGACAAAATGTTGTAATCTAGTCAAGTTTGTCAGGTTAATTGGTTGCCCAATAACCACAAGGTTCTAAGTTTGACTCCCCGCTAATATCACAAGACGAGATTCGTCTTTTCCCAACTGATCAAAACTCAAATGGCATAGAGTTTCTTGAACTCATCATCAGGAACCTCTGGATCTGACATAACAGACACAGACCATGATTGAGACATGCTACTCCTGGCTGACTTGCTGAGATTCCTCAAGTTCGAAGCCTCGATTCGGTGCATAATCACCCAATAGCAGAGTGTTCCCAGCGTTGCAACCATGATAAAAGTTCCCGTTACGGTTACCCCAATCGCCAGCCACTTCTGCTCTTCTCCTACAACGATATAGGACAGTGCTAGAAAAGCCACCGACACGAATGCACAGGCGAGCCACATTAGCTTGTTGATAACTGCCATCATTTGCTTCTTTGCTTTTCTTTCAACCACGACTACTGATGTCTGGACCACCACGACTGCCAGCGATATGAAGAGTGCCAGAGAGTCGAATATGAAGAAGACCGTGAAGGGGGGTTGTGGGGCGATTCTCGCCTCTCCGGGGGAGAGTGCAGGGGGATTAGTCTTGGGATCATCGGCATACTGCCCCGGGAGATTGTATATGGCAGCAAAGGCAACCGTGGCTATGAGGACCGCAACTACTGTGGTGGAGTTTATCGCGTTGTTAAGCCCTTCCGAGTGCATTTTGTTGAGCCGCTTGGCTATCTTGTGCACACGCCTCTGCGTTTGGCGTGTGTGCACCAGCTGGTCGTGGACGTCGTGTTTTATGTCGCTAACGGTTTGTTTCAGCTCCTTGGCCGAACGCTTTGGCACCGATGCAGTCTGGAATCCATGCTCCTTTAGCAATGCTGCAATCTCAGACTGTCCATTTTTCTCAGCAGTGTCAAGTGCAGTCTCACCAGATTTATTAATGGCTTCCCCTCTGATTTCTTTGTGTTTTAGCAGAGCTTTAACAATCTGTATTCACATATTAGAAAGGATAAACATTTGTATTTTGCACATACTATGAAACCAGGATTAGAATAGCCTCCTTTCGTTTCAACTAAAAGACTAAATTGATAGTGAGACTGTGACTCTGTGAGTGAGGTTCATATTACCTCCAAGCGGCCTTTCCGAGCTGCAATATGCAATGCAGTGTTGCCCTTAGCGTCAACCATTGTAGCCAAAGACGCCTCCGACATAACAAGTTCGTTAACCACTTCGACACTCTGCCCCTTGACAGCCATGTGAAGAGCCGTCTGCCCCTTTTTGTCACTCCACGTCGCAATCCTGTGCTCTTTGCTCAAAAGGGCTTTCACCACTTCAACGTGCCCGTTTCTTGCAGAAGCGTGCAGCGCTGTCTTCCCATTGTTTCTCGGTATGGCGGCTAAGCTGTTGTTCGTCTCCAGTAGAAAATCGACAGCCTCGATGTGGCCTTGTGCAGCTGCAGTGAGCAAGGCTGTGGTGTTTGATTGATCAAATGTCACTGACAGTTGAGGAAATGCCTCCAAAAGGACCCTCATCATTTCTGCATCCACAAATTCTTAGATGAAACTTCTGTCTGTTGAACCATTAATGTACAATCCAATTATTAGCTTAAGCTTTTAGTTGAGATGGAGCACATGCTTCAATTCTGTCATCTCTAATAATACACTATCAAGTCATCAAACTCATACAAACAGTTCAAGAAACTACAAACTTTCAGCCTGCAATCTTCAAAATCACCCTTATTTTAGCTAGTAACCAAGAAAACCCGCAGTCACTGTCTGATGGAAGGTGTATATTGGTAAACCCTCCCTCATAACCATAGCCGCGGGCAAAGGACAACAAACTAAGAGGTAAAAACTGATCGGCTCAAACTAGGCCAATAGGTGACCCCTTATATACCATATACTAATCATTTCAATGAAACATGATTTCATTAATTTAGGGATTTCAAGAAACTCTGAAAAAATCAAATCTTTTTATGCTGATCAACAACTATTTCAGTCTAAGTTTAGTGTAAATTTGGGTATTAAAAATATATAAAAATTATGCATTTGAAGAAGAGAAAAATGATGCTCACCAACATCTCCTTGCTTGGCAGCAACATGAAAGGCATCAAACCCATTTCTGGCTTTGAGACCTGCAGATCGAAGAACATAGTGTTTGATCATCTCCTTCACCAAATCCACATACCCATACTCTGCAGCAATATAAAGGGCTGTTTCTCCAGACTGGTTTTGCCTGGACAAAACCTCATCTCTCTCCCCTCCCTCTTCACACCCACTGATCATCCCCAAAACCTCTCCAAGATTCCCAGCTCTGGCTGCTGAGTGGAGTTGGGTGTCCCCTCTTTTACCAGTCAGCTGTTTCACCATCTTCTTCTTCGTTGTATTATTATTATTATTCCCTCTTCTCCCTGAATCTTCCATTGCTTTCTCTGCTGCTCCACCTCCCCTTTTTTCTATATGTCAAACTGCATTAACCTCTCAACCGGGCAACCAGCAGCTCAATCTTTACATAAATTAATGTTATGACAGATTGACCATTAAAAACACGAGAGTCGTCTTTGTGGTACAATGTTTTTTTAAACCACAAGGTGACTTGAGTAAGCGTAAATATAAGATATGAGTCACCTTTAAACTCGTATCATACTCTAACTAATCTTAATTCAAATCTGGTTGGCTCAATTAAGAATATGTTTAGAATCCAAAAAAATAATTTATTGGTTTCTAGTGTTTAGATGTACATGAAAATTCAGTTAACAAAAAATATTTTTCATAGACTAAAGAAAATAAGGTATTTTGACGAAAAATAACTTCCCCCAAACACAACAAGATTTTTGGCGAAAATCAATCATCTGAAAATCATAGCTCTGTTTTCCGGCGGAAACCAACCAGTGATGTTTTTTTAATAAATAAAATTATATTTAATATTATTATAAATATTTTTATATTTTAAATAAAATAATTAAAATGTTTAATTATATTTTTTTTGAATTCTACTAGCTCTATTACATTAACACAAAGAGCCAGCAACGCCTCCACTAAGGCTCAAACTTACAACCTTCCAAATGAAAGTCCAACCCAGATACCATTAAACCACATAGTCCTGGTAAAAAATGTTTAATTATATAATTCTACTCATTTTTCATAAAATAAACCAAACACACCAATACAATTTTTCAAAATGCAACTAAACACGGGAAAAAAAAATTCTAAAAAATTACTCATTTTCTATAAGTCTTTTTCTTACTTTCTATACATGCCCTAATAGCAAAGTGCAGTGTAAGAAGAGATTTTGAACTTACAACTTCTCATGAGAATGCACAGTCACTCATGTAAACTAAATTAGTTACAATATTATATATATTAGATATTTAGCTTACAATAGATTAATTATAACTTCACTCTGTCAAGAGTTTATATCAATCCCTAAATTTTCACATTTATATGTATATTTGTACACGAAAAGTCTTTATCCCCTCTGATTAATCATGATTAATACTGATCATGATTAAATAATATATACATATAATTGTGTAATCAAACCATAAGTTTAGACTTTTAAACACGATAATCATTGTTAACCAACAATGTCACATCGGTTCCCATTGGTTAATCACCGCTCCTTGCTTTTCTTTCAGACCTTCCTTTGGGGACGCCCACTTGTTGTCCAATTCATTGGTCCACACGCTGCTCCTATCATTTTCAGCATCACACACAAAACCAAAATTGCAAGAATTTCCATCCAAAAAATGACAAAAGTTAAAATATAAAAAGAAACTTGTTTTTGAAACAATTAAAAAAGAAATATATATTTTACATAAAGTGAACATTAAATAAATGAGTCAACACTTCAACGACTTTGTGCAGTGGGGAGTTGGTTGGTGGAATTGGAAAGCTGACTTTGGACATCCACTAATAATTCAATCCAAGGGTTCATAATATTTGGAATGGTAATAAATGTAAATATAGACCACTAATAATTCAATCCAAGCTAGGCTTCATAATATTTGGAATGGTAATAAATGTAAATATTCGATCAATTACCTAATAATTTTAACCGTTTAGATTAGTTTAGAATGCAATAATTAAATACTGCATAGATCGTACTTGAATATTACAAGTTTAATTTTTACCAACACCTCACTTGATCGAGTCAGTAAAATAAACTAATAGCTATCGATCCCCTTCAAGGAAATAGTTCATTCTTGAGAAATACTATTATCAGGAATAAAATTGCTTACCAAGCAACGGAATCGTCATATTTTCATGATCTCGGACCATTATAATAATCTAATAACTAAGGTTATTCATGAGAATAAAATAACTTACCAAACAAATTAAGTTAGTAGTTATTCACCTTGCAATTGGAATAACTAATTATCGAGGAAGAATATTTTTGAGAAAAAAAATAACTTTGGTTTGTAGGAGGATTGCGGGGTCTAGCAATAATGGTGTAATGGGGCTTGTTTATGGGAGGAATGTAGGGTTCGACAATGATGGTGCAATTGTTGGGGCTTGTAATTTTAGTCATTCTTTGTACGATTTACATGTTGATCAAAGTATCTTTTATGTAAATTTAAACGGGTTCGCCAACTACTAAATAACTCTTTCAGCATTTTTACTTGATCATAAAAACGCTATAAGTGACGAATCTGTCAAAATTTAAACAGGTCCATCAACTACCAAACAAGCCCCATATATTAGTATATTAGTATCATATTCTTGCACACTAGAAATATGTTATTCTCATTTTTCAAGTTGCACGTGTGTATATATCATTTTTTTTTTTTAATGTAAATTTCAATTATGATTCTCATTCACTATCAATTAATGAGTTATATTTCAATTAATTAATGAGTACTTGATTCTAATTTAGATTCCAATATATACCCTAACGACATGCCCCTAAAATTGTTTTACAACCTTAAGTTCTTGACTACGGTCTTAAAACATCCAACTCATCAAAAATAAACTTGGAGATTCTACAATAATATGTATATTAGTTCAATTATTATTGTGTGGACCATGGTCCATACAAATTGTGTGGACCATATTTTGTATACTGTAAAATAATGTACATTCAGTACAAAAATAATGTACATTCAATATAAAAATAATGTACATTGTATTCAGGGGTTGTACATTATTTGTGTACTGAGTGTACATTATATTGTATAATGTACATTCTGTACAAAAATAATGTACATTTAATATATTAAAAATGTATTTTTTGTTATGGTCTATACAATATTGTATGGACCATGGTCCACACAATAATTTGTCTATTAAGTTAGTGTCGTTGGAATGCATAATTTTAAAAATAAGTATCATTACGGTTATAGGAAATGAGTAGTCTAATGCCCTATAAATATAGCTCATGAATTTTGTCGAAAAATACCAAGAGTTCAAGTGGCCGGAAGCCCGGAACTCCTCTTAGGCATAACATTAAAAAAAAAAAAAAAAAAAAAAAAAAAAAAAAAAAAAAAAACCATGAACTTTAGAGAAACACAATGTAGATTTAGTTACCAATATTGAATTTTTAACAACATTTTATAAATCTAATGAATATCAATACATCAATTATCGTTTTATTTTAATCAAAATAATGATCAATTTTAGCATGTTGATGATGCGATTTTCAATATGCTTTCTTATGCAACATTTGATGGTGTTTTCTTAGTAGCGAAGTTAGGCATTTTACGAAGTCCAAACCATCCGTATATGGCTGAAGCATATGTGGTTGACAAGACTCTGAACTTTTTGTTCGAAAGAGGTTGATGTCGTGAACTAATAAAATCTGTCTGTCATATGATTTGTAATTGTTTGATCATTCTTATGTTGGATGTATCTGAGAAGGTGTCGTTCACTCATATTCATGGTACAATTTGAATCAGTGTCTGTTACCTACGTTTATAGATCAAAGAATGTCCTCATACACTTGCTAGAGTTGTGAATTTACATTATGATCATCACATGTAGTTATCTTATATTTCAAAATGTATTCCACATTTATTTTCAGTTAGGTTAATATATTCTTACTTGGAGTTTAATTACCTTTAAAAAAAAGAACACTATTATAGTTGAAAAATAAATTAATAAATATGAATCGAATGATAAAATACTAATTTTATTTAGAAGGTTCGAAAAATAAATCTGATAGGTGATGCCCCACGTCTTCCGGGGCAAATTTGACAATTGATGAAAAATGTCTCTCTTTCTCTTTTGGCATTGTAAGCTTATGCGTATCGTAGAAGTCTCGATACGGCCGGAGTAGTTTCCTCGCTAGCGACACTTTCAAACTGTCCCGGAGATTTCTATCGGATACGACGCATGCAGAGTGCTTGCGGTGCGCCTGCGCGAACGACGCGTTGAATTTTTTGAAATGCTGTTTGATCTCCTCGGGAGACATGGGAGCCGTTGGATTTTCCGGGAGCGAGGCGATGACGTCACCCCACCCTAGGCGTTCGTAGTTTGCCGCGTACTGTTTCACCTTGGCGGATTGTTTCGACAGCCAATTCTCGCCCAGAAAACGGTTCAGGCGCGAGGTGCGGACCTTAACGACGACGTATTGGAGGTTGTTGGCTAGGAAGAGGTACGCGATGGAGATGTCCTTGTAGTGCTCGGCTATGACGTCGAGTTTGCAGAGGAGGAGGAGGATCAGCCAGGCGTACCGGAGAGATATAGCCGGCAATGGAGACTCGTCGGAATCGGAGACTGCGAAATACGAGTCCGGTAGCCAATCCTTCGGGATTGGAGGAGTGTTGGAGAAGATGTCGGAGAGAACGTTGCTGTGATCGGCGATCGATGTGAGGTAATTCATCGCGTCGATGGTCAGAGGATGAATTCCGCCGCCGGCCACCGTTGATTTTGACGAGTCCTTCTGGAGAACGGTTTCGAACTGTGCAATCCCCGTCCTGATAGCGTCGCCGAGTTTCGCGAGTGACGTCACCGCCTGAGTTCTGATTGACGAGGCGGAATCCATTGAGAAGATGGATTCGATTTCCGGGCGGTGATTCGCGATGGCGTTGTACATGTCGAGTAGACGAAATACTTTTTCCGGTGAATTTTTGGCGTATTTCGCTATATTTTCGGGGAATTCAAACAGAATCATTGCAGCCTCTTTTGAAATCTCCTTAAAAATGGATTCCCTGATAGCATCTGGTGTAGACGCGAAGACGTTATCGCACAAAGTTCTCTCTCCATTGAACAATGTCTTAACAGCAATTTCCATGGCACTTAGCCAATTCTTAATCCTCAGCTCTAAAACCTCCCAATCCATCTTACGGATCTTTGAAAAGCTCATTTTCTCGACTCCAAGTCGAGAGATAGCTTCATCAATGATCCATTTTCGAATATCTTTGTAGACTTTAAAGCATTCCTTGGAATATCCGCACGAGATCATGCACTCAACAATCAATCTCATATCCGCCATTACAAAGCTGGATACATCTTCAACTTCGGTTATCGAGTCGCCGGCGACTCTGACGTCATCATCATCGTCATCCACGTCAAAATCCGATGTACTGGAGAAACCGGTGGAGGTACTGGCGACGGATGACGATCGAGCAGACGCGGACGACGACTCTGGATCGAGATGAGCACGATTCATGTTCAGAATCTGGAAGAATTCCTTCTGGAGCCTCTTCATGGCGACTTCCATGAGGTTTTGCGCCCTAACGAGCTTCTCCGATCTCGGCTGCTCCATTGCCAGAAACTGCATCGCCTTCTGAAGATTCCGCACGCACTTGACGAAATCATTGGCTTCTCTCCGGCTCTCGTAGAACAAAGAGGTCACCTTCGCTGCCTCAGATGCTTCTGGATTCCATTTCATGATCATCGGCCCTGAAATCTCAAGCGCCCGCTCCATTACCGATTCATAAAAATGATCAGACCCTGCCGACGGCGACGCTCGTACAGTAGATGATGATGACCAGTAATTAGGCGAAAAGCCAATCAATCTCATCCCCTTCCTCGGCATCCCGGAGAGTATGTATAGTATATAACAACGGTGAATCAGATATTTGTTAGAAAACTGAACGATAATTTTGAAGTTTTGATAGCTGAAGCCACCTAAACAGACGTTTATATAGAGGAGAGAAATGGAGTTTGAAAACAGCGGGCTATTGGTCCTATTGGAGGGAGGCGATTGACTTTTAGAGTTTAAAAAGACATTAGTCTATGTTACAGTTGCTGACGCGTTCGATTCTACACGTGGCGCACATTCAGCGGCGCGATCAAATAACGACCCAGCAGATGGGAAGGTAAACAGAGCATATAAGCAGATTCACAGCTCAGACATGATATAAGCATATATGTTGACACCTCAGACGTGACGAAACCATGCGTATCGTCTTAATCCTCGGCCGATTTGAGGAAGCATTGTAAATCCTAATCGCTGCCACATAACCATCTTTCTTGAATCTTGACTAATCTTTTGCCAAGAACGTTTTGTGTGTGTATATTTTAGCTTCTGTTTTTTTTTTTTTTAAATTATTTTATTTTAGCTCTCCCCACCCTTCAATAAATTAAATGTCTTTTAAAGTCTACTTTTTTTTAGGGTGAATCATTTAGTCAATGTAGTCCACAAGTTTATATTATACTTCATTATATTCAAATTAGTTTAGACAAATTTAAAGTTTATCTAATTAAAAGAAAATTAAAATTAAAGTATTTATGAATATATGTCTTTTTTCTATTTAAACTATTTTATGTAATTGATTATGTTTTATATTTTGCCAATTTCACCCAACCGAAGTATAGTTTTGGCTCCGCCCTAAACTATCATGTTGTCTATCCTAAACATTGTATTATAATTTATAATAATGTATTAGAAACTATATTATAAGTGTTTGATATTTTGTCATTGACAATTCTAAAGTCATTGTAAGTATGCCCCTACTCACATAATTTTCTGGATCCGCCACTGATTATTATTATTATTGTTGTTGTTATTGTTGTTGTTGTTTATAACAATACATATATTATATATAGATATTTTAATAATTAATAACCTCGACTCTAAGTCGTAAGTCCCAAATCAGTCTATTGTCTACACTCACGCAGTCCGCCACTTCGCCATCCGCTAAACTCTCTACCCCTCCGCTGCAGAGATAAAAATCAAGGTATGTATACTTCTTCATCATTATTTTCATTTATTAAACCTAATTTAATGTTTATATGATCTGCTCTACGATTATATGAAACGTGAAATCCCTAATATGTAGTAATACACACGCGCAATAGGTTCTTCTTCGCTTTTATTTTGTTAACTTTGGTGCTGCTATTTGTATTGTTATTTATGGACTTATGGTTTATTGCTATTATGTTTTTCTTGTGTCTGTAGTAAACTGAAATATATTTGGTGTTTTAATAATTCGTAATTTTCAAATATTATATTAACTACACTGATGGATGATTCTTCATCTTGTCATCAACAAAACACTTCAAGTGGCACTCCAAGTGAGCCAACTGAACAATCGGTCAGGCAAAAAATGAAACGTTCAAATAGTGGACTTTCAAGTTCCACCAAAATCGAACCGAATTAAATCCGAACAGAAATTGATTGTGTTTTTTCAAAATGAACCAAAACCGAATTGAACTCTGTTGTCAAACCGAATAGTTTGATTTTTTTTAATCAAAAAATCGAAACCGAAAAAAATCAAATTGAAGCCTGAAACGTCCTCCCCTACCATGTACTCTCTGACTCGATAGACCATTATGGGGCGGGGGTTACCATGGTGTAGACACTTTTATTCTTATTCTCAATTTTTTTATGTAAACACTTTTATTGAAACTCATATGATCAAAATAATGTATCATGATTTCTCACGTCAAAAAGTAAAAGTGAGTGTATATAAATTATAAATACACATAGTATAATTCTTATTTGTGTCACATAATAACGAGCTTTTAAACTTGTCATTCACAGGGGCATTAACCTTATTGGTCACTTAAACAATACACATAGCACTTTAGAACTATATCAAACTGAGTAATTATTTTACTCACTCCAAGTCTCCATTTAAGCAAGTCAACTATTTGAATTATATTTAATTTGTTAAAATGAGTTGGGCCTAGCTCAACCGACTTTTTAATAAGGTGGGTTAGCTTGGAGATTTAGTGATTCATTAGGAGGTGAGCATAAAGCAGTGAGTTTGATTGCATATTTAAAGAATGTAAATTATATGGAGTAATACATTTGCTTATTTTAAGACTTTATTAAATATTAAACTTTTACATGTGCAAAATATCCCAAACTAACTAAGTAACTTTACTCATTAATATATATATATATATATATATATATATATATACACATAACTTTTATAGTACTTTCTATTAAAATGTTATTGGGATATTTTTATGGACTTTGGTAGAGTTCAAAGCAAATGATGGAAGAGCTTCTCCCATTTTATTCTCAATTGCATGACCATTTTTATAATGGGTTGTGGGGGAAAGCGGTGGTGTGTATGGTATTCATGTCTCTTTATAATGACGGGTAATGGAGATATCTTTTATCTTCTTTATTTTTATCTTCTTTATATATAATAAAGCAGAATCTAGCTACAAAAATTCAAAGTGTAAACTCATTTTGATAGAAACAAGATTAACAAGTATGAATGCATTAATTGTGTGGGTAGATGTATTTATACATATTTTTTTGAAGTTAGTATATGTATTTATATTTTATAAATTATATTTTATTAGCTCTATCTCTATCTCTCTCACTGCTGGAAATTATGGAATTTCCGACCACCTAAAAGTGATCTTAAATCAAGTCGAAAGCCTTGTTCCGACCACTTTTGACATCCGGAAAACCTTTATTGCTATTTCCGACCACTTTTTACTTTCGACTTGATTTAAGATCACTTTCAGGTGGTCGTATATTCCATAATTTCCAGCAGTGTCTATATATATTAAAGCATAATGAAGTGTGGAAAAAAATTTATTGTGTTCAAATTTATTGGTAAAGTTTTATATTTAATATAATTTGTGTATATATTCATTTAAACCTCAAGTATAATTAATTTTGACTCCACATATATAAAGAGTAGAAATTAGATATAAAATAAATATAGTTCTTACATAAATAATCTTTTTCAAATGAATAAATTTTTTGTGGAGATTTTCGACAAATATCGCATGTTAGTTAAATACGTTAGTTATATAATTAAAGTAGTTATTTCAAATTCAATTTCGTTTAAAAAAAATTCAAATTCAAATAATAATACAAGCAACAATAAACTTTAAAATCAACATAATAATAATTAAACTTTTAAAAATATTAAATATTACATTTTTTTTTTAGAATTAAATATTACATTGTATAGTTATACTTACATTTTTAATCAAACTAATTCTGAGCTCAAGAACTCAAGTACATTTTTATGTTTCCACAACTATTACTTTATTTGCTAATTCAGAGGATGTCAAAAATTTAATTGATAAATTTGTTAAATTAATAATAATCCGTGCATCGCACGGGACAATTCCTAATTAGGATAAGGAATAAGGGTCAAATAGGCTACTGAATCGCACACAATAATGCAATTAGGCCATTGAACTCAAAAAAACAACAATTAAGTCCCTAAACTAACCCATTTCAAACAATTTGTTCAATTTACAGATTTTCCCCTTTCTAACAGGTCATCCAATTTAAAATATGTTTAAAAATATTTTTTAAAAAAAATTAATTAAAATAAACTAAAATTATTTATTAAAAAAAAAAAAAAAAAAAAAAACTAACTAACTAACTTCGTCTCCGCCGGAAACGAAGAACGTATCATCGTCTCCGACCATGGAGACGAAGATCCGTATCATCGTCTCCGGCCGGAGACGAAGATCCATTCTTCGTCTCCATGGCCGGAGACGAGGAGACTCTTCGTCTCCGGCCATGGAGACGAGGAGACTCTTCGTCTCCGGCCAGAGACGAAGAAGGGATCTTCGTCTCCGGCGGAGACGAAGTTTAAGTTTTTTTTTTTTGTTTTTTTTTTTGTTTTTGTTTAATAAATAATTTTAGTTTATTTGAATTAAATTTTTTAAAAAAAAATTATTTTTAAAATATATTTTAAATTGAGTGACCTGTTAGAAAGGGAAAAATCTGTAAATTGGACAAATTGTTTGAAATGGGTTAGTTTAGGGACCTAATTGTTACTTTTTTGAGTTCAATGGACTAATTGCATTATTGTGTGCGGTTCGATGACCTATTTGACCCTTATTCCTTAGGATAATAACTCTTAATTTAGAGGATTAGTGGATCTAGATGACCTATAAGGGTTGGATGGCGTAATTGGTTAGATGATGACTTTGGTTACGTTGGTGGTCATTAATCATGGTAAGCACTATTTAATGTCATTACATTTGTAACGATCAACATAATTACTTTCAAATGTGGATCCAATCCATTTCATCAATTGCACAATATAATATTGTTAAAATATTATAACAACTCAATTTCGTGTAATGCATGTGTAAAAATATTAGAATTTTAAAAATATTTGAATCGATATACAATTATATTATATAAATTATAATAACAAATATTATATTGTGCAATCTATTTAATATTAAAAGTATAACAATATTAAAAATTTTACTCCTATTTTCTGTAACTACTCAATATTGAATCAATGATATTTAGTTTATTCCAGTCTATTTATTCGACTTTGTTATTTGCTTTTCATTATTTATAAATAATATTTTTTTTCAATTTTAAGAATTGATGTTATCAGTTTCATATTTTAAAAAAAAAAAAAAAAGTTTGTCCTGGTGGAGTTGGAGAAGTTGCTATCTTTGTGGGGGAAGAGCATGAATGACTTTCCAGAAATGCCAATTACAACGAAACTAGCATGAGTTTGAGTGAAAACATGTTGATAGCCGAAGAGTTGGCATATGACAAGGAATCGTTGAAGACAGAGCATGAAACATTGGTAACACAATTGACCGACGAGCAAAATAATGTTTACGACTATGTGATGAATGAATGGAGCAAAAATAGTTAACGGGACACATGAAAGAACCAAAGTTATTATCCTTCGAATGTCTCTCGCT